AGGATTTTCTTCTGACTTGTTTCAGGTTGCTGTCGTTTCATTTATAATATTGTTTTATTCAATATTCGTTTCATTTTTACGTCTTTGCGATTTTAGACCATCTGCATTGGGGGATCACCCCCCCTGATCTAAGCATTATTTAAATCCAAAAAAATGGGTTAATGGGCTTAAGATCAGGAACTGGGCTCTTGACCTGGATCTGTTCTTGTGGGTGTTGCGGGGTGACGTGGCATTTGGGCATTGGTTGGAATATTCAACATATTTGGAATAAATTTGGATAATAAACTATGTATTAATTAGATAAAATGTTTTTGTGGTTTTATTAAGTAATATGTTTGTTTGTTTATTGTTATTTATATTTTTAATGTTTTTTTCATAAATATTTAGTATTGTATTTTCACTTTTATTTTCAGTTTTTCATAAATTTGGCATTTGCAATTTATATGTTATTTTTAAATGTTTTAATAATTGTAAAATCTTAATTTAATTTAGATTATTATATTATTAAGTCTTAACATCTTACACATGTTCTCCCACTAATCAACTTCTAAACAAAAGATCTAAACACATGATCTTACATTATTTTAACATTATATTCTCTATAAGAACACCCTCACATGATCCCCCATTGATGATGCCCTTAAGGTTAAACATTTCTCCTTGGACAAGTTCTTTGCTTTTCTATAAAGTGACATTGATTTGATGAAGGATGGTTCTAGCTCCGTCCGTTCTACATCCATGTACAATATGGTAACAAGAGAAATATATAGTTATATATACCTCTCTTTATTTATATCTAGATATTTCAAATTCTAATATAGATTTCTGACTTATATGTACTAATTCTTTTATTTATTTATTGGATTATGATACTCTTAGAGCATCCGCAGTGGTGTAAGTGTGAGGGGGGTTTAAGATTTTTTTTATTATTATAATTTAAAGTGAGAGAGAAAAGAGAGAGAGAAAGAAAGAGAGAGAGAGAGTGTCTTACACCCGAGTGTAAACTTACACCCGAGTGTGAAGAGAGAGACAATTTTTTTCTTTTTTTAATACCTACACCCGACGACTAACACCCGAACGCTTGCCCCACTGCGCATGACCTTAGAGTGTGACTGGTTAGCTTAAATAAAGGAAAAGAAATAGAAAAAAACAAAATATTTTCAATTAGTCTATTTTTTTACCAGTCAAGAAAAATTTGTTGTCCACCAAATTCTTCTCAGTTCCTCTACTTTTAGTAGAAACAAGTGAAAAATTCATTTTATAAATATATGATAGAAATTTTTTTCTTCCAATTTTTCTTTTCTTCTGAATTCTTTTTTTTCATTTTTTTCTAATTACTCCCAGTCAAAATATGATGTTATTAGTTGCCGTCACTTTTATTTTGTCGTTTACTTTATACATGGATGGTTGAGTAAATTTACAAATAGTTAAGTAAATTTGTAATCATGATTGGAACTTCTATTATAGACCACATTTTTTCAAAGAAAAGTCATGGTGGAGTGGGTCGCTTACTCATCCACGTTTCAAACACCTTACATAATGTGTTGATTGATTACTTTGTCTTTAGGGACCAAATCGAGAAAGTAGAAGGAAAAAAAGAACGTTTGAAGCGGTTGATTGATTAGTGACTTCGGGGCCGATTGGTAACGGCTGTAAGTTTTGGCTTTAGAAGTTTTGACTTTAAAAATTTGAGCGGCAGAGAATTCGGCTGTAAAGACTTTGACTGTAAAAACTTTGGCTGTTAAAATCTGATTGGTAACACAAAACTGTAGAAGCTGTGACTGTTATTATTATTATTATTATTTTTATAATATATTAATAATAAATATAAATTATGTTAGAAATGAATTCATATGCAAATATAGTTTTATTAATGATAAGAATTTAGAAAAAAACCATAAATTGATAAATAAATGAATAAATAAATAGATAAATATTCTCTAGAAATAAAATAATATATATTATTCATTCATTTTTAATAACCAAACATTGCAATAAGAAAAAAAAACTAATAATCCATTATTTGTTTTGGTAGGAACTTAAAATCCATTATTAATAATAAAATATTTATTTAAAAGAAATGATAAAATATTAGAAATGAATATTCTAAATGCACACATTTATTTATATTTATTATTTTATGCGGAAATTTAATACTCAACACATTAGTAAGAAGTGGAATAAACTTAAAAAATTTATATGGCTTTTGAAAAAATACTAATTCTATATACTCTTTTAAACCAACATTAATGATGATGATGAAAATAAAATGATTATTAGTGAAATGGATCTTAAAAGAAAGATAGAAAAATGAGAATAATTAATTTATAAAAAAAAAATTATGAAAAGATATATGTAAACATGTAGAGAGTTTTTAATTATCATGGGGATAAGAAAAAAAAAACTTTTAATTGTTTATTCATTTGATAAATGTCCCCAAAAATCTAAAGCCACGTTTTTGAGACTTTAGAAAAAAAAGAAAAACAAAGAAAGAGAACAAAAAAGAAGGCTTTGAAAACTTTAAAAATAATTAAAGTCATAAAAGCCTAATTGGCAAAAAAAATGCTGTGAAGACTTTAGAATAGTCCTAAAGTCTTTAAAGCCTTGTGCCAATCACCCCCTTCAACCATATCTTGTTTCATAATATACGTTTAAATGTTTTTCCAAAGTACATATAACTGAAAGCCCTTAATTATATATATAAAAAAACATATATACGTAGTTAAATTCGACAGTATATAATCTCAAAAAATAAAAATATCAAACTGTAAAAAAATCAAACTATAAAAGTTCCATCCTATCAATTTTAATCCAGCTTTTATCAGTTTAAACTTGGTCCTTTAAAAATTTATCCTCCATTCAATCACTTAATATATTATTCAAGATTTAATTTAAGTTAGACTGCTAGAACAATTGCAATTAACAAATTCACCTTTTATTATGCTTAGGTATTTTGATATACTATCAACCGTCAAAATTAGCTACTATCATTTAAATGTAAAGTGAAATTATATTTTATTTAAATGGAAATTTAGAAAAGTTGGCTGTTTTGCATTAATTTTGGGAATAATGACTATAAATTAAGGTATTTTGTTATTTCAAAACATATGCAGGTCTACTTTTAATATTCTAGTTATAAAATTTTAGATTATATTAACTTTTCAATTAAAAAATATATCTACCCGTTAGGTTAGAGTTTAGGAATCATCGTCCCACCTATCTAAATGGAATGATTTGAATACACTCCATAATCTATTTTGTCCCCACTAATCCCGCCGCCTAAGTGTTTAACCACAACACGGGTTCAGATCTAATCACTCATTATTATAAAGTATAATATGTCTCTCATACTATATTTTATGACATAAAGTTGAAATCATTATCATGATTTACTTGATTATTTGTTTATTTTTGTCATGATTCGGACGGACAATCAACCTCTGTGCTAATCTTGAATTCAATTTGCTTTAATTAATGTTCAAAGGTGCATTGTTCATAATCATTATTATTTCACACCAAAAAAAAAAAAATCACTATTAGTTTCACAAGATTTGAATTCAATTTGCTTTAATTAATTAATGTTCCTGCTGGTAATCATGCACTATCAGTTTCACATTACGTACCAATATATATGAGAGGCCATCGGGAAACTTCTTCACCTACTTCTCACTTCTCAGGCTAGTTTACTAATATCTTAATCAAAATCGTATTATGAAATATGTGGACATTACATATTGAATCGGGCTGCTTAATTAATATACAAAATACTAACATTGACAAAAAATAGTATTCTACGTAGGAATTTTTTTATATTTTTCAATTTGAGTAACAAATTAATTAATTAGCTACCACTCATGTTGCGGATGTTAAAGATATTTTATCGAATAAAAGGATTGAAATTTTTATATGATTTGGTTGTTTTAAACGCAAAATGATATCATTAGTTTCCAATGATGCTAAAATCAGTTTTCAAAGATGAAAAAAACAGATCGAATATTTTAAAGCAGCCCAAGCCAAATGATAAACTTAGGCGGCTATTATAAGTGATTAAATAGAATTAAGAAAACTTGATGCTAAGATAATTAGTTAAACGTCGAAATCAATAATGCTAATTTGAAGAATAACTATAACTTAATGTGATCCGTCAAGATGCATGCACGCATATAAATTAATAACTAAAGAAGTTAACCAAAAACTATACTAATACTTAAACAAATACATGGGATAATCCTTACGACATAATAAAAATACTTCCAATGGTTTGATGTGGATTTTAAATAAGTTATGATAGAAATAGTAGATAGGCTACAAAAGTTATCTTTGGTTGGGTTTGTTACTACCTTTGCTATAAATGTTGTTTTTTAACACCGGCCTCATTTTAAATAATCTATCATATATATGAGTTAATTAATCCCTAATCGCCCCGAGCAATATTTTTTTGTCAAAATAAATCTATTTCTCTAGGAGAAATTAGAGATGATCAATCTTTTGCACAATTGGAGTGTGAAAGATGGGGAGAAAAAACTCAAAATTTGAGCATCGACGACTTTTTTTATTTTATTTTCTTATATTATATTACTACTGTGTATGTTTGAATCGCGACCTTCACGTAGTGATTTCTATGTAATCATTATACATTAGACTAAATAAAAAATATTATGTTCTGGAAGAAGACTTTCTTTTTTAGAATTCTAAGTACAAAGAATTACATCGAGTGCTATCATCATCATTCAATGTTGGTCAGTCATGACTCATGAGATATAAATCGTGACAGCAAAACCTAATCTGTTTAATATCATCAAATAAAAATAGCGGTTTGATTAGTTGTCAAATTAATTAACATTGCTTTTACTATTTTTAAGTTTTTTTTTTTCAACAACTATATTAGATTGGCTCAAACTATTTTTGAGTTTAGAATGTTGGAAAGACGCACGAATAGCTTGATGCGTGTTTTTTATCTGACCCTTTTATATATCTATAGTTTTTTTGGATCGTAACGCAAGGATTTTCACCTCCATTATCTCTCCCATCTCAACGGTGCAAGCTTCTTTGGATCGCTCCATTCGAGACCGCTTCCTCTCTTTCCCGGGGTGTTCTTCCTCCTCGGTTTCTTTACTTGCTTTCTACTTTGGTTGTATCTCTTTCCCCTTCTAGCTTCTTGTCTTTTGTTTGAATAAGTTGTTTCAACATTGTAAAGTGAAAAATTCAGAAAATGGTATAAAATTTAACCTTGTACCAAAAAAAAAAAAAAAAAAAAAAAAAAATCTATAGTTTTTTTTTTTTTTCAGGTAGTTTGTACAAAATTGAAAATTCCTTTTCGTAAACAGGCTTTTCATGTTTAGATTAAAGCTTTATGATGGATCCAAATCTGCGATAATATTTTGGTAGGCTTTTTTAATAGCCCAATTCAGACTTTTCAAAAGAAAAAGCCCTTTAAGACTAAAATGGGATATGATACGAAAATCTACTTTGGTTTTGGGCTGAAGTTGATTCTTCTGTTTTATTGATTAGAGACTTTGCAAGTGTATTTATACGAGTGTAAGAAGAGTCTAAAACAATCTGGAAAAGGTATATATAGGATCTAAACACATATCGACGAGTGGAGCTGAATCCAATCTTAATATTGAGAGGAATAATCTGAGATCGTAGAAGAGGTTTGGGGAAACACCATTAGCGAGTTGATATGCGGACGACACATGATCTTAAGTGTACTTAATAGTGTCAGTGTGTGTTTTTCTTAAGTGCCACAAAATAAAGCTTTGGTCTGATTCCAATTATAAAGTGGATATTTGATCTTCTTTTTACACAGGCAAACTCCAATTGTCTTTTTTGTTGTTGTTACGAACATACGTATATATATGCATGCAAATTTGAAGTTTTGGTGGTTTTAACAACAGCAAAACTAGTCCTAAACAGTAGCTATATATTTGTTAATTAATTTATATAGTCCAAAAAACAGTCTTAGACTTGGTCAACTATATTTGTTTGTTAATATTTCATCTTATATATATAATTTCTTTGAGTCAATTTTTCTATAATAATTAGTTAATTACTATGATATTAGTACTTTGAGGTAAATTTTCTTTGAACTGCGATTTAAATTATGATAACAAATTCTCGAAATTAAGAGCAAATTGCTTTCCCTATTTTTTGCACCATATAGAATAAGTTAGATCTTACTCGTTTTTGGAGAGATTTAGTCAGTAAACAAGTCAACTCTCACTCGTTTTGGAGAGATTCTTCGAAAAGTATTTGAAGCTTCCATTTTTGGACTAACGTTAAATGGAATTTACCAAAATGTACATTTCAGAAGATTAATTATACTAATAATAGTAATAACGAAGATCAATGACGATAACAATGTCATCATACTAAGTATATATATATATATCTCACAAAGATTGGACTTACACATTAATTGATTTCATCAATCAAACTCCTTTTGTTTGCTCTTCGATGGCAGGAGCATCTCTAGTTTCCTCTTCTTCTTGTTCTTCCAATGTATCGTTTGATTCCAACAAGACCTCAAGTATTCATCAATTTCCGAGGAAAAGAGCTACGCAAAGGCTTCATCAGCTTTCTTGTGCCTGCCTTGAAAGACAATAACATCAACGTGTTTATAGACGATCAAGAGGAGAGGGGCAAATACCTAACCAGCCTGTTTGATAGAATTGGCGAGTCGAAAATCGCGCTAGTTATCTTCTCGGAAGATTACACCGAGTCAAAATGGTGTTTGGATGAGCTGGTACAGATCAAGGAATGTATGGATCAAAACAAACTTCGAGTGATTCCCATCTTCTACAAGCTTGATCCCGCCGTGGTGAAACGTCTTCAAGGAAAATTCGGCGATCAATTCAGGGATCTGGAATATCGATATAAACATAAACCAGAAAGACCCCAAAAATGGAAGGAAGCTGTGATTTCTGTTTGCCAAACGTTTGCCTTGTTCTTGCCCGAACACAGGTTTTTACTCTTCCACTTTTTATGTTCTTATTACTTGACAAATAATATATCTAATAATTTTAAAGCGGATAATTTAGCACGTAGTGTTCAAATATATATCCGCATGAAACTATTTCTCCCACTGGTTTGGATTTCCAAACAATTCTAGTTATTTAGTACACTATACCAATTATAAAGGAAAGCTAGTTGACTCATTGATTTTCTTTTCTTATATCAAAAGTGACACATCCGATAAAGATTTCATAATGTTAATCGTCAAGGAGGTTGGGAAAGTGCTGCCGGAAGGAGTTTTGTCGGTCTCTGCAAGTCAACAAAGTCTCACTATGAGCGAAGCACAAAAGTAAGAGCATTTCTTACGATTTCATTGCTCCACCCACTTAGACTATCTATGATATTTTGATGAAATATACAGAGAGCTCCAATGGTATGTATCATGAATAATAGAATCATCAAATGATAGGTAGTTAACATAATTATTAAGTAATGGGATTTCCAATTTTTTTAATAAATCACTAAAAAAAGGTTTTAATAGATTATGACGTTTCATTTTTATAATTCTTTTATTAACACGTTGAATGTTCTCAATGACAGAAATAGTGAAATCATGTTTTTAAAACAAATTGTACAAAATGTCTAATATTCTTTTCCTTCAATATTGCTTTCTCATTTATAATAGAAAAGTCTAATTAAATTTCCTTCTTAATGATAAATTAAAAAATATGACTAGCTATGTGTTATTTTCTCAACTACTATATATTATTTGCCTAGTGAACTAGATCTATGTTCAAATAAAAGGAATAAACCTCCGAGCTTGTGTTTCCTTAGAACTTTCTCATTTTGATGTTTGGATTTATGTTCAGTGAGGAAGCCGTTGAAATTTACCGGCCAAACAACATGACTGAAAATTTCCAGAATAGGAATCAGTTACCGGGGCTATCGTACGAGGTGATAACATTTTGCTTTTCTTTTTAGTTGATTTTCTTTATATATGTGTATTGGTATCATCAGTAAATGAAATTGACATGGAGATTTATATATCGACAGTTCAAATTCTTGGTTCTCGGGAGACCAAAAGGTAACACGTTCATGATTGGCGGCGCAAGGGGACTTTCTATTACATGGTCAGAGGATTCAAATTATTGGACCTGGCTCACTCTACCAAACCAAAATCCATAGTAAAACTTCTCTTAACATTATTTATTTTTAAGAGTTAGAGAGATAATTTTTTAAAACCATCAAAAACGCATTTAAGAAAATTATTTTAAACTTTTTTAAGAGCTTTCTTACAATTGATTTGTGGAGGTTTCTTGTAAGTTTAGTAAGGTCTGGCCTACATATTTCGAAGATTTATTGTCTTATCACTAAACACAATATTTCCCAGCGAATCTGTCGTGGAAATTGCGTATTTGAGAAAAGCAAGCTGGCTAGACGTAGAAGGAAAGTTTGACACACGATATCTGTCCCCGAGTACAAGATACGAGGTAGTGTTTGTGGTGTTATTGCAATACACCAAATTCAAATGGAAGAAACCAGTGAAGCTGAAGCTGGTCTTACCTTGTAGTAGAGAGCAACCGCAAGAGTGTCGTATGAGCATGGCAGGTCACATAACTAACCAATGGATTGATATTCCAGTGGGCGAGTTCACCACATCGGTGACAAACATCGGGGAAATCTCTTTTGCGATGTATGAACACGAGTGCCAACTGTGGAAGTCAGGGCTCTTTGTCAAAGGTGTTACAATTCGTCCCAAATACTAAGTCATTCATAAGCGTTATAGACCTCTCTCTCTATCTTCATCCATCATTTTATGTACCATATATGTAGAGGAAGATGATAACTATTGATTGATTATTTGATACAACATATAAGGATATATATATATATATATACATGAGACTAAGAGAGAATCTATACAAGATATGAATTAGGGATATAAAAGAATATATTAATTATAAGAACTTATAACTAAGATATGATCTCATGATCCCAGAGGAAAGTCCAATCTTGGTAGAGAGTGCCTCAAGTAACGATTGAGAGACGTTTCGTACACACGCGTGGTCTTTTTGTGATGATTTGGAAGTTTTGTTTTTCTTTTTTTTTTCCAGTGAATATGATTAAGATTTAACTGGTAAAAACTTAGGTTTAGTGGTTTTGATTTAAATGTTTGTAGTCTTTTCTAAAATTGTCTCTCTTTTTAGGACTGTTGTCTTCAGATATTTCAACATTTTTCGCCAGCTTAGTTCCAAAGATATTGAATTTTTCCGCAAGTGTATGTAAATTTACCAATTTTTAAATAAAATTTACGATGACAAAATTAAATACTTATAATTAAATATTAAAAAATAGGAAAGTTACGCAAGTGTAAGAATTTTGTTTGAATGTAAATATTTGGATTTTGATTGATGACTTGTACCCTTCTATTGGCTTGTAATTCTTTTTAAAACCGGATTTTAACCCATACACCATTTGGCAATACAGCTTAACTACCGCATGCATCATACTAGAACCAGATTCCAACCTCCTCACATTTATACTAGTCAATAAAAGCCAAGGTTTTCACATCAAAATAACATGTGCATTATATCAAAATCTAGATTTCAATTGGAACCAATAATAGGAGAAATAGAAAAATAATTAAGTTAAACATTAGACACATTTCAAAATCTCGTCAATTAGAATTTTAAAATGTGTCATATAATGAGTAGGAGGCAAACTTGATCGTAAAACATTATTGGGTTTCAAAAGCCAAAACTAAAGTAAAAACCACATGCTTTTAACCTCTAATGTGTATAGTTCATTGGTTTTGGCTTGTTGGCTGAGACTGTGGGTTGTTTTCTTTTTTGATGGTGAGTTTACCAGTACCGAATGCCCAAAAAGTAGTCTGAATTTCGGTTAACAAAAATGGTTATCCAAAACCTATATTTTTTTGACTTAGGGTTTGAATAGGGATGACAATTAGGCTGTCCAAGTCCAAATGGGACCAAGACCAAATAGGACTATGATGGTATAAGCCCAAATAGGACCGTATCCAAATAAGACCAAACCCAAATAAGACCATGACTAACTTGACAATCCATGAGACCCAAATAATATGATTTTCTATTTCCCGCAAAAACCGCAAAAATACATTTTCTGTCAAAATCGAAGAATTGTATTTTTCCGCCAAATCGCAAAATCACATTTTTCCGCCAAAACTGTAAAAATATTTTTTGGAATGAAAATGTCAATGTAAATCCTAATTTCTAAAGAAATAAATAAAAAAAATTTCTCCAAATTAGTAATCCTAATTATTAAAGCTTATTGTACGGCCATGTCCAAATGAGTTCGATCAATCTGTTTGCGGGTTAAATGAACTTCTAGCCCTTATAGACTGCTTCAAATTTGTGCTTGACCATATCCGGACCATTATAATTTGGACTGGTCTAGTCCATGGTCACAAAGCCCATTTGACATCCCTAGGTTTGAATTACGAGTTGGAATTATGTTTTGTTGGTTAATAAATTATCACAAGTTGACAACTAATCAATATATGTGTGTAAAACATTTCGGTTTGGTGGGTTCGGTTTTTTTTTTTTTAATTTGAATGGGTTTTTGTCCACCAAACCCACCCTGACACAATCAATCATTCAATTCGGTTGAACAGATTCGATTCTTGTTCTTCTCACTTCTCTAGTTTTATACAAGTATGTGTCTGAATTCGACAGGTATCCAATTATACATGTAAGGTCAATAACCACAATCAAGATCTAATCCAGTTTTGACTTTCATATATTAGTTTTGAGTTAAAAGACTTATTCAAGTTATGACAAGTGACAACTTAACATGTTGAATAATAGTGCTTTGAGGATTCAAACAGATAATAATATTGAGAAAAATCATTCGGAAACTCTCTCTAAAGAAAAAAGCTTTCTCATGGCGGCTTCTACCTTTTCTTCTTCGTCTTCTTTTGTAGGATTGATTCCATCACGGCCTTTAGTGTTCATCAAGTCACAGGAAGAAGATGTGAGCAAAGGTCTGATCAATTTTCTCGAACCTATCTTAAAAAACGAAAATATAAATGTCTTCATAGACGAGGAAAAGGTACGAGGAAAAGATCTAAAGAATCTGTTTAAAAGAATCCAGGACACAAGGATCTCACTGGCTATCTTTTCAGAGTCAAAATGTGATTTTAATGAGCTACCGAAGATTAAAGAACCTGTCGATGAAGCGATTCCTATATTCTACAAGGTAGATGCGATTGGAGACTTGGCTGATCTCCAAAACAGGTATTGTTTCTTTTCCTCTCTTCTTGGTCGAGGGCACGTCTTAGATCTTGATTTTTTTTGTCTATTTGAATATTTGGTCTGACCTAAATGGTTAGATGACCCGGTTTCAAACAAGTTACACTCTCTAAATGTACAAACGTTATTTCCTTTTTTGAGTTTAATTTAACATCAAATTCAAAAAAAAAAAAATGTTAAGGTGCAAGAAAGATCTCATAAATTCTGCTGTGGAGGAAATGAGTAGATTGCTGGCGAACATTTCTGTGGGAGTAAACAGAGAAAAAGAAGGAAATCACAAATGTTTTATGGTCCCTGCTAGGAAACTTCAGATCAGTCACTCGGATAAGCTAATAAACTGGACCTGGAGTTCTATCTACGAGGCACCAAAGTGAGTGGTATATATTAGATCAATTTTAAGTGATTAATGGTTAGTATATTTGTTCAAAAAAAAAATGGTTAGTATATTTGTTCAAAAAAAAAATGGTTAGTATATAAGTTACAGACCCACAAATTTAGGATATTAGTATTTATAAACTTATCTTTTTTTATTTTATTTTTAAAGATGGTTATAAACTTATAATTATAATTTCTTGTAAGAAAATAACTATTCTAATTTCTTTACAGAAAAATATATTTTCCATGCCAAGTTATAGAATCATATAGTAATACCTCTGAAATGCTTAAAATGTGATTTAAATAATACGACGTTCCAAACGATACACAGATGACAAAAGATTAGCAAGATCTCTACTTAAAGATGACTGACACACACAAACTGATAAATGGTCTGGATTTATTTATATAACACTGTATATGTACTTTTCAATGAAATCACTTATATATGTGAACCATATGATCTATTCTTAACATTGTATAAGATCATTTTAATATATTCTTAACTATAACAGAGTTAATAGTAACCTTTTAGAATTTTTTTTATTTATTTTGATATTTATGAAAAATTAAAAATAATCATATTCATAAAAAAAGAATCAGAATTATTGTTAGTTCTTTTTGGAATGCTTGTGTTGGGCTAAATATTTTGTTTGCTAGACAAGTTTTGGCATACAAGAAGTCAAGAACGAATGATTTTATTCCTTTTTTTTTTGTTTTGTTTAAATGGTTTTATTGTGTTCAGTGAAGCTGCCATTGAAATTGCGATGTTAAATGAAGTTTACTGGCTTCACATGTCTGGAAACTTTCACACAAGAAATCTAACACCAGGGACAAAATATGAGGTTGTGTTTCTGGTGAGTTTAGAGGATACATCTTTTGGATGGGATCAGCCGGTGAATCTGAACTTGAAGCTAATTAATCCAGATGGAACTGAGAGTTTTCAGGAGCGAACAACTAGCTTGGAATGTCACATAGGCGAAAACTGGGTGGATATTCAAGCTGGAGTTTTGGTGGCACCGCCTAGGAATGCGGCCGCAAAGATGACTTTCACCATGTATCAATATGTGACCAGTGACCGGAAGAGCGGGCTCCTGGTCAAAGGTGTTGCTATTCGTCCCATGCCTTAATTAAAGCTAAAGTAAAAAATATATGTTGGATATATAATTTTATTTATGATTGTGATTACATGTAGTAGACTATTTTTATGGTAAACAATAAATCTTCAAGCTAATACCCAAGCTATTCATTTTGATTGAAATCTAACAAATATTAGCAATACAATATACAGTATGTGTTTTATTAAAGTGAATTTCTACATACTTTTAGGTGGGTTCAAATCCTAATGATGCATGCAGTGACAGATTACATGACTTGATTATGGTATCCCCGCGTTCGAGAGCTCAATTCTTCCTTGTCTTTGATATGAACAAGTCAACTTCTTTTGGTATCTATTACTCCTTCCGTTTTATATTATTTGTCGTTTAAGGTTTTTGCACGAAAATTAATAAAACAATTAAATTTTCTATTTTATCCCTATTCAATATATTTTCTAATTTTTTAATTGGTCAAAACATTAAAACAGTGAGGATAAAATTGTAAATTTTATCAAACATCTGCATTGAAAATCTAAAACGACAACTATTATGAAACAAAATTTAAGTGGTAGAACGACAATTAAACTAAAATTGAGGGAGTAATTAATTTCTTCGCAGTTGCAATTTTTAATTGGTCACTGATTTTCTAATTAATCGACGGGAAGACTTTGTGAATTGGGGAGGGCTTCGACACTTGATGTATATATAATAACACTAGACTAAACCAACGTAAAATGATAATATATTAAAATAGAATAAAGTAAAACTCGGTGTTAATGACAAAACAATCGTAGTTTAGTCTGGTTTATTATGTTGATCAAGGTCATAAATTGATTATGATTTGATGCATCTGTGATCTGTTCACCAGCTACATATGTTAATAGATTAGTCTGAGTTATCTCTTTAACCAAAATACCCATCACTTATGAACATACTCGGAATTGACCTAGAGACGCCCATATAGAGTCAATGGACTAATTCAAATTTCGAAGACAAGCTATACTTATCTGTTATAATAAACTACATGTTGACAATTTACATATTAAAAATATTTCAAGCATTCAAGTATATAAGGACGTTGGATTAGTTTATCGTCCAAAGCAGCTTGACAAAACAGAAGCTCAAACAATTATCAACAAAAACTCTATTTTTTTCTCAAAAATCTCTCTCATGCATGGCTTCTTCTTCATCAGCTGTGAAACCCTCCCCAACGGGGCCTCAAGTGTTCATATGCTTCCGAGGAGCAGATGTCCGCAAACACTTTCTAAGCTTTCTTGACCCTGCCTTGAGAGAAGCGAATATAAACGTCTTCATAGATGATGACGAGTTTTTGGGCACAGATTTGGTTAACCTTTTGAAGAGGATAGAAGAGTCGGAGATCGCGCTAGTGATCTTTTCGGAGGATTTCACAAGTTCGTATTGGTGCTTGGAGGAGCTAGCCAAGATCAAGGAATGCAAGGATCAAGGCCGTCTCATAGTGATTCCCATCTTCTACAAAGTTAAACCTTCCGTTGTGAAATATCTTAAAGGAAATTTTGGCGATAATTTCAGGGAACTAGAACGCAATAATCTACACATGCCACAAAGAACTCAGAAATGGAAGGAAGCTTTAGTGTCTATCCCAGAATCAATAGGCATGCCCTTGGCAGAACAAAGGTTATTTTAATGTTCTTTTGGCCAAGTATAGAACATCTAGCTAAACTATCCCTAAAGATATACATCAAGAACCTAATAAACAGTTTGTTTTTGATATTAAACAGTTTGTTTTTGATATCTCTTACTTGTATGGTATGACAGTGAGAAGACCGATAAAGACTTCATAACCTCAATGGTCATCAAGATTCAAAAATTACTGGATTATATGGCTGCGAGAAGAAACAAAGAAATAGAAGCGAATCGTCAAGGAGTTTCCATCGTCCCTGCAAGGAAACCAAAAGCAGAAGCGAATCCTCAAGGAGGTTCCATGGTCCCTGCAAGGGAGCAAGAAAGAGAAGCGAGTCATCAAGGAGGTTCCGTGGTCCCGTCCATGGTCCTTGCAAAGGATTTAGTAATCACTCATTTTGATAAACCTCGAGTATGGACTTGGAGTACTATCAACGAGGCACCAAAGTAATATTCTAGTCTCTTTTTAATGGATTCTAAAAATCACTCATTGGTATTTTTTTTTGGTCAACAACTTTATTAGACTAATTCAAATGAACTTAACTCTAAGGGATATTGTTTACATATGTAATATAATGCGGTTCGGTACGAACTTTTCGTGTCAGGTTATACACTTTAACATTTGCACTACAAGAAAGCAAAGATAAGAAAAAAAGAGAATTCTTCCTTATCAGATATGAAAAGTAGTATGTCATTTTTCTGATATGAAAAAAATAAATAACAGTTTATGAAAGCTAGATCGAGATTTAGGCCCTCTTAACTAACATTTATTTTCTTTGCACAAAAAAAAAAAAAACTAACATTTATTTATGTATAATTTACAGAAATAAGTTTTGGGTTCGTTCATCTTTTTTAGTAATTACAACCCTTTATCAAGATATTGTGATCAAATTCGTGAAATTAGTTGCGATATTTTATTCTTTCTAAAAATGTTTATTTGTGATTCTGGTCCTTTCTATTTCTCATCTATGTTTGATTTAATTATGTTTGCAGCTCTGCGGAAATTGAAATTGCGACGTCGAATAAACTTTACTGGCTTAAAATAGTGGGAACAATAACTACGGAGAATCTAACACCAGGAACTAAGTACGAGGCTGTATTCGTAGTGAAATTAGAAAATAATGCTAGTGGATGGGATATACCAGTGACTCTAAAGCTGAAGGTGGTACAACACGATGGGGACGACGATAGGGTGGATCGAACAGAGAACTTGAACGATTACATAGGCCAGAACTGGGTGGATATTTTGGCTGGAGTTTTCGTGGTTCCGCCAAAAACCACTCCCGCAACGATCATTTGCACCATGTATCAGTACGCGGACGAGTATAAGAAAAAGGGACTCGTCGTCAAAGGTCTTGCAATACGTCCCACGAACTAAGGCGTACAAGCAAAAGGATATATGATCTTTCTTGTTGTCTAATATATGTATTTGAAAAATGAAACACTGGTCTGTTTTGTTAACAAGTGAATTGTTCTTCTTCTTTTTTTTTTGGCTATTTTGTTGTTTGAAGTTCTGATAAATTTTTATAATTTCAGTTTTTAAATCTTGATGGTATATATGGTTCTACGAGAGGCTAATGATGCTCCCAATCTTACAAGTAAAGTTTACATGAACACATTATTTTTTGCTTTTATACTGGTGATATGATATATACATATGGACACATTAAGTTTTAACAAATTTAAAATTGTATTAAATAACATCATACTTTAGGCTTCTCTTATAAAATTTGGTGTAATTTAGGTTTAAAATTTTAATTTGTGAAGTTAGGGGAAGAGACAAAAATATGGGTCTTCTATATTATAGTATTGTATATCACCCATTAAAAATAAAAAAAAACAATTATCTATTTGGCTTACTGATTGCTGGGACGAAACATATATACACTGAGTAATATAAATTGATTACCCCTTTCTCTTTCTCCCTTTTTGTTTCAGAAATTTAGCTAGCAGCCGAGGCTGAACACAAAACCTACGTTAGATTTTAGTATATATCCAAATGTACAATTTTTCCTTTGTTTTATAAAGTTTTGCAATGGCTAACCAAACTTGTTTTTTTTTTGTTTTGTAATTCACAGTTTTAGGAAATAATAGCACTTACAGTAAAACCGTCTCATAATGATACTTACTATGCATTGTCCGGGAAAATAAACCAACCAATGATCATGATTATGAGAGTTATGATCACTGAAATAGTCTTTCACATGATGAATTGAATGACGGATGTGTTTTAAAATGCTTTAACATGCATAGTGAAAATGTCACTGTAGCGTCCCGCATATTTTTTATTTTTAATAATATTGTTCTTAATAATTTGCTTTTTAATCTGTATACTCTACTCAAGTCTTACTCGATTAAATATTACACAAATAAGAATATCAAATTTCCATAAACCATGACATCTTTAAATCAAGTGGTTTATGCAATGACATACCAATATACCATAGGAGTTGATTATTGTCTCACCGCGTTCGAAAGCTCAGTTTTCAATGATATATGAAGGTATTAATGTATGAACAAGTCCAATTATCGTGTTTTACTATGGTACGCATTCGCAGCTGTAATTTTTAATCTGACACTTGAGATTTTATTAAAGTAGCCTAGGGAAAGACTTTATGAACTAGGGAACTCTCGTTGACTTGGATTATAATTTGAGGAAGGACTTTTGGGGACGACTCATGCAAACCAATCAAATATACACCTTGCAGTAAAACTCGGTTTTGTGACCAAATAATATTAGTTTAGTTTATCGTTGACGAAAATTAAATTAGTTTAGTTTATGCATTATCGTCGTCTTAACTAATTCTTATTTGATGTTATCTGTTAACCAACTTACATACGTTACTAGTTATAAGAAAAAAGAAAAAAGAAAAAAGAAAAAGAAAAAAAAACTACATACGTTACAAAATTAGTTATATATACATTGATGTCGATATGATTAAAAGACAAATTCAAATTGAGAAAATTTATAAAGTAGACACTAATTCTACAAATAATTTGTAAAGTAGATAGTTTTTTTAAAAATTAGAAAAATAGACAGTTTTATCTTTCCTCTCTAGTACAACTTTCTCTCAAATAGATATATTAGTAAATAACATATATATTATTTTTTATTTTTATGTATCCACATAATGATATAATTGACTTAGTCAAAAACTTTCTTTTTTATCTATCTTTTCTTTCACTTATATAATTTCACTTCGTTTTGCTAGAAAATCTTCATAAATTTTTTTGCCACAACCACATATTCATATTTACTTTTTTTTTTCTGTGAATATAAAAAGTCCAAATTTACTATATTTTACGGATACATAATATTTTTTTATTTAATCTCAACCAGATGATGTACGTGATAATATAAAAGATGGTGTACAAATGGTGGTATACAAATAGTAGTGTACGACGATAATGTAAAAATTAATGTATGATACTGATGTAAAAAGTGATATACTGGATATAACTACAAGGTGCTGTACAAGGTGGTGTACAAACTACAATCTATAATACTGTACAACTATATAAATACGATGTATGGTGTACATGAAATAATGAGAAAGTGGGTTGCACCATATACCATCTTGGGCACCGTCTACAATATCGTATACCTTTACATATTTTGTACATCACGTCTAGAAAGAGACGACCATTTTTGTCGAGAGTTAATGCATAAAACGATGTTTAAATGACAGTGTACGAGATTAATGTAAAAACAAGTGTACATTAATCATGTACATCATCATATTACTTATATACCATCATGTTTGTATAAATATTTTGAATAATTATCACTATTATTATCATTACTTCAATTTACAAGTACTAGACAAATCTGTATCTTAGATGGTCTACGAGATTTTATATACATATCAGTGTACAAAATAAATTGGTGTACAATTATTAGTGTACAAAACGTTGTTTAAAATGCGGGTGTACCAAAATGATGATGAAAAAATATACAAAAAAAATCTTAATAAAATAAAAAGAATTAACAAAAATGATGAAGAGAAAAGAAAAACAGTGGTCCCTCACCAAAAATTATCTTTCACAATATAAAGGGTGAAGTGGTATTTGACAGTTAATTTGTTTTTAACGTATTACACATATCTATTTATCTCAAAAAAACGAAAAAAAATGTTTATTTTTCTATTTTTTAAAAAAAACTATCTACTTGTCAAATTACTTTAGACAATTTTTGTGATCTATGTTAATAAACTACATGTTGGAAAGTTAGATATTACATTATTTCGAGCATTCAAATATATATAAGGACGTGTGATTAGCTTTAACGTTCAAAGCATATTGACAAGACACTAAAGGTCAAAGAACAATCAACCAAAACACTCGCTTTACCTTCCCAAAAAAAGTTCTCTTATGGCTGCTTCTTCTTCTGTGAGACCAACCACAACGGGACCTCAAGTGTTCATCAACTTCCGCGGAAAAGATGTGCGCAACGGCTTCTTAAGCTTTCTTGAGCCTGCCATGAGAGAAGCTAACATAAACGTCTTCATAGACAAGCATGAAGTGGTGGGCACAGATCTGGTTAACCTTTTTGTTAGGATCCAAGAGTCAAGAGTAGCGGTGGTGATCTTCTCTAAGGATTACACAAGTTCGGAATGGTGCTTAGATGAGCTGGCCCAGATCAAGGATTGCATCGATCAAGGCGGTCTCAATGTGATTCCCATCTTCTACAAACTTGCACCTTCCTCCGTGGAAGAACTCAAAGGAGGCTTTGGCGATAGTTTCAGGGTTCTAAAGTGCAAATATAAAGACGAGCCTGAAAGAACTCAAAAATGGGAAGAAGCTTTAAAGTCTATTCCTAAAATAAAGGGCCTGACCTTGTCAGAAAAAAGGTTGATCTCTTATCTTTTGCTTCGTTATTCTAGAGTGCAAATCTATATTAATCTCCGTTCGTTAAATAAATACACCTAGAATATTATGTTGTTGGTATGACCAAAGTATGTAGCTGTTCGGCCTGAGGGGATGTAGGTTCAAATATATATATATATGTAGCTATTTCTTGTAGAACACGGAATCAAGTAACAGAAAGGACAAGTTTATTCACATCTCTCACTCGTATTGTTTGACAGTGATAGGAACGAAAGAGAGTTCATGAATGAAACGATTTTCGAGATTCAGAGATCGCTGTCACAAATCGCCGTGAAGGGAAACCCGAAGGTAGAATCGAATTCACTAGGAGGATTTATGGTCCCTGCAAGGAGACTTGTCATTACTCACGCTGAGAATCCTGAAAAATGGACCTGGAGTGCTATCTACGACAGACCACAGTAAGAATTTATTCAATGGAAAAATAAACTTTTTATTTTTAATTCAACTTGGGAGTACTATATTTTCAAAAAATATTTCATGAAAATTCAACACAAGATATATGATGTGTAATCATTTGATTACTTTTACATAATTTCTTGTAATAATGAAACTTTCATTTTTTATCAGCAAAGCCGACATCGAAATTGCAACGATGATTAACACTCATAGCTTAATAAAAATAAACGGAGATTTTCACACGAGAAAATTGATACCGGGGAAAAAGTACGAGGTGGTGTTTCTTGTGAGGCTAGATGATACATCTTTGGGATGGAAGAATGACGTGACCCTGACGCTGAAGCTGGTCATGGGTGATAAAACGGGAAATGAGAAAGAGAAAAAGTTGTATTTGGACGAATACATAGGAGAAAATTGGGTGGATATTCTTGTCGGAGAATTTGAGGCGCCGCCAAAGAAAGACGACGCAAAGATCTTTTTCTCGATGTATCAGTATGTGGACACTGACAAGAAGAGTGGTCTTGTTGTCAAAGGTTTTGCAATTCGTCCAGCGTAGTGAGGCACAAAAGCAAAGCATACTGGATCAAATTTCTGTTTAACTATTATTTATATAACTTCATTTCAAAATAAGATCAATGCAGGTCAATTTCTGGTTTAAAGTTTGTACTCTTTTTTTTTTTTTTTTTTTTTGTAAGTCAGAGTCTGTACTTTCTTGTTTTTGTTTTGGTACTGTTATGTTTTAAAAACATTTATGTCTTTATTTCGGTCAATAACATGTTTAACTATGTTTTGTAAGAGTGTACAGTTTTAAATGATGTAAAAACCGATAGTAGCTGCCAAAAGTTTTTTTGGGATAGTCATACGATAGCACACACCGTGTGACCGTGAGGCTACATGTCCTTATCGTTAATTTTTTTTTCTAATTTATTTGTATGAATTTCATGGTGTAGGAACTTGGCTGTGACTGTGAGAGATAAAATGATGCACACTTTACACCTTTTTTTTTTTTTTTTTTTTTTTTTTTTTTTTTTTTTTTAACACTTGTAGTTTCTTACGGTTATATGCACATATAGAACGAAATTGAGTACAAGAAATCTAACGAAGGATATTTCTTAAACTTATGTTAGAATCCAAAGAAGTACATTATAAATTTGCCTAATGGGAATTGAATATAATTCACTATATTGATTATCAATTAGTTTGGAGTTTGAAACTCATTTATCATGAAAACTAAACATACGGAATATTTGTCGACACAAAAATCATGCAAATTAGTTTTAAAACTGCATAATTTGGTTCAAGGGGTGAACAATTATACATCTTCTGAACTTGGGCTACAATGGGTCACATCATAATTTTACTAATCATATATATCCAATATTAAAAAATATAATTTTACTATATATTATCCATGTTTTCCATTGATAAAAAATAAGTTGAGCTTTTTATATTAAAAAAAATTTAGATGTTCTAGATTTTTTTGTTTTTTTGAGAAATTTCTCACACTTTCAAGTTTTGTTGCGAAATACTACTCCCTCTATTTCAAAATATATGATATTTTAGTGATTTTTTTTATTTCAAGATATATGATGTCTTACAACTTTCAATGCAAATATTAAATATATTTGATATTTTGTGACTAATTATATTCTGCATTCATTTTGTAATTGGTTGATTTTTTTTAAATCAAATATTTAGTGAGAGATTCAAAGAGAAAAATAAATTTCTTAAACTATGTGATTTAAATTAAAACATCATATATTTTGAAACAGAAAAAGTACTATTTGTTTGATGTTCCAAAAATACCACCAAAAGTTTCATTTTTCAAAATACTACAAAAAAGTAATGTTTGATTTTCAAGGGTTTAGAATTTAAAATTCTAGAAGGGGAAACTTTTTTTTAGGTTTGAGTTAACGATTTTAGATTTAGGCTAAAGTTTTTAGGAGGTAGGGTTTAGTGTTTATTTGTGAAGGTTGAAATTTAAATATTAGTTTTGTGGTATTTTTGGAAAACCAGAAACTTAAGTGGTTTTTGAAAAACTAAAACATAAGTAGGATTTTTGGAAAACCAAAACTGTGTGGGGTTTTTGACAATTGCCCTTGTTTTTTTTGTTTTTTTTCAAATTTCTATATCATCTTAGTGTTATATTTCTCAATGTATCCGTATCAATGAAATTCAATGTACGTAAATTTTAATTAATATATAAAATCTGATGAATACAGTGCTTCAATGGCATAAAAGGATTTGAAGTGTTATTAATTCGACAATTGCAATGGCCGCGGAATTATCCTCGCTTGCAGTGGTCAATGGTCATGGCTTTAATGGTTAGAATCTAACTTTTAAGTTCTCGCCTTTTCTATATTTTCTCTATATGCTTGTTAATATCTTTATATGAAGTTGACGAGAGAGTTCAAAATTTCGGACAGACAAAATTTTGGGTCCTCAAGAGACAAAACGACAAGGTTTTCATGGTCAATGCAAGGGATCTCTCTGTCACATGGTCGGATAACCCTGAATATTGGTCTTGGCTCCCTCTCCCAAACGAAAAAACAAAGTAAGAGCTCTAAAAATTTCATTAATATACAAATTTTTTCTTACAAAAAGTTATATATTTTAGCGAGAATCATGACAAGATTCATGAATTTGAAACGCAACGAATGACTTGTTCATGTCTTCTAAATATTGTTTTATTTGATGTTTTATCTCATATGTAATAGATCTTGCTTCATTTATTTTTAGTGTGTGTAAATGATGCATATGAATAAAGCGTTGATCTAACTTATTGTTATAGCTTTTTTTTTTTGGTTGAATATTAATAAAAATATTAGGTCCGTTAGTTTACTTAAAAAAAAAAGATACCAACACATCAAATATGTGATTAATAAATAAAAAAAGCATTTTGAGCTTGAGTAACTGCAATATATAGACCACTAGAAGGTTGCCCACGCGATGCGTGGATTTTTTAATTCATTTTTTCTTGCTAAATTTTTTATAATTTAGTTGGTTTGGTGTATATATGTATTTTTTTGGTCAAGAGATGAATCTAAATTTAAATTACGTATTTTATAGAAAACTTTCTATCTAATCATTGTTAATCATAAGAAAAACAAAAACTTCTGTTATTTAATTTTTCGACAAAATTTAAAAAGACTATTTTGGATTTTTAATTATAAACTGTTCTAGATGCAATTCTAAATTTTACCAAGAAAATAAAATCTTCTCAATGCATTTCTAAGTATTTTCTAGGATCGAAACACACACTAAATTTTTTATTTTAGTTAAATTATGTATGTTATAAAAGAAACTTCTCTTACCTAAGTGTTGATAGAACACTAATTCTAAATTTTGAGAATGAATTTATTGTTCTCATGGTATATATATAACAAATAATATCTTTGACAATCTTCTTTCTAGGTTTCATAATGATAATTTTTTCCTATCAATGTAGCAATGTTGAAAATTGATAGGTCATTCCTTCAATATTTTTGTGAAGTGAGTACTATATAAATAGTTTTTGTCATGACATATATGAAAAAATCTCCTAAATGATTTTTGAATTTTGTCTTCAATAGTTTATTTTTTTAGGTTTTGAAGTGATAATTTTTTTTTAAATATAGAAGTTCTGAAATAGTAATGAGAATTTTTTTTACATCATTTAGATCGACAATATCCGACCTATAACATAATACACGGAGTAACGTGACCATATACTATTTTATATGGTTCTATTAAAATATATCTTACCAAATTATATGAAGTGGCAATATATTTTAACCATCTATTTCATTATGCAAAGAAATTATTAATAATATATATATATATATATATATATATATATATTTTACGAATAATATATATATATATATATGATAAAAAATATGTATGTTCATTCTTTTGATGAGATCGAAGATACTTCATGCAGTTTGAGAATCCAAAAACGAATGTCATCAAGAATCGTCTCGACCACTTACTAAGCTTTACCAACTCTTGCCAATCACATTAAAACCAAATATGAAAATTTATAGAGAATGGTTTGCTATTTGCGATGAATATCTACTCCAATATATAACTGTTTTTCTTCCTTCAAATTATAATGCCCAAAAATGATAGTTAGGTATGATAGATATACATAGGGTCTTTAAATGATGACGAAATAATATATTTTCGGCAACAACGATAACATGAAAAAAGATAATAGTAATTTTAGAACGAATAAAAGATAATAGTAAGAGAATGAGATATGTTAAAAATTAGCGGTTTAGATGTAATACCAATTGGTAAGAGATGATTATCATACATATCATCAATTCTCCACCATTCTCTAAGATTACCCAAAACATTTGCCTCAAACTTTCTACTTTGTAATTGATCTATGAAAAAAAAAATTAGAACCTTTTGTCCCACCAGTTTTTTTTCGTTAGTCCGATCCTTGCTTGGTCTTGCAACCAACTTTACTTCTCATTGTCAACTCCTTTCTCCATATGCATTCAATCATTCAAAGTTCATCTGATGCCCTCTCAATTCTTTCATTAGTTCAACTACATCATGATAGATAATAGTCATGCTCCAAAATAGAATTTTCTTCACCTTGTGATGTGAGACAAAAATCTCTTTCTTGAGGACATGTATAAGAATTGTTTCAATTTTATTTGGGGTAAAAAAAATGCATGTAACTAAAGATTGATGTAACCATTTTAGAAAAATATTAAACACTAAATAGTTTGAATCAATCACAAAAACTAAATAACAAAATATAAGAGCTAATATGAGTCTAAGATGTAAGTAAGAGTCTATATATATTAGTACAATATATTAATGTTAGATTGATGTTTCTTTTTGTGTTGAAAGTTTTAGTTTACCATTAGAAATTGGAAATTATGAAACTTTAATGTCTAAGTTAATGCTAATTTTAATGTCCATTATAGTTGATCATTTAGTATTCTTTAGTCCATGTCTCTTTATATTGTAGAGTCATTAAATATTTTTGACTACGTTTTATAAAAGTTGGAGGAGAAGTGTATATGCGTGTCTCAAATTATATTAATTGGATAGTTTATGCCTTTATGGTTTTCATTAAATTTGATAACTATGAAAAAGTTAATATTATGTAAAAAAAGTTAATTTTTAATTATGTTACTTGATTTTAACTACAGAAATAATAAGATTTATGGTGGTTTTCACTCACGCCCAACCCTAGGAAAAAAAACATCAAGTTAAATTTATATATTGGTACATAGCAGTCATCTTGACGGGCTACCTTCTGTATGCCTTGAATCTTGAAATTGGTTTTGATGGTTGTGGCTCCGATTTTTGTATAGGTGGCTGCACCTTAGAGTTCAAACTTTCAGATTCAAGTCTAGCCTTGCAAAAAGAAAAATTAAAGAAAAAAATAATATCAGATTAACTAATTATATATAGATAATCTCATATATCACGAACACTTAATCTCTAGCAAACTCCAAGTATTGTTTTATATTCCCTTTGATGTTCTCCATAAGATGTTTTTCGCCTCCGGTGGTCTGAAAACCTTTGCACGAGTCAACAATTAAGGAAAGATTATATGTCATTAATTTTGCGATATCTCAAGGAACATGTCCCTAAAACTCCTATCAACATCAAATGCTAGACTTTGAAGACGAAGAGAGCATCCTCTCCCAAATGTATATCGTTGGCTCTAAGAATCACCAAATCATTACATAAAAAGTCTCCACATACCAGACCATCTTGGGCAAGTATGCGAAATATTGCTTTTTTCCATGAGGCCCAATCATACCTATAATGACGAAACTAAAAAGAAAAGAGTCGAAAATATGAATTAGATTCTCCAATCAACTTATTGAAAACAAAAGCTCATCTTAAAATCCAAAAACATAAATAAATCAAATTACCGATGTCGGAAACCACACTCCATGATCAATCGGGATCAAGGTCCTTGCTCAACAAGATATTAAACTTGTCTACTCCCATGTTTCCGTATCGAATGTGAATCAACGTTATTTATTGAAAATATTCTATACTGAAAATTTTGTGACCAAGATTGAGCCATAGTTCATTCGGAATGTATTTATGCAATGATCCTCTTGTCCACTGAGTTTCTCATTTATCTTTGAATTGCAAACAGTGTATCATGGTTTTCGAGAGATGCCTCCGAATCCATCTTCTGCTCCTTTTTAGGGAGATCCAAGAGGTATGCAGCATGTTCTCGTATGGCATTATCTCCTTTTATCCAACCATAATGCTCTTCATGGATTTCTTTATCTACCGGTTTGAACACCGCAACCATTTTCTTGTTGTCGTCCATTAAGTAATATGCTCCGTTAGTTGCAATCTCAATTTTCTGCGCAATATGTTTTTTCTTTAAACCATGTTCGCCGCTAGAACTATATCTTGTGCATTTGGGACATGAACTTGAACATCCTCTACTACAATATTTTCATATCAAAAACCCTCCATTGGTTACCTAAAATCAAGTTGATCCATAACAAACAAAAAAGAAAGAAATCTTAGAGACGATAGAGAAGGAAAGAAAGCGAGAATTAAAGAGACGATATGGTTTGCAATATAAATGAGATATGTGACTTGAAGAGATACATAAAAACAAAAGAATCAGACAAGAACCGTACTAAAACAGTTCCAATTTCAGATCAACAACTTGGTTGATATATAGCAAGATGAGAAAATAGAGATAAACAATAAACAAAGACGATGCTTCAGAGGAATTTATTTTAGATAAAGGCATTCCTTGGGGTTTCACCTCTGTTATTTATTCAATGCGTATTGAAAAACCAAATTTGAAGAAAAGTGTTACATACCTAAACTAAGAAAAAACATAAATGTGGACTACACATAATATACAAAGTTTTTTTTGCACAATTATAACACACATTCTACAAAACCTCCAAAAATAGCATTAGTTGTTGATACAATAACAATCGAGTCGCCTGACCTTTGTCATACCTAGTTGCAACAACGAACATACTTTGACTACTTTGTTTGTCGAATCTTTGGAAGAATATAAAGGATTGGTCACATATGCATTCATTAGTACCAAGGAGGTTATGTTCATCCGATTTGATTATTTGTTTTGTTCTTGAAGCTTCCTGCTTGTCCTCGACAAGGTTGTATGATGAAACTCCACTATTGATTCCTTTCATACTTTGTTTGAGAGGTATCATACCACTTGTCTTATTTTTGTTTTTCAGGTAACCGTTGGCTAGATAGACTTGTTATTAATGTTTATTGATCATTTGATTGCCTTTGGAAATTGTTGATGATTGATTGATTAGTAAAGGGATTAATTACATGAAAATGAATTAGTTTTGTTTAGTGTTCTATGGCGTAAGGATTACACTTGTTAGAAGTAGCTTTGAAATCCATAAACCATCTCTTAGTCATTATTAGAAGATAAAATAAGGAAAAATCTAGGAAAAAGACAACTTCAAAGTATACATGTTTTCTTTTCAGTAAAATAAAAATTTATTATATAAATTTAGTGGGGATTTTAATTTGAAATGTGCAAATTAAATAGTTAATGTAGTTAATCAATCATATGTGAGTCCACCATATGTTATAAATCGTGTGATTAGTCACATGAGAAAGAAAGTTATTGCTAATAAGTTAATAAAACCACAATTGAAACCAATTTAATGCTATTAATTGAAAAAACGTTTAGGTCCAATCAAAATTTAGAGGAGAAGTTATTTATTTATTTTTCATTAAATTTGTTAACTATTGCAAGAAGAAAAAATATGTAAAAATGAATTGTCAAGTAACCCAATAAAAAAGAAAGTGAACACTTTAAACTATTTAATTTACACTTTATATAACCATTTTCCAATTATAATTAAAATAGACCAAATTAACTCTCATGTATTAAAAATTTGTAGGCTATATAAAAAGTATAAGTCAAATTTCTTGAAATATTCTGTTCAACTATTTAATTTACTCTTTATATAAAATTTCGAAATTATAATTAAAAATAAATTAATAAAAATAAATGTTCAACAACTCAAAATTAATAATTATTAGTATGGGGGTTACAAATCTAAAAATAAGTAAAATGATTTTACTGTAAATATTATAAGAAATTCATTTTCCACAATAATGGTGTAACATAAATTTTTTGGTTTAATTGTGGTAAATTAATATGAATAATTAAACACTTTGATAATAATAAAGATTAGAAATAAATATTGGTATCTTATATGAATTTTATTTTCTATATTATATTGGTATTAAAAAGTATAGAGGAAAAGAATCAAAACTTAAAATATTGAAAAATAAAGTAATGGAGAGATATTTATTTTTGTTTTTCAGGTAACCGTTGGCTAGATAGACTTGTTATTAATGTTTATTGATCATTTGATTGCCTTTGGAAATTGTTGATGATTGATTGATTAGTAAAGGGATTAATTACATGAAAATGAATTAGTTTTGTTTAGTGTTCTATGGCGTAAGGATTACACTTGTTAGAAGTAGCTTTGAAATCCATAAACCATCTCTTAGTCATTATTAGAAGATAAAATAAGGAAAAATCTAGGAAAAAGACAACTTCAAAGTATACATGTTTTCTTTTCAGTAAAATAAAAATTTATTATATAAATTTAGTGGGGATTTTAATTTGAAATGTGCAAATTAAATAGTTAATGTAGTTAATCAATCATATGTGAGTCCACCATATGTTATAAATCGTGTGATTAGTCACATGAAAAAGAAAGTTATTGCTAATAAGTTAATAAAACCACAATTGAAACCAATTTAATGCTATTAATTGAAAAAACGTTTAGGTCCAATCAAAATTTAGAGGAGAAGTTATTTATTTATTTTTCATTAAATTTGTTAACTATTGCAAGAAGAAAAAATATGTAAAAATGAATTGTCAAGTAACCCAATAAAAAAGAAAGTGAACACTTTAAACTATTTAATTTACACTTTATATAACCATTTTCCAATTATAATTAAAATAGACCAAATTAACTCTCATGTATTAAAAATTTGTAGGCTATATAAAAAGTATAAGTCAAATTTCTTGAAATATTCTGTTCAACTATTTAATTTACTCTTTATATAAAATTTCGAAATTATAATTAAAAATAAATTAATAAAAATAAATGTTCAACAACTCAAAATTAATAATTATTAGTATGGGGGTTACAAATCTAAAAATAAGTAAAATGATTTTACTGTAAATATTATAAGAAATTCATTTTCCACAATAATGGTGTAACATAAATTTTTTGGTTTAATTGTGGTAAATTAATATGAATAATTAAACACTTTGATAATAATAAAGATTAGAAATAAATATTGGTATCTTATATGAATTTTATTTTCTATATTATATTGGTATTAAAAAGTATAGAGGAAAAGAATCAAAACTTAAAATATTGAAAAATAAAGTAATGGAGAGATATTTATTGATTTAAATAAAAAGAGAAATTAGTTATGGTATATTAATGTGGATAATTAAGAGATGGAAAATATGACACATGTCAAGCATTTGAAATGCCAAATGTCAAAAAATTAGAGCAAGTTTAGAAGAAACTTTGTCGTATTATATAAGATTCTTCGAATATATAAAGAGGTGATTTTTTTTTTGTGCAGCGAGGTAGTTGTTGAAGCCGCGCTGTTGAATCAAGTTTGCTGGTTAGATGTGTCCGGAAAGTTCAACACAAAAGACCTGTCTCTAGGGATAAAGTACGAGGTGTTTTTCATGGTTAAGCTAGAGGCTACAGCTTACGGATGGGATTGGGCACCGGTTAAGCTGAAATTGGTCACGCCGAGTAATAGCGAGACACCTCAAGAGCAGAGTGTGAGCTTTGAGGAACACATTGGGAAGCAATGGATAGATATTCCCGCCGGTGAGTTCATAATGTCTAAGGAGAACGCAGGAGAGATCAGTTTCTCATTGTATGAGCACGAAGCCAATATGTGGAGGTCAGGGCTTAGAGTCAAAGGCGTTTTAATTCGTCCTAAATACCAAGTCTAATTCATTTTGTTCGTATTAATTTCATTACTCGCTAATTATATGAAAGGTGTATTTACACGTTTATATTGGTTATGAATATATACTATACGATTTTTCATGTTTTCACGTTATTAGATTATACTATATTACTATTTTTACCACTTTGAGTATTCATCAATTTAAAAAATCATGGCCAGATCAAACCTATTTTTTTTTTTAAAAAGATGTTGGTTTAGTTTAGTTTAGATTTGTTTGTTCTTCTCACTCTTTTTAGCTCAATACTTTGTCAGGTTCTGTTTGCTTTGTTTGGATTTTGTTTGCAGAAGAAGAAACAGAGGGACAAGGAGAGAGAACAGAGAAAGAACAGAGACGACACAAGATTTACAAGTTCCCAAAGCCAAGGTGGCTAAGGTACGTCTTGGTGAGCTTAACGACCAGCTCACAAGGTATCTTATTAAGCGTTTTAGCACCGAGTACAAGAAACCAGAAAGATATAACACACAGAGATCAATAAACCGAGATAAGCTCTCCTTAACCTCTCTTGACTCTCTAGATCTTCCCGCTTGCTACTCACGCTCTCACCTCTTGTCATTACTCTCTACTTACCTTTTTATACACCTCTGACACGCTCCCCTTGACAGCTCACGCATCAAACCTAGGCGTAACAAACCTTATCATTGTGTAGCCGTTGAACCCGTACACACATGAAGACAAAAGCAAAAGTGTTGACTGAGACTTATGGGCTTTGACGAACACTGCAGTGTTCCTGGGCCTAAGTGGAGATTCGCAGACCCAACTACAGTTTCTTACTAGCCCATCAGAAGGAAAACTGGATCAAATCCTCACAAGTATATATTTTTTTTTGGTGTAGATTTAAACAGAAAATAAAAATAAATATATATTAACATGATATAAGTAAATAGTCTTTGATGAAAAAGAAAAAAAAGTCTTTGATGTTAATGTGTTGGCCGGAAAGTCGGATACACATACAAAGTCCAACACCAATACTTGGGCTTATTATAACATGTATTCTTAGTCGATGTCGGCTACTTGAGTTCGATATAAAACCAATGTTGTTTAACTTGGATTAGATGATAACATGTATTTTTAGTGAGCTATAGTCTTGTTCCTTGTGGTTCGACCCTCCAGCACTACTTTCGACATTGCCATATATTTGTGGTATTGAGTGTCAGAGATTTAAAACTTTGAGCTGTCAACACCTCCTACACAATCCAACGCCAACAATGTACACACGTGTAATTCCTATGAACCCTATAATCTTTACGCAATGAACAGCCTCTGAAAAGGTCATATTTCGGGTTGAACAAGTCAAGAAGAGAATCAGTCAATTGTTGTTTTTTCTATCTTATCAAAAAAGGAAAAAATCGTATGAATTTGAGAACGATGGTTTTTTTACGTTTTAATATTGCTCAAGTTCTTTTAGATTTAGAACAAACGATTAACTGTGATAACAAAAACTTAAATCATTGCCTATAGGATACCTATAACGAAAGTGACAAAAGACTAACACTCTATCGTGAATTTTTCTTAATTAAAGTGAGATTAATCTTAACATGTTCTTAAACTCATAATGGAATTTTATTAACATGTTAGAAAACTTATAGTGGAAGTTAAAAGAGACAAACACAAGTATATAAGAAAACATGTTCACATTTAATTACAATTGATATTTGTACTGAAGTATATAAGGAAAACTATATTAAAAAAGAATTTAAAAAATGATCATCTGGTCTTATATATATATATATATATATATTTCACTTCAATGATTCATATTCTAAAAAATTTCTTATTTTTAGAAAAATAGAACAAATACGGTTAGGCACCAACATTTTACATTTGTATATATGGTACATATGAACAAATTTGTTACTATAAATTGTATTGCAAATCTGCAATAAATAAAATAAAAAAATTGTTGGATGGTGGTGACAAAACTAAACATACGTTTTGTGCACTACGACGTCCAACGGAGTGAGATAAACATTGATAGAAGAAATGATACGTTTGATTTAAGTTATAAGAATGTAATCGAAAGTGTCTAATGTCAATAATGTAGGCCAATCTACACATTAGTCAAGCTCATGGACTTTTGTATTGATGTTAGACGTCATGCCTACGTTTCCTTACCAATTCTAGTAAGTTTCGACCAAACACGTACTCCAATAAACCACTATAAATCATCACACCTCTCTAAGATATTTTTCATAAGCAAAAGAGAGAAATCGAGTAGAGAGAGATAGATCACAAAAAATGGTATTGAGTGTTCATCCTATTCTACACACTACCACTCTTCTGTTTTTCCTTCTTCTTATGTTTTCAATTTCAACATTTTCTTTTTCTTTAAATACAGACAGAGAAGCTTTGATCTCGTTTAGGTCCCAACTTAGCCGAAGCCCACAAACACTTTCTTTCTCTTGGGACCAAAACATATCTCCTTGTAATTGGACTGGCGTGTCTTGCAACACACGGAACAGAAGAGTGACTTCCATTAACCTCTCTGGTCAAGGTCTCACCGGTTCCATAAGCCCAAGTATTGGTAATCTCTCTTTTCTCACATCTCTTCAACTTCAAAACAACCAACTTCGAGGTCCAATTCCAAAAGAGATCACAAGTCTTTTCCGCCTAAAGGTTCTTAATTTAAGCTCTAACAACTTTGAAGGATCTTTACCTTCCACACTAAGCAAGTTAGTCAATCTCCGAATCCTCGATCTAACCTCAAATACGATCACTGGTCTTGTTCCAAACCAACTTGGTGATCTCAAGAACCTCAATCTCTTAAACTTGGGCAAAAATCTTTTCTATGGACCAATTCCACCATCCCTTTCAAACATTTCATCACTCACCGTTTTAAACCTAGGCACAAACTCTCTAAGTGGTCCAATTCCTGATGATTTGGGTCGTCTTCAAATGCTACAAGTCCTTGATCTCACCATAAACAACCTCACTGGAACTATTCCTCCTTCTATATATAACATCTCTTCCCTAGTCTCTTTGGTTCTTGCTTCCAACAACTTATGGGGTCAATTTCCTAGCAACATAGGAGATACACTTCCAAATCTTTTGGTTTTCAACATATGCTTCAACAAGTTCACCGGAAAGATTCCAGCTTCTCTACATAATCTCACAAACATCAAGGTGATCCGCGCGGCGCACAATCTTCTAGAAGGGACTATACCACCAGGTCTAGGAAATCTCCCATTCCTAGAAATGTACAACATCGGATTCAACAAAATAGTATGGGGTGGAGATCTAAATCTTGATAATTTTATCAAGTCTTTGAGTAATAGCTCTCAACTTAACTTCCTTGCATTCGATGGAAATCTCTTGGAGGGTGTTCTTCCAGAATCTATTGGAAATCTTTCAAAGAATCTTTCGAAACTTTTCATGGGAGGAAACCGCTTCACGGGTAAAATTCCAGAATCTATTGGCAATCTCACTGGCTTGACGCTTCTTAACATGAGTGATAACTCACTCACTGGTGAAATCCCTCAAGAAATCAGAAAATTGAAAGGGTTGCAAGTGCTAGAACTCGCAATAAATCAACTTGTTGGAAGAATCCCTGATTCTCTTGGCGATCTTGGCGCGTTAAATGAGATCAATCTATCTCAAAACAAACTAGAAGGTTTGATCCCGCCATCGTTTGAAAACTTCAAGAATGTGCTGTCCATGGACCTATCCAACAATAGGCTAAGTGGAAGAATACCAAATGGAGTTCTTAACCTTCCTAGCTTGAGTGCTGTCTTGAATTTATCGAAAAACCTATTTTCTGGTCCAATCCCTCAAGATGTAAGTCGTCTCGAAAGCCTTGTGAGTCTAGATATCTCTGATAACAAGTTTTTAGGCAACATTCCCTCATCTATCAAAGGTTGTCAGAGCTTGGAGAAGCTAAACATGGCTAGGAATCATCTTTTTGGATCAATTCCTGATGAATTAGCAGAAGTAAAAGGTCTAGAGTTCATAGACCTCTCGTCAAACCAATTTTCTGGTTTTATTCCTTTGAAATTTCAAGATTTACAAGCTTTGAAGTTCTTGAATCTTTCATTCAACAATCTTGAAGGAAGGATCCCAAATGGTGGGATTTTCAAGGATAGTTCGAATGTTTATATGGAGGGAAATCCCAAGCTATGCATCCATGCGGCTTGTCGAAAAACTCGGATGCACGGAAAGCTTTTGAAAGTGAGCATTAGTACATGTGCGGTAGGTGTAATTGCGATATGCGTGATAACTTTCTTGATTCTGAAAAGAAAAGCAAGAAAGTCTATCACATCTGCATTAGCAAGTTCACTCCTCAAGGAACCATTCATGAATGTCTCATACGATGAGCTCAAGAGAGCTACTGAGAATTTCGACCCTAGAAATATTCTCGGCGTTGGAAGCTTTGGATCAGTATTCAAAGGGATAATAGGAGGAGTTGATGTCGCGGTAAAAGTCATCGATCTCAAAGCACACGGATACTACAAAGGCTTTATTGCAGAGTGTGAGGCTTTGAGAAATGTCAGGCACAGAAATCTTGTGAAACTAATAACTTCTTGCTCAAGCATAGACTTCAAAAACACTGAGTTTCTAGCTTTGGTGTATGAGTTTTTGAGCAACGGGAGCTTAGAAGAATGGATCAAAGGCAGGAAGGTAAACTCTGATGGTAGTGTTGGTTTAAGTCTTGAAGAGAGAGTCAATATAGCCATTGACATTGCATCTGCATTGGATTATTTGCACAATGATTGTGAGGTTCCTGTTGTTCATTGTGATCTAAAACCAAGCAATATCCTTCTGAACGAAGAGATGATTGCAAAAGTTGGCGATTTCGGGCTGGCTCGTGTGTTGTTTGATGCGTCGGATGGTCGTGGTCACGCTTCTACAAGCTCCACACACGTCTTGAAAGGCTCCATTGGCTATATTCCTCCAGGTTAGTTTTTTTTTTTTTTTAGTTTATTTTCCAAATCTTATAATCATAAGTAACATAGAAAAACCATTAAATCTAGTGTCATTTTAATGTGCAATTAGTGCTCTCAACATAATTCTGATCCAAAAATATATGAATTATTATAAAAAAATTATTAAATATATATACATAATTTGGAACATGTAATATTTAACATTATTATTTTTTAATTTTTTTTATATTTAACATTATTAATAGGTCTAGTTTAAAATTTTTGCACATTGTGTTCAATTATGTGGTATATACATGGCAGAGTATGGACTTGGAGAAAAGCCATCACAAGCAGGAGATGTGTATAGCTTTGGAGTGATGTTGTTAGAGCTTTTTAGTGGGAAAAGCCCAATGGACGAGAGCTTCGAAGGAGATCAAAGTCTGGTAAAATGGATAAGTTATGGGTTTCAAAATAACGCAATTATGGAAGTGATTGACCCTAATCTTAAAGGACTCATGGACAATATTTGTGGTGCACAACTTCATACAAAAATTGATTGCCTTAACAAAATTGTGGAAGTTGGATTGGCTTGCACTGCATATGCAGCTGGTGAGCGGATGAACATGAGAGATGTGCTACGGATCTTGAAAGCGGCTAAGGGGATGCTTGTCAAAGGACACTAATGGAGATGATCTCTTTTCGTTAGTGGAGTTTAAATAAATAAGTCTATAGTTATTTACAGTTTTTTTTTTTTTTTTTTTTTAAATGAATTGTTTGTAATTTTCTTTGCATGTAATATTCAGGAATTTCAGTATTTCGGAATTTCATTAAAGTATTTTTCAGCTTGACAAAAAGCTGCAGCATCTTTCTTGCAAAATTTGGTTGCCCCCATCATCTTCAAGTGTGTCTTTTGGCTTGAATCATCATTAGCTTTTTAAGAAGGTCCATTAACGGAGATTTCCTCTAAATTCAGAGCATGGAAACAAAAACAGATTGCACTTAAAAAACAGGTTCATCTAGTAAAAGCAAAACTCCTTTGATCCTCACAATTCACACGCAAAATCAAACAAAAGAGGGATCAACCTTACCTGGTACAACAACAGCTTCAGAGCTGAAAGGTGACAGTCGAGCTAGACATCAGACGAATCTTGCAGGGCTCGACAGAACTAGACATGATCTCTCGATCATCAATCAAAAGTGCAATCTTGGTTGAAGCAGATGCTTTAGCTTTACACACAGAGCAAAAAGAACCCAACTGCTCCACAAGGATTTGCTCCACCAATGATATTTGTATCCTTCTCCGATGAAACACCTCCTAGATGCACCACCACGAACCACAATACACGATCTATTGAATGAGTGTTTTGTAAGAATGTGGTTCACCTGAAACATATTCATCCCACCTTGGAGATTTTTCAACCATTTGCTTAACCACTGAGTTTATCTTCCATTCTTGAAGCTACACTTGCACCACAAGTTTGAGTGACGGTGGATATTATCATTATATCATCCCTTCTTGTTTTTCGCTTCTTTTTTGGCCTTCTATCATCACTTCTTCTTTTGTTTTTATTTTTTTCCTCCTCCATTATCCCGTGTTCTGGTTTTTGAAAGCTCACTTCAATAGGAACCTCATACTTTGCCTCAAGAGAACTGTTTTTGTTTTTATCATTTTCATACACCAAACTCAATCCGCACTTCAACACCTTGAATACTCCTACACCACTTGTACCACTTGTCACCGTAAACTCAAGGGAGGCTTCCGTAAAATTGCATTTATCAGAATTCTCGTCTTCGAGACACCTTATTGAATGTGGGCAACTAATGTAGGCTATAAAAACATGATCTGACTCAATCTTGTCTTTCTGGTCTCCCTCTCTAGTCCAAATTCCTACTGGGCAAGTAAAGGGGACCCAAGACTTGTCTTCAGCTTTTATTTTAAAGGTACATGTCACCGAGAAGCAGCTGATTTGATCTTGGTTGTCAAGAAATGAGACTACAGCACATAGAGCTATTCCAGAAAGCCTCTTGTCATGCCAATGTGGGAGGAGTTTTCGTTGCAACAGAGACCCAACAACTTCATGCCCAAACCATGAAGGCACTTCACATCCAGGAAAACAAGTGCTGAACAAAGCCTCTGAGTTAAGACCCTGCAAAATTTTAAGGAAAATCATTATTGTAGAGTTTCCTGAAATATAAGAATCAGAGAGGGGTACAGAGAGCGACATGGAGATAGAGTTAGAATTTAGAGAGAGAGACCTCGTTGTAATGTTTACGAGCATCTGAAAGCAACTGACATTTCCTTTGAGCATACGATGTGATTTCCTCCTTTGCAGCTTGCTCCAGGTTACCACAGTTGGTGAAGTTGAAAGTGCAATGGTTCTGCACGGTTGACACGATACGGGCCAGTGGTGTTGCAACATTCTTCAGTGAGCTACAGCCGTGTGCATCTAAGTATTGGAGAGTTGGTGGCAACTCTGGAACAGATGTAAGCTTCGTACAATACTTCAAATCCAGCCGTGTTAACTGAGAAACTTGATTGATGCCAACCGGAAGGTAGCTGATCTGATCATTTCTGCTTAAGCATAAATACTGCACTGAAGGTAACTGCGGCATTGTTTTGATGGATGTCCCATCCAGAAGTAAAATTTTTAAAGAGCTCTTGTTGATTTCTGGAAATTCTTTGAGCTTTAAACAACCAGAGAGTATCAGTTTTTGAAGAGCTTTCAGCTCACCAACACATGTCGGGATATTCTCCAGCATTTTGCAGTCCTTCATATTCAATAAGACGAGTCTCTTGAGGTTCACTACGTTGTCAGGAAGTTGACTTATCACTGTTCCGTCCAAGTATAAAGCTTCTAGATTTTCTGGAATCAATGGAAATTCCTTGAAGTTTGAGCAGTTGCTGAGGGTGAGAGTTTTCAAAGACATCAAATTCACATCTCGAAGAGATTCAAGACTTGTGCACCCTTCAAGGTTCAGTCTTTGAAGATTTTGAGCCTTTGATAATCCTGACAAGCTGCACAACTTACTTGAGTGATTGAGATCAACCCATTTTAAGACAGGCGTATCCTGTGACAGCAAAAAATATAGCCACCAGTCAGAAAAACTACACAGATTCATTTAACGCAAAAAGGCTACAAAACTATATATAAAGAGACACACCTTAACACCCTCCCAAAGTCGTTCAATCTCACTGTATGGCAGCTTAAGGTCGACGAGATTAATCGGGTCAAAATCGTTTGGAAGTTCCTCCAATGGGAATTTCAGCCAGTGAAGGCATCGGACCTCTTTCAATGGTAGCTCCAGTCCATCAGGCATGTTTATCTTATTGTTTGTTTTACATTCTTGAGGACAATGGGAATTGTAGAACTTGAGATACCGGAGATTGCACATGTTTTTGAAGTGTTCACGGTCTAAGCTTGTTTCACCCTTCACTTCAGACAAATCTAGGAAAATACCTCTGACATCGGCAGCTCCCTGATAAAAATATGTAACAACAGTAACAGAACAATATTAGCGAAGAGAAAAATAATGTAAGCTTTGATCAATAAAAATCTAGAGGAACTTTTAGTTTCACCATTGTTTTCTGTTGTACATTAATTATGTCTTGCTGGAGCCACAACCTCCGTTGTTTGCTACCACCTTGAGTGGATGCTCTAAGATCAAGTTCCCTAGAAAATGTATACAGTAGATCATGCATCTCCACACGGCCGTCACAAGTATCAATCAGGAACTTATTCTTGAGAGCTTTAATTGCTTCAGCAGATCCGGGGTCAGACGAAACCAGTAAACTTTCTACATAATCCACATCCTGCGATCTGAAACAGGCTATGTCGAGAAATGCATCTTTCTGCGCCGTACTCAATTCATCAAAACTTACTTGCACGACCTCTCCAATATAAGTGGTGGGACTTTGAGCGAGTATTTTCAGTTTTGTTTCCCAATGCTTCATATTTTTCTCATAAAGCTCTCTACCCAATATTTTGAGAGCTAGTGGATGGCCTCTGGCATAATGCACGAACTCATCAGAAAGCTTCATGAAATCCACCTTGGGAGCAATGGCTTGATCATCATGAAAGGCATGATAGCGAAAAAGTTGTAAGCCGTCTCTGTGGTTTAATTGCCGGACCACATAAGTGTCATGAACCAGACCCTTTAATAAAGACATATCGTTTGTCGCAATGACAATCCTGCTGCCATCTTTGATCCACTCATGCTTATTGTTAAGATCATATTTCCCAAGAAGAGCATATATTTGTTCCCTTTCACTAACATCATCAAGAACGACAAGAACTTTGCGTTCGCGCAGCAGACCCTTATGAGTTTTGTATGGTTCTTCAACACTATCTATTTGAAGATTATTCAACTCCGGTAGTAATTTCTCTAAAAGCAATGTAGGCAAGCACTCTAACCTGAAGTTATTTGACTTTCCACGGATTTGATCGATTAACGCATACCTCGAAAACTTTCCCTTCCATGTCTTATAGAGCTCTTTCAGCAGCGTGGTTTTACCAATTCCCGGCATCCCAACAACTCCAATGACACGAGTTCCCTTGTATTTAATAAGATCCAACTTATCTTCCAACTCCTTCAACTGTTGTTTGATTCCAAAAGTCTTATCCTTTTCGCCTTCTGCCGAAGTTCTAGTGTCGATAATTTCTGATCGATCCACAGCGACCTTTCGACTTCCCTCCAATGAAACCTTCTTCAACACTTTCTTAACCTCCTTAACGATTTCGTTAAGTATTTCACTCTCAGGACTGCAACACGAATGATGAAAATAATATCACCTAAACTTATCTAACAATTGTAATCACCATAGGTTCAAGCTTTTGGCTAAGTCTCACACTAATTGAGCAAAAGCAGTTACCTTTTATTATGAACAGTTATGCCAATTAAGTCAGGAACCCATTTCAAAGCTTTTTTCCACTCTTTCTTCTTCAACACATCACGTTCCTCAAGATCCCTAAAAGCATCACCAAACTGTCCTCTAACACCTCTAACAGTGGATGGATCCAACTTGTAGAAGATAGGTATAGCAACAAGTTTACCTTTCTCAACACAATCTTTGATCATCGCTAGCTCTCTCAAGCACCATGATGATTCTGTGTACTTACCAGAGAAGATAGCTAGAGCGATTCGAGACTCTTGTATCTTAGTTAAAAGTGTTTCTAGAGGTTCGCCTTTGTCTGCGTAATTGTCGATGAAGACTTTTATGTTATCGTTTTCTAAGGCTTCGACGAGATGGCTGACGAATCCGAGGCGTAAATCTTCTCCACGGAAATTGATGAAAACTTGATGTTGTTGCGGTGGGAGATCGGAGGAGGAGGAGGACGCAGCCATGGCGAGAAACCGAGTAAACGGTTTCGGCCACTTTCGGGTCAAATCGGGTTGTTGGGAGAAAGAGAACGGGACTTGCAAGTTGAATTTTAAAAGTCTCCATCTTTTTCCAAATTAAATATTTTTTTATTTTATTTTTAAATGTTTGGTTTCGAACTTAAAAAATAAATTAAAAAAAATTAGAGAAAATATCTGTTTTTTCAGTTGACATTTTTCATCTTTCTAGTTGTGTGGTGGTAGTCTAATGTTTTGGGTTAAGTTTTTTTATGGTTGTTTATTTTTTTGTCCTTTTTTTTCTCTTTATTTTCAACCAATCGATTGATAAATAACAAATAAATACTAGATACTAGATAAATACTAGATAAATACTAGATAAAAGTTGTTTATTTACAACTTTTCATATATACTAGATAAATACCCACGCTACGCGTGGGTTTGTTTTAAAAGTTGTTAATAACAAATTATTTTGATTGTTCTTGTTGTTATTTGATCACCCGCTTTACGCCGCGAGTTTTTTTCCGTTTTTTATTTATTTTGATTTACTTGATGTTATATTTTGATAAATATAATTTTTAATTATCTAATCATTTATTCATGCAATGAACAACTACTCTTAGTATTAAAATACATTTTCAACCAACATACTCAACAATGCATCACTCACACAATCCGTAAACAATCTTTGTCCTAAACCAATTTTATAGATGGTAATGTTGGGATTATAGAACATCAAAAATTTGATGACCTTACGTACTCTCCACCCTCAATGTCATATATAGATAAAAAAAATTAAGAGAAAAACTTACTCAAACCATTAGCTAATCCACTATACTATTATCCACTCATATTTTGAGTTAAGATTACAAAAATTAGCGAAAAAAACTTTGGAGTATATTAAACCAATAAAATAATTTCATTGAAAAAAACATAAAATAACAAAATAAGTTAGTATTAGTAGAAATCAATATGTAAAATTAAATAATATATATAATTAAATAATAAATATATTATTAACTTGTGAAATAGATTTTCAAATCCATATGGCCCATCCCTCATGGGCTATTGTGTTTTTCCCATTTGACAATTCTAATTAAAAGATGAATACCCACGCTACGCATGAGTTTGTTTTAAAAGTTGTTAAGAACAAATTATTTTGATTGTTCTTGTTGCTAGTTGATCACCCGCTTTACGCCGCGGGTTTTTTCCGTTTTTTTATTTTGATTTACTTGATGTTATATTTTGATAAATGTAACTTTTAATTATCTAATCATTTACTCATGCAATGAACAACTACTCTTAGTATTAAAATACATTTTCAACCAACATACTCAACAATGCATCACTCACACAATCCGTAAACAATCTTTGTCTTAAACCAATTTTATAGATGGTAATGTTGGGATTATAGAACTCAAAAATTTGATGGAGGGTAATCCACTCAATGTAATATATAGATAAAAAAATTAAGAGAAAAACTTACTCAAACCATTAGGTAATCCACTATACTATTATCCACTCATATTTTGAGTTAAGATTACAAAAATTAGCGAAAAAAACTTTGGAGTATATAAAACCAATAAAATAATTTCATTGAAAAAAACAAAATAACAAAATAAGTTAGTATTAGTAGAAATCAATATGTAAAATTAAATAATAAATATATTATTAACTTGTGAAATATAAAACCAATAAAATAATTTCATTGAAAAAAACAAAATAACAAAATAAGTTAGTATTAGTAGAAATCAATATGTAAAATTAAATAATAAATATATTATTAACTTTTATTAGTTAGTATTAGTAGAAATCAATATGTAAAATTAAATAATATATATAATTAAATAATAAATATATTATTAACTTGTGAAATAGATTTTCAAATCCATATGGCCCATCCCTCATGGGCTATTGTGTTTTTCCCATTTGACAATTCTAATTAAAAGATGATGTGTAAAAAATAAAAGCTAAATCATATTAATGAAATGTTTTGATTGGAAGATGGAAAGCTGATGTGTCAGCTCCAGAATAGCCTAAAATGCTGACGTGGCGGAAGGATGGAGAGAGATAGCCTCCTTTCATATACTCCCTCCGTATTTAATTAGATGTCGTTTTAACTGTAATTAGTTAAATTAAGGAAACATGACAAATTATAATTCTATCCTCAAAAAAAATGACAAATTACAAAATTGCTTTCCCTTTATTAGAGTTAGTTGTGTTTCATTAAGGGTAATTTGGGTATTATAAAGCAAAAGCTACTTAAAAAAGTCAAAACGACATGTATTTAGAAACTAAAAAATTTGACTAAAATGACACTTAATCTCATACGGAGGGAGTATATGATTATGATAGGTAAAACTGTTGGACGATTTTTCATTAGTTTCTTCTACTCAAATTTAAGATAAGATTTAGTCGAGATCTAATTTTCTTTTTGCTTTCGCAATCAGACATTAGTTAAGTTAAGTATATTTCGACGTTACCAATATCCACAAATAACAGATAGTTCTAAAACTTCAATAGAGAGTCTCATCAACCCAAAATAAATAAGTAATATATATTTCAATTTCATAAGTCTACCAAATATCAAACAAAGATAATGAATAGAAATGTTTGGTGAGATTTGTGATTTTTATCGAAATCAATACAATTTTTGATTTCGGAAGAGAACAATGAATAATATTAAAATTTAATCTTTGAAGCTTGTGTTTAGCGGTTTTAATTTATATAATTTTAGTTTTTTCCGATTTTTTTATGGATTTTGTTTTTAGAAATTTTAACATTTTTCGTTTGATTTAGTTTTTGGGATATTTTTTTTTCGTTAGCATAATTTTACTAATTTTTAAATAAAGTTTATGACGACAAAAAAGTTATGTTGTCGTTTATAGCTAAGTTTTGAGTGGTTTTTCTTCTCCTACAAAACCGTAACTATTTTTTGTTTATAGATTATATGAAATCAGAAACGGATACGCGGAAACAAAACGTTTAAAGGCGGTGAAGTGAATTTTATAAAAATCTTTTAAGAAAACGGATAAAATAACTTGTACAGTCACCATTCAAACCAGAAATCAAAAAATAATATATTGATTGGACGAACTAACGGAGGACCTTCGGATCGTTGAAATTTCGCTAGAATCCAAAAATGTGACAGTGAAAGTGCTCGGAGACTATAATTGTTTAACAGAGTTGGTTTCGGGTACGACCCAGACGCATCCTCACCGCCAAAATCGAAGGTATCTAACTTTAGAGGTACGAAATCATGGCCGACAGTGAGCAATTGGTCTGCATCAGCTGCGTATCCGAGGTACGGTACTCTTTCGTAAGCCACCTCTCCGAAGCTCTCCGCCGGAAAGGCATATATAGTGTGATCATAGATGTAGATAGCGATGATCTGCTTTCCAAGGAGTCGCAGGCAAAGATCGAGATATCTAGGGTTTCTGTGATGGTTTTATCCAGAATCTGTGAGCCAACTAGAGTATGCCAAAACTTCGTGAATGTTATCGAGTGCCAGAGGAACAAGAACCAGGTGGTGGTTCCGGTGTTGTACGGCGAGAGTCCATTACTGGGCGAATGGCTCAGCGTGCTGGATTTGAGAGATTTCTCGCCAGTTCACCAATCCAGGTATTCGCTTTATTTTGTTATCTTCAGTTGTCTTTAGCTTTTCACATTAGGGTTTAATTTGAGCTTTACTTATGAGAAAACAGTTATAAATGAATAGCAGAGCAAGTATTGTTCACTGACATGAAGATCTAATGTTAAAACTTTGTGATTCGTTGGTGTAATAAGGTGCATTTCTTTGACTCGCAGGAAGGAATGTAGTGACTCCCAACTTGTAAAAGAGATTGTCAGAGATGTGTATGAGAAGCTCTTTTATAAGGGACGGATTGGAATCTATTCGAAGCTGCTGGAGATTGAGAAAATGGTTTGCAAGCAACCGTTGGGCATCCGTTGTGTTGGAATTTGGGGTATGCCTGGCATAGGCAAGACGACACTTGCTAAAGCAATCTTTGACCAAATGTCTGGCGAATTTGATGCTTATTGTTTTATCGAAGACTATAGCAAAGCTATTCAAGAGAAGGGTGTTTATTGTTTGCTGGAGGAACAATTTTTGAAAGAAAATGCTGGTGGTACCGTTACGAAATTGAGCTTGCTCAGAGACAAATTAAACAATAAGAGAGTTCTTGTTGTTCTTGATGATGTGCGCAGTCCTCTGGTTGTGGAGTCTTTTCTTGGAGGGTTTGACTGGTTTGGTCCTAAAAGTCTAATTATCATAACTTCCAGAGATAAATCGGTGTTTCGCCTTTGTCGAGTCAATCAAATATACGAGGTTCAGGGTTTAAATGAGAAAGAAGCTATTCAGCTCTTCTCTTTGTGTGCGTCTATAGACGATATGACAGAGCAGAATCTCCACGAGGTGTCAATGAAAGTGATTAAGTATGCTGATGGACATCCATTAGCTCTCAATATTTATGGCAGAGAGCTGAAGGGGAAAAAAGGACCGCCCGAAATGGAGATAGCATTCCTCGAACTCAAGGAACGTCCTCCAACTATGTTTGTTGATGCAATCAAGAGCTGCTATGACACACTCAATGACAGGGAAAAAAACATTTTTTTGGACATAGCTTGTTTCTTTCAGGGAGAAAATGTCGACTACGTGATGCAACTGCTTGAGGGTTGTGGTTTCTTTCCACATGTTGGAATTGATGTTCTTGTCGAGAAGTGTCTGGTGACTATTACAGAGAACCAAGTGCGGATGCATAACTTGATCCAAAATGTTGGCCGACAAATAATAAATAGAGAAACAAGACAGACTAAGAGGCGCGACAGACTGTGGGAACCTTGGAGCATCAAATATTTATTAGAAGATAACGGAGAAAAAGAAAATGGAGAACACAAAACAACTTTGGAACGTGCTCAGGTCTGTAATCATTTGATAGTTTTATATTGAACCTATTTTATGAGCCAACATCCTAATATAATCCACTTCCAATATTCTTTCAGGGCCCTGAAGAGATCGAAGGCATGTTTCTGGACACATCAAACTTAAGTTTTGATATTAAGCCTGCTGCCTTTGATAATATGTTGAACCTTAGATTGCTCAAGATTTACAGTTCCAATCCTGAAGTCCATCATGTAAAGAATTTCCTCAAAGGCTCTCTCAATTCTCTTCCTAATGAGCTAAGACTCCTCCATTGGGAGAACTATCCTCTGCAGTTTCTGCCCCAAAATTTTGATCCTATACACCTTGTTGAAATCAACATGCCGTACAGCCAACTTAAGAAACTTTGGGGTGGAACCAAGGTAAGCAAAATCAAATATGCGTCTTTTGCCCTTATCTATACTTGACAGATTTTGTAATTATTTTTTTTGGCGATTTGTTTCTTAGAACCTGGAGATGTTGAATACTATCAGACTTTGTCATTCCCAGCAACTAGTTGATATTGACGATGTTTTAAAAGCTCAAAATCTTGAGGTAATTGATCTCCAAGGTTGTACAAGACTGCAGAGTTTCCCAGCCACAGGTCAATTGCTACATCTACGAATTGTAAATCTCTCTGGTTGCACAGAGATCAAAAGTTTCCCAGAGATTCCCCCAAATATTGAGACACTGAATCTACAGGGGACTGGTATAATAGAATTACCACTTTCCATTATTAAGCCAAACTACACAGAGCTTTTGAATCTTCTAGCTGAAATCCCGGGTCTTTCAGGAGTCTCAAACCTTGAGCAAAGTGATCTCAAACCTTTAACAAGCCTGATGAAAATGAGCACATCTAATCAAAATCTTGGCAAGCTTATTTGCTTGGAGCTGAAAGATTGTGCTCGTTTGCGAAGTCTGCCAAACATGAATAATTTAGAACTTCTCAAAGTTCTTGATCTTTCTGGTTGCTCAGAGCTCGAGACTATCCAGGGTTTCCCACAGAACCTGAAAGAGTTATATCTTGCTGGCACTGCAGTAAGACAAGTGCCACAACTTCCTCAAAGCTTAGAACTCTTTAATGCACATGGTTGTGTCTCTCTCAAGTCAATTCGTTTGGACTTCGAGAAGCTTCCTGTGCATTACACACTTAGTAATTGTTTTGATCTCTGTCCAAAAGTGGTCAGCGATTTTTTAGTGCAAGCGCTGGCTAATGCGAAACGCATACCAAGAGAGCATCAACAGGTAATATTACATCCTTGTCTCAATACCTGATATGTACATCCAGCCCAGTCCTTATGTTATATCTGACTAATCATGTATTTATTGCAACAGGAACTCAACAAAACTTTGGCTTTCAGCTTCTGTGCGCCCTCACATGCGAATCAAAATTCCAAACTTGATCTGCAACCAGGATCTTCTGTAATGACACGACTAAATTATTCTTGGAGGAACACACTTGTGGGCTTTGCTATACTGGTGGAAGTCGCATTTTCTGAGGCTTACAGTGAGGCTACTGGTTTTGGCATTAGTTGTGTTTGCAGATGGAAAAACAAGGAAGGCCACTCTCATAGGATAGAAAGAAATTTGCATTGTTGGGATCTAGGGAAAGCTTTTCAAAAGGATCATATGTTTGTCTTCTTTGATGTCAACATGCGTCCAGGTACTGATGAAGGAAGTGAACCCGATATCTGGGCTGACTTGGTTGTCTTTGAGTTCTTTCCTGTCAACAACCAGACAAAGCCTCTAGATGATAGTTGCACAGTGACAAGATGTGGAGTCCGCGTAATAACTGCTGTAAACTGCAATACAAGTATCGAGAATATATCACCAGTTTTGTCCTTGGATCCGATGGAGGTTTCTGGTAATGAAGGTGAAGAAGTATTGAGAGTCAGCTATGATGGTTTACATGAGATAGATAAAGCTTTATTTCTTTACATAGCATGTTTTTTCAATGACGAGGATGTTGGTTTGGTGGCACCACTTATTGCTAACATTATTGACATGGACGTTAGTTATGGGCTCAAGGTCTTAGCCGATAGGTCTCTCATACATGTATCTTCCAATGGAGAAATAGTGATGCACTATTTGCAACGAGGGATGGGTAAAGAAATCCTCTATACAGAATCAAAGAAGACTGACAGATTGGTCGACAATATTCAGACTTCCATGATCGATCCAAAGGAAATCGAGATCACTGGTTCACAGAATCGCCGAAAGTAAGTTCTCTCTATTTTTATTTCTTAAAGTTCAGTATATAAACCCGTAGACTTGTCTTTGTAGTTTCTGTTCATTGGGAGAATTCACAATTAAGTAGTTAACCATAACTTTTAAAAAATTAAACAAATTTGAAAACATTTAAGACTATATAACCATTTTTAAGTACAAGTATAAAAATAGCATTATTTTTTTTTTTTCAACGTCTGTTAGATTGAACTAAAGTTTACAATAGCCATTAGGGAAGTACCATTATGTTTTTTTTTCCAAGTTGCTTAGTAACATAGGTCTTTAATGTTTAAAGTTTTTAGATTACATTTTGTAGATATTTTTAAATTGAGTTTTAATTGACGGTGCCACGGTGGATGCAGGAAGAGCAAGGCAAAGAAAGTGGTTTGCGTTGTGGATCCAGGAAGCCGGTCCAGTGAAGTAGTAGTTCCGTCTGACCTATGGGTTTGGCGAAAGTACGGTCAAAAACCCCTCAAAGGTTCTCCTTATCCTAGGTACATTATATATACACACATATCTTTGATGTTTTACTGTAGGATTAATTAAGTCTTTGCTCTTGACTTAAAGATTAATTATTTGATTCTCAGGAATTACTACAGATGTACCAGCTCCATAGGTTGTTCAGCTAGGAAACATGTCGAACGTAGCCGCACCGATCCAAACATGTTAGTCATTACTTACATCTCTGAGCATAACCATCCATCCCCCACTCAACGCAAGGCTCTTGCCGGCTCCACTCGTTCCCCGTCATCCTCCAAATGCTCAGCTGTAACTACTTCTGACTCATCTAGAGTCTCCCAACACAAAGACGAACCGGATAAATCCCATTTGCCTTCCTCTCCCGCTTCTCCTCCTTATGCGGACATGGTGATTAAGGAGGACATGAGGCGATGGTATGATATGGAGTTCAATGATGACGTTGCAGATACCTTCACACCGCAATTTTTTCCAGAGGATATCTTTGCTGATCTCGACAAGCTTGAGTCGAATTCTCAGACTATGTTTCTCGCTCACAGTAGCAGCGGAGGCAACATGGAAAACCAAGGGCGGAACTCTAGTGATGATATGGGGGTCAATTTACCTAATAAAACTCTCTGAATCATAGTTACTATTATGCAATGTTAATCATTTGCTTAGTGTTTTAATCAACAAATATAATTAAACGCAGGTGCATCGATAAAGAAAAAGCATGACAATCTCCCGTGTTGTTGATATCATATTCACCACTACTGAACAATTTGTTTCAAAAATCATCGTCGTTAGTTTGTTTGATCGCGATCCATATGAGTGCTTCTGTTTTCTTTCTGCTTTCTCTGATACCGAATTTGTATACCGGTTTAACCATTCTAATTGTACCAAACCGGTTAATACGCGAGAAGAGGAAGAATGAAGTGTGAGACGCCAATTCCAAACTTAATCCAACGAGATGAGTCTTCTTCTCTCTTCTGCTTCTGCTCGCACCTCCAATCTTTTTTGTTCCTCCCAAAAGGTTCTCTCTTTCTTTCTCTCTCTATTCATTTTGCTACATATGGTTTCATACATGACCATGAGTTTTTATATATTGTTCAAAAGGTCAATGGAAGAGAAAGAGAATTGCAATACCCAATTCTTCCAAATCACAACAAAGATTTACACTTTCTGATAAAGAAGTTAGCTCCGCCACTCACGGCTGTTCTACTTGCTGTTTCACCCATCTGTTTCCCTTCAGGTAAACCCTAATATCCTCCGACCAAAAGCTTCCACCTTTAGAGTATTTGCACTTCGATTGAGACATTACAGAACAGCTCTTCACTTAAACGAATTCGTATGTTATAAACTTAACAGAGCTTTGTTGTAGAACACTTGTCTCAGTCAGTGCTTGTGAAAATTGAAGAGGATTTCGAGAAAAGTCTGTCTGAATTTGTTGTTTCATTCAAGAATGTTTTCTTGTTGGAACTACTGATATGGAATCTTGATTCTGCAACGGGAAACAATGATGTAATCAATGTATAGTTGAATTGCTATTGGATTAAAGTAAGTTTTGAATGTATTTACGAAAGTTTCTTGCTTTTGTGGGTATTGTGGTGTAGAATCTCTTGGGCAGACTTTGGATATACAGAGAGGAGCTACATTGTTTAATAGAGCTTGTATCGGGTGTCACGATACAGGTGGAAACATTATTCAACCGGTGAGTTAAAAACCATTCTTCATTCTCTTCTCATGGCATCTTTCATTTCCCTTTGAGTCTATTAGACTAAATCCTTTCACTTTTCCAGGGCGCAACGCTTTTCACAAAAGACCTCGAAAGGTAATATAACCAATGCTGGACACTCAAAGAACTTTGTGTTATGTGCATCTATAGTATTCTGACAGGAAAAATCAGTTACACAGATCTTTATATCTTAAGATTTGCAATGGTTTTTTTTACGTTTCTACAGAAATGGAGTTGATACCGAGGAAGAGATATATCGTGTTACCTACTTTGGAAAGGGAAGAATGCCGGTGAGATCTCCCTGAAGAACTTCTTGTATAAAACTGAGAATATTCCTCCACTTTGCTAAATGATCTGATGATTTACTTTAGGGATTTGGAGAGAAATGCACACCGAGAGGACAATGTACCTTTGGACCGCGGTTGCAGGACGAAGAAATCAAGCTTCTGGCTGAATTTGTAAAGTTTCAAGCTGACCAAGGTTGGCCAAATGTATCTACTGACTAGCGAGTAGCAACGAAGAATTAGTACAGTTCAATTCGGTTGGTGAAGTAAAAATTTGCAGCAGTAGTTTGATATTTCTTTGTATCTACTTACACTGGTAACAATTCCTTTTGGGAGGCTTAATTGTAATTGCTTATGCTCCAAGATGTTCTTTAGGTACAAAATTCATAGGTGTTCATAATCTACCAACACATACATGCTCATAACTTTTGACTATCCTTGACATTAGCCAATACATATACGCTATTCTGAATATCTTTCCTCTGGAGAAAAATACAGTGGAAAGATAATAGTTGAATCATCTGGTATGCTATGAAATCTCATGAGCATAACCTTCACTCTTCATGTTCTTGAGAACCATCTGGTGAATCAGTTCGCTTTCTTTTCTTTGTATCTGACTCACCTAACTGCAAAGAAAAGCCAATCTCATCACCCGAGCTACTAGTCTTAAGCGAAGACAGGTTCTTGGATTCGAGATTCTCTGGTCCATTGATTTTCTGATGGAGTGGGGATCCGTTGTTGCTTGAACTTGGAATGAACTGGTGTTCTTCGACCACAGCCGCTGATTCTAACACATCTTCTATTTGGAACTCTGGATGAATGTTTGAGCTGTCTTCTTCTCTAAGAACTTGCTGGACATTCAAGTTAATAGGCTCAAAGTTCTCACCCGTTTTGCACCTTGAAATATTGCACACACCAGGAGATGATTCCACGACGGTGGAATCAATTCCAGCACACATAATACCGTTTCTCTGTTCCAGCACCGCCGCTGCACTCAGCAAAAGACACATTGAACGAAACAGTGTATACAAAAAGTACCACAAAAGAATCTAAGAGATGACACAGACCTTGAAGACCCTCATTGGAAGTAATGAGATCAAGCTCAAGAAGATTAAGAACTCTGCCAAGATCAACTCCACTTGTCCAATTCTCAGGTTGTTCCCCCACTTTTAGCTTCAACCGTCCCCTGTTTGCTGTTCCTCCCCAAATAATTCCAACAGGTCGCGGTTTCTCATTCTTCTCATCGCCCGCAGCCAACAGAATAAGGCTTCCACTATCACCCTCAAGATCAAAAGTCTGCTGGTTTTCACCAACAACAAGAAAATCGGTTAGGAAACAAATCCCTTTCTCGTCATTGTATTCCAACGCGTAAGCCATTATGGTCCCGGTGGTCAAACCAGAGCTTCTTCCAACTTTGATAACTTTCCTTCCTATTAGACTGTTGATTGGTGACTGTAGATCAGTAGCATGGATATTGCCGATCTCACCAATACCTTTGACAGTTGTGGTTACATTATTCATGTTGAAGTCTTCAGCAAATGGAATGAAGGCTCCATCAGCTCGAACAAATGTTTCTGCAGAACAGGAAAAGAGAAAACAATAGTGAGAATGTGCTACGCCATTAGACTACACCGTCAATAATTATGATATACTTATGTTACCCGAATACCTGGGTTAGTTCCAGCGAAAATGCCATACCAAAGGTCATCGGTAATGAATGAAGTTGCTCTTTCCACTGCACCTAAGTAGACTCCAGGTCCGAGGCTAGGTGGCAAAGGATGAAACATCTTCTGGCTTGGGTAGTCTAAATCAACTGCAACATGACGGTTTGTAAGGAAGCCAACTTGTCTGATTCCGGTTTTACTCTTTACAATAGCTCCCAAGGTTCCATATGTCTCTTGGCTAGCCACCTACAAGAAGAGAGGCATGGCCAGATAATTTTTATAATAAGAATGTCGATAACACAAGCATATATGCAAGTTCAGTACAAAAGTTACCTGTGAACCAGATCCGATGGACGAACCACTGCCTCTCAGATCATCAACAAGCTCTGTATACACCTGCTCTTTAGGTGTTTGCGCAGGTGCACCATAATATTGAAACTCAACAACATCTACATCACACCAAACTCCTCCAGGACCCTGTCAAAGTAAGATACTTTAAAGTAAAAGGATTCCATAAGCCAACTTACATAGGGGCACTATAAAAGGATTCTACAATAGGTTCCAAGTTGTAGTGTCAACATTACTAAAGGTTCCAACATCCACTCTTTCCAGCACGAGCAATCGATTAAAAGCGGAAAGTCAAGTATCATAAGCAAGAAATATGTCACCTCCAAGGCTGTAGGTAAACACTGAAGAGGATTAAGCCATTGCTTGTGAACTTTCCGAGCAACAAAAACAAGAATAGCCGCTATATTTGTCAAAACGCCTCGTCTAATCCGAAATCCAATAGCTGTACCGAGACTAAACCTCCTTAAATTCTTACTATGAAAAGCTCTAATCATCATCAATTCAAGCAATGTAGTAGCTTTCTTCCCTGTAGGTAAACCATCAAAAGTTTCAGGCAATACACCTTTCTGAAGATTTGCAAAATAGTTTGCTCTGTCTTCTGCTGAATCGTTCAATCGACTTGAAGTAGGCCAAGAGAAGTAAGCAGCAGCAGCACTAGTTTCAGGATGCTGACCGCCTGATGGAAACGGTTGAAGCGGCGATGAAGAAGCCAATTTAATATGATTGTAGCCGTTTTTATCCAAATCCAATGCAGCAGATTCCACAGATTGTGATGATGATACAGAGTGATGAAACCTAAGATCCAATCTTTTCCCTTCCATCTTTACTTTTACTTATGAAGATACAATCACCAACCTATACTAAAACTGTACATTAGTTAAAAAAGACTAAATTTTTCGAAAGTACATAAACAAGAAGAGAGCTCATCAAATAAATTTAGGCTAAACCAAGGGGACTAACACCAAAGTCTAAAGAACACAAATTAGTCTATGTATTTAAAAGGTTAGAGCTTTATTGGAAAATTATGTGCAAGATTGAAAATTGTGATAAACCCAGAAAAGGAAACATGAAAAGAGCTTAAGAGATTGAGTGAAACAATGGAGTTATTAATCAAAATCCAAAGAGAACTAAATTGAGAATTTAGGGGGTCTATTAGTTACTAACCGATGATCAGTAGTGTGAGATCTTTCTCATGTTGTGAATACAAAACTCTTCGAAAAGGATCGAAAACAAATGGATTGGTGAAGAAGTGGTAATAATAGAGAGGAGGACCCAAGAACTTTGGTTGAGCTTGAGAGTGGACGACGAAGACTTTTTTTTTTCTCAAAAACAAAATTGGAGGAAACAGCGACTCTTTTTGTTTGCCAATGTATATTTTTACTATTATTTACTTTAAAAACATTGTTGCTGTTATATATTTTAGTTGATTTAGATATTTAAGTAATATATCTAAAAGGATTTCATCTAAGATTCCCTCTTTTGGGCTTAAGTCTCTCTCTTTGATTTAGAGTCTTTCAATTTAAAGCATTTGGTCCGGTTTTCTTTCCGGTTTAGTAAATCTGTGTTGGAAAAAGGTGTATTGTTGACCTATTTTCGCAAATCCTCTACTTCGTAAAGTGTTCGTGAGCTTTTTCCTAGGGTTCTAAGCAGCCGCCGGGTCTTTTTCAAAGTTTTCTAGAGATCGAAGCTGTTTCTATCGTTTATTTTCAAGGAAGAATGTCAGCAAGTATTGATCGGGCGTTGATGGCTCTGTCATTGCAAGAGGAAGATGAGCCGTTTGTGATGCCGGATCTTCCGGAGTTTTGCTCTAGCGAAAAGAATGTGGTGAGTATAATCGGTCGGCTTCTCAATCCCGATTGTCAAAGCATGTCAAGTCTGATTCTTAATATGCCAAGGAAGTGGCAATTGGTGGGAAGAGTTAGGGGAGTGGCTCTGTCGCAAGAAAAATTCCAATTTATCTTCAAACACAAGCATGATATGGAAGCTATTCTGGAAAGAGGGGTGCATACTTACAATGAGTGGGCGATTGCTATTGATAGATGGGTGGAGAATCCTCCGGCTGACTATCTGCAGTTCATAAGTGTTTGGGTTCAAATAAGAAACATCCCGGTGAACCATTACACGGTCCAAGCTATAACTGCGTTGGGGGAAATAATAGGTGAAGTGAAGGAAGTCATCCTGGATCCTACCAATCCTCAAAATCAAGACTTTGTGAGGGTCAGAGTCATTTTCGATGTGTCGAAACCGCTTAGAAGAGCAAAGATGGTTCATTTCAAAGGTGTTCCAATCAACATTCTTTTCGATTTTGAGAGAGTACAGAAACGCTGTTTCACTTGTCAAAGGCTATCTCATGAGCAAGGAAAGTGCCCGATTCTGATGCTCAAGAAGGAGGAGGAATTGTTAGCTGGAAAACAAAGAAAGAGTGGTGTACAACAAGTTCCTGAGAAGGTTATTAAGGAATCTGACATTCTCTTTGGTGTTTTGGAGGAGCATCAAGTGGGTTTAAATCCGGCTACTGGGAGACCGAGAATTGCTCCAGAAGTGATTGTTGGTATGAGACAATACCTAATGGTGGCAGAAGGAGCTGAGAAAGTGGCAAGAGTGGAACGGATTAAGAAATCTTTGGAAGATTTAAAGAATGATCCCATTGGTGAAAAAACTTGTCTAAGATTGGAGCAGCCTCCTGTGGTTTCAGGGGATATTTCCAAAGGTAAAGGGATTGTTTTTCAGTATAAAAATCTTAACCTTGGGCCAAAGGAAGGAGTGGTTGGTCCAAAAAATCTGAATGCTGGGATATCTAAGAGTTTGGAAGTGAAAGAGATGAGCTGGGTTCCTGAGTCTGCAATTGTTTTCGGTGAAGGGTCTTGTTCTTCTTTTAGGTCTGAACCATCTTTGGAAGGTTCAACGGTATTTAAAACTGGCCTTTCTGAGGCTAGTTTTTCCGGGACCTTTCTAAAGAATGGGAAGCCTAGAAAAAGGCCGTTCAAGAGTAGAAGACGCAAGACTGTTAAGCAGGTGATTGGTGGTACTGTTCAGGAAGAGATTCCAGAGGTTGACAAAGCTAAAGAGTTGATGGCTGAGAGAGCAGAGATAGTGGTGTACAAAAGGAAAGCTACTGATGAGGCTAAAGTTCCATCAAAGGTTGCTAAGCGCAACACCAAAGAGATGGTCCCAAAGGAGGGACTGTCCAAGCAGTAATGAGCATTCTTAGTTGGAATTGTCAAGGCCTGGGCCGTGCACATGAATTGACAATTCCCAGGCTCAAGGAGATTCGTAAAGAGTTCTTCCCTGAGCTACTGTTTCTGATGGAAACTAAAAACTGTAGAGATGTTGTTGTTGATTTGCAAGAGTGGCTGGGTTATGAGAGGGTTTACACTGTGAATCCAGTTGGTTTAAGTGGTGGGTTGGCTCTATTCTGGAAGAAAGGTGTAAGTGTAGATATTAAGTATGCTGACAAGAACCTCATTGACTTGTTTGTACAGTTTGGGTCAGTTGAGTTTCATGTTTCTTGTGTGTATGGTGACCCGGCCTATAGTTCTAGGCCGCTTTTGTGGGAAAGATTATCCAGGATTGGAGTCAAGAGTAAAGAAAGTTGGTGTATGGTCGGAGACTTCAATGCCATCATTCACAATGGTGAGAAGCTAGGAGGACCTAGAAGAGGAGATGCGTCTTTCCTTCCCTTTAAAGAGATGCTTCAAACTTGTGGTATGACTGAACTACCAAGTCAAGGGAATAGTTTTACTTGGGGTGGGATGAGAAGCAATATGTGGATTCAGAGCAAACTTGACAGGTGTTTTGGCAACAAAAGATGGTCTACTCAGTTTCCTATTGCGAATCAAACATTCTTGGAGAAGAGAGGTTCTGATCATAGGCCTGTTTTGGTTAGACTTACTACTTCTAAAGAGGTTTACAGGGGAAATTTTAAGTTTGACAAACGTTTACTGAATAAGCCAGAGGTTAAAGAGGCTATTCAAAAGGCGTGGAGGAGTGGTAACAGGAACAGGGCTGAAAAGGTTTCAGACAAGCTGAAGTTATGCAGAAAAGAGTTAAGCAAGTGGAAAAGGAAGAATAATTTGAATGCTCTTAGTCGTATTACACAGGCTCAGGTTAGTCTTGAACAGGAACAGTCTTCTGGGTTTCCATGCTTGAGACTAGTGGCTGGTTTGAAGAGAAAGTTATGTGAAGCTTATAGAGATGAAGAAATTTTTTGGAGGCAGAAGAGTAGACAGAAATGGATGAATGAAGGAGATAAAAACTCCCAGTTTTTCCAATCTTCTGTGAAGGCTGAAAGAGGCAAACAAAGGTTGGATAAGCTGCTGGATATTAATGGGATTAAACATACATCTGAAGCTTCTAAGGGTTCCATTGCTCAGGCTTATTTCTGTGATTTATTCAAGTCTTCTAATCCTGGAAACTTCCATGACTTGTTTGACGGGTTTCAGCCAAGAGTCAATGAGGTAATGAATGCTGCTTTGACTGCTAAAGTTTCAGACAAAGAGATCAAGGAGGCGGTTTTCTCTATCAGGCCGTCTAGTGCTCCTGGAGCGGATGGCTTCACAGGTCTGTTTTTTCAGAAATATTGGTCTGTTATTGGGGCTCAGGTCACTGTGGAAATTCAGAGTTTTTTCATCACTGATCAGTTTCCTACAGAATGGAACTATACTCAACTCTGTTTATTGCATAAAGTGGTTAACCCTGATAAGATGTCTGATCTGAGGCCCATTAGTCTGTGCTCAGTCTTGTATAAAACCATTTCTAAAGTGTTGATTAGAAGATTGCAGCCTTGGCTTGGAGAGATCGTCTCGCCGAACCAGTCGGCCTTTGTAGCTGAAAGACTAATATCTGACAATATCTTGATTGCCCATGAATTAGTTCATGGTCTCAGAACGCATCCTCACATCTCTAAGGAGTATATGGCAATCAAGTCCGATATGTCTAAAGCATATGACAGGGTGGAGTGGTCTTATCTGCTGGCCTTATTGAATGCTTTGGGTTTCCATCCTAAGTGGATAGGGTGGATAATGTTTTGTGTCACGACTGTTTCTTTCTCTGTGCTCATTAATGACCAGCCTTATGGGATGATTAAGCCTGGAAGGGGCTTAAGACAGGGAGATCCATTGTCCCCTTTTCTGTTTGTTTTGTGTACTGAAGGTTTGACACATTTGATGAATAAAGCTGAAAGGGATGGTCTTTTGAATGGTATTCAGTTTTCAAATGAAGGTCCTGCTATCCACCACTTGCTTTTTGCTGATGATAGCCTTTTCCTGTGTAAGGCGGAGGAGAGTCAAGTAAGTGTTATTAAGTCGATCTTCAAAGTCTATGGTGATGCAACAGGGCAAAAGATCAACTTCGATAAGTCCTCCATTACTTTTGGAGAACATGTGGCAGAGGAGCATAAAGAATCTATCAAGGCTCAGCTGGGAATCTTTAATGAAGGAGGCGCTGGTACCTATTTGGGTTTGCCAGAGTGTTTTTCGGGGTCAAAAATTGATATGTTGGATTTCATTAAAGACAGGCTGAAGTCCCGTTTTTCTGGTTGGTTTGCTAGATCACTTTCCTTGGGGGGTAAGGAGGTATTGTTGAAGGCGGTTGCTATGGCCATGCCGGTCTACGCCATGTCATGCTTCAAGCTGCCCAAGACAACTTGTGAAAACCTGACGAGTGCCATGGCTGACTTTTGGTGGAGTGCCCTGGATCATAAGAGAAAGATGCATTGGGTTAGTTGGGATAAAATGTGTTTGTCCAAGGCAGATGGTGGGCTAGGGTTTAAAGATATTCAGTGCTTTAATCAAGCCTTACTAGCTAAACAAGCCTGGAGGTGTGTTCAAGATCCTGACTGTTTATTTGCTAAAGTTTTGAAGAGCAGATATTTTGAGGCTGGCGATTTTCTAGAAGCTGATATTGGTGTAAGGCCTTCTTTTGGTTGGAGGAGCATTATTCATGGAAGAGATTTGCTCATTAAAGGTCTTCGTAAAATGGTTGGTAATGGAAAATCGTTGAGTGTTTGGATGGACTCTTGGGTTTATGACAATGGGATGAGAGCTCCCTTTAGCAAGAATCCAATCATCAACTATGATATGAAAGTTGATGTGTTGATTAACTCTGAAGTTAGGGGCTGGAATAAAGAAGAACTAGAGGAACATTTTTTCCCTAATGATATTGCTCTGATTTTGTTACAAAAGCCGGCTGTGGACAGAGATGATTTTTATTGCTGGGAAGGTACGAAGAGTGGTGATTACTCTGTCAAGACAGGTTATGAATTGGCTTGCAAGGTGAATAATGCTGAATTTCTGAGACAGGCTAGATGTTTACCCTCTATCAACAAGTTGAAAGAAAATATCTGGTCTTTACATACTGCTCCTAAGATTAAGATTTTTTTGTGGAGAGCCTTGTCTGGTGCTTTGGCTGTGAGTGAGCAATTTGCTAAGAGGAGTATGGAGACTGATCTGAGATGTCAGATTTGTGGGGAAGAACCAGAAACCACAAATCATGTTCTCTTTAACTGTGGTTTGGCTAGGCAGGTTTGGGCTTTGTCGGGTGTGCCTGCACCTAGAGGTGGCTTTGAAACGGGTTCTCTGTTGGCTAACTTTCAATCTCTTTATGAATTACATTTGGATAAAAGAGTGGATCTGAGAACCAAAAGGAGTTTTCCTTGGATCTTGTGGAGGCTGTGGAAAAATAGGAACAAGTTCTTCTTTGAGAACATGTGTTTCAGTCCTCAAGATTCGATTGTTAAAATTTGGGAAGATGTGGATGAGTGGTTTGTTGCACAAGAGGTGGCTAGGGAACCAGAGGAAGTGGCGGATTTGGGGTATGTCTCAAAGGAGAAGATGTGGATGCCTCCTCCGACTCTTTGGGTCAAGTGTAATATAGGTTTGTCTTGGTCCAATAGAAACAAGTTGGGTGGTGGTGCTTGGGTGGTTCGAGGAGAGGATGGTAAGGTGATTGTACATAGTAGAAAAGTGTTTTGTGGGTTGAACAACAAGAAAGAGGCCATGCTTATGTGTTTGACTTGGGCTATGGATGCTATGTTTAATCTGAAGATGAAGAAAGTTATTTTTGCGGCTCAGGCGCATGATGTCTTTGGTGCGATGGCTAGACCTAAAGCATGGCCTTCTTTCTCTAATCAGGTAGTGGAGATTAACCATTTTTTGGATAAGATAGAAGACTGGAAATTGGAGGTGGAAAGTTTAAATGCTAATAGAGGTACTTCTCTCATTGCGCAAAGTGTTACTTCGGATGCAAGATTTCATGACTATGTGGCTGCAGGACATCCTCAATGGTTGCATAGGGTTTTTGAAGATGAGAGACTTTCCTCTTTAGCTCAATGATGTTATGTTTCAGTTGTCTTTATCTTTGGCTAAGGTTTTTTGGGGTTTAGAGGAGTCAAATCTTTTCTCTAAGCTTGGTACATCTTGACGTTTTCAAGATTGTGTTGTAATTGGCTCTCTATCATTCTAATATATATTTCCCAGAAGGAAAAAAAAAAAAAAAAAAAAAAGTTGCCATGAAAAAAAAAAAAAAAAGATATTTAAGTAATATATAAATAATTTTAAAAATATATAGAGCCAAATAAGGATCTTTCAGACTTTCAGTGTATATTCTTGCATAGTCTTTCAATGTATAATTGTTAAATGATTACTCCCTCCGTATTTGAATAAATGTCGTTCTAGCCTTTTTTCTGTGTTTTTAATTAGTTGTCATTTTAACAACTTCTGCATAAAATTTCCTAAATTACCCCCAATTAATTGATCATAATTAATCAGTCTAAATTGATTTTCATAAAATATAATTGTAAATAATCGTTTCTCATAAGGTTAGTTTTGTAATTCTGTGCCCTTTCTTAATTCACCCAAAAACAGTTGAAACGACATTTTTTCAAATACAGAGGGAGTATTACATAAGTTAAAGTTGAAAAAAAAATCTTTCTGGAATTTTGAAAATGTTGGTAAAATTAAAGATACAAAAACGAGTAAATATTGCTATTTTAACGGATTTCTGAACAATAGATAAAATCCATTTATTTTTACTTATTTTGTTTTTCAATCAAGTAAAAAATTGATGTTATCAATAGATTGGCCGTGGGCAGCATTAGTAAATCCAATTTGCAGGTTTGTAAAAAAAAATGTTGATTTGTTTGTTTTAGTCTAGTCTTTTTCTCAGGTTAAAGTTAGTTTTACTCTGTTCTTAATTTAAAGTTTCGATATCTTTCGATTCGGTTTTAAAACTTTAGCTTAGTAATTTTAATGTTTATGTTTCTCTTGCATAGGGTTTAGTTTCCGGAAATTCACGTTTCCCTCCGGTTTTATTTCCGGAAACTTTTTCTTCGTCCATTTAATTTCTCTAGTTTGGAATTTGTATTTTAGTTTGGTTATTAAACAACTTTTAATAATAAAAATTCAGATGACCAAAAAAAAATGTATAGGCTATTTAAAATGAAAGATATCTAATTTTGTTTTCGGAACCAAAAAGGCAAATCATTGTAAATTTAATTTATAATTCTTGAAAGAAGAAATAGATAAAACATTAAAAAGAAATAGATAAAACATTAAAAAGAAACTCGATAATGTTTCTTTTTCTTAAACTTATCTTCAAAATGGTGTGATCACACTCAAACGTCATTAAGAGCTATCATGCTTACACACACACTCTCTCTCTCTCTCGTTTTCATCTTTAACACAACAAGTATATCAACAAGCTTTTGATAAAAGAAAATGATCTGTGTCAAAGTGTTTCAAAAACTAGGTTAATCTCCAAACATACACTCACTTCTCAAAATGTAGAACATAACATGACTTGAAACATTTTCACACACACAATGACCTTTGATGTTTGATTTTTTTTTTCACGAGGAGAATCTGTCGCGGTCATGAAGCGAAGAGTAATCGATATTGGGGCCGTGAGGGATGATCCCAAATGGGTTTATCGTAGGGTGGCTCCCGTAGTAATGTTGCTTAATGTGTTCCATGTTCACAGTGCTACTCATGCCCTGGATTTGGTAGATATCTTTTATGTAGTTGAAGATATTCGGGTATTCCCGTAAGAGTCTCTTGTTGCATTTGAAGTGAACCGAGTAAACCTGGAATGCAGAAAAAGATGATGTGAAGAACCTGATGGGCTTTATGTTTGGAAACAAACAAAGATGACTCATATACCTCATCAAATCTTATGAGAGTGACGAATAATCGGATATCTGCTTCAGTGAAAGTGTTTCCACAGATGTATCGTTGTTTTCCGAGTATTTCCTCACATCTATCTACTGCTTCATATAACTGGTTCACTGCCTGGAGAGAAGGGATCAATTACGGTTTCTCCCAGTCAAAATGTTTAAGACATTGAGGAGTTTATACCTCATTGTAGGGTTCTTGTTTCCTAGCAAATCCACATTTATAAACACCATTGTTTATCCCGTTGAAAAGACCAGCAGCCATAGCTGGAGCCACTTTCGTGGCAAATATAATGCTTGGAAAATTCCAAGGGATGATATGACCAACCACTCCAATAGGTTCTTTAAGTGTGCATCCGATCGAACAAAGCTTGTCGCGTCATTTTAAGAGTAGCGCCGTGGATTTTATCCGCGGCACCCGCATTATACCGGAAATGACCGGCTGTGGCCGGAATATCCCCCAATTTTCCCAATTGGAACAACTTTCCGCCGTCAACCGCATCAAGTTTAGCCAATTCTTCGATATATGTTTTGCTCTATTAAGTCGGCGAATTTGTTGATAAGCCTTGCCCTCTCCTGATCACATCACATCCACCAAACTTGTTAAGTGAGAAATACACTATACTTTTTATAAATAACACAAATGTCACAAACTAGAAAGGAAGAATAGTCACGTCTATTAAAAAAAAAAAACAGAAAGAGTAATAGTCCATTTCTGAATTTGAAGTATATAACTTACAAAGAAACCCATACCAGAAATTACTTTATTTAATAAATAAACTGAAACTTCTCTATACTATTAAAAGAGAAGTACAAATGAAAATGGGTCGGGTTAAAATCAGAAAATTGACCCGAAATTCTGAAATCGGATCTTTGAAATTTTTTTGGAATATAAATTCGAATTAATAATGAAAAATCGAAATAAAATCAAATATTTATGGAAATCAAATAAAATCTGATTGTACTTATGGTAACTAATAATAAAAGCATATTCCAAACAATATTATACATTAATTACGTATAATAAATTTGTTCATATATTTTTGGGACTAATTCCATAACAATCAACGTTTTTGTCATTAATTTCGCTCATTTTAACCAATTATCATTAATTGAAAGATATTTTACTTGCTTCTAAAGATTTCTAGAAAATTTATCACAAATAACTCATCTGTTTTATAAATTAAATTGATATTTTTATTTTGGTCGTGTAAATTAAATACATATTTTTATTTTGGTCGTGTAAATTAAATAGATATGAAATCCATGTAACTAATTTTAATTTAATTAGATTAAATAAAAAATTATGATATTTTCATACCTATAGCTTACCAAAGAAGTTTAATTTTCAATTTATAAAGATTTCTTGAATATGATTTTAGAATTATTCAACAAGATGATAAGTATTTATTAAATTTTGTGAATCATGAAAAATAATAATTAATTTTTAATCATTATACTTCATCTTTCAATCTCTCATCTAACAAATAAGATACATATTCTATTATTACTATGTTCAAACTTCATTTTGTTGTATGACTAAATAATATTCCCATTAGAACTGTCAAAGCGAGTTGATTCGTCCCGTTAAGTCCGTTTTGCGATAGACAAAAAATATTTTGACTTGTAGTTAGTCGGTCCGCACGACCCGCGGGTAGCATATATGAAATACAAACCCGTCCCGCGAATGTATGCGGATTTGCGGGATTGTCCATGGATTTTGTTTAAATAATTTTAAAGTAACCAAAATTTAAAATACTACTAAAATAAATAAATAAATCAAAATACTATTAAAAGTTTGTTTAAATTACCACATGTTGAATAAATTATAATTTTATCAATAAATACTAATATGCAGGCTGATCCGCCAACCCGCGGATGAAAACCGATTAAACCTATGACCCACTGCGAGTTAATCCATGTGACCCGCTTATTTGCGGGTTTAATATATTTTCCCAAATCTGCCCTATAGTGAGATGATGTGGGCTCGATCCGCGGTTTTTGATCTATTTTGACTGCTCTAATTCCCATGAATCGTCTAATTTTAGAATTTTAAAACACAAAATTCTATTTTGTAAATCATAATTAATACGATGGGTATATTTATAAACAATTTTACATTTTCTCTACAATTCGTTATTATGAATATTTATAAGTATACTATATGATTCGTTCTACTAAAAACACACACACAATATTAAACGCAACGTATGTAAACTAATATTCTCCCGCGGTGGACCGCGGGTCCGATCCTAGTTTAAGTACAATTAAGAATATGCTAAACTAATAATGAGTAACACGTTTCTGGTAACAACATGAAAGTGACACCATCCGCAAAATAAGTCAAACCTCTCCCTCTCTCTAAAGTTAAATAACAACACGACGGTTGATAATTTGCATGTCAAATCAATGAGTTTCAATGTATCAATGTATGTATGTATAAAAAGAAAATGACGTGGAGCTCCCGACCATAGTCTGGTATGTTTGTGTCCACCAAGTGCACTAAGAGGAGAATTGGACGAAGATTACATTCAAGCCTGATTTGAAGAAGTTTAACATGACTGAATTGGACAACGATGTGGTTGCTCTAATGAGTAAGCGAGTGCTTGAAATTGCTGGCTGTTTGGGAAAGACAGTTGACCTGAATGGAAAACAAGTACCAATTAAGTCATTCAGTGATTATGTTGATCTCTACTTAAGTGTCGCCAATAAATCAAGGACTGAGCCTCTCCCAAGGTTTGTTCTATGATTCGTTATTGAGTTATAACAATTTTGGTGTCTTGGAATAGATTTTGATATTTTTGAGTTTTTGTGTGAGTAGGATGACTGAGAAAGTTAATGGTAGATGGGAGGTTTGTGTGGGCTGGCTATTATTACCTTTTGTTCTTCATGATGAATGAGTAAACTCGTTTTTGGCTACTAACAGGTTCGCTTTGTCAACTCCATTGCCACAATTAAGGGTGGTACGCATGTTGATTCGATGTCTTGTTTCAACCACTGCTCTGAACACATCAACACTTCAACCATGTAACTAGTTAAACAGCTTCTGTATGAGTTTATTACTCTCCCACTAGTGCTGAATGCACTTTCAGAAGCAACAGATGACACCTGCATAGCAAACAAATCACGAGCCATTTCTGATAAGATTGGATACTTGCCACTGTTGACTTTCCACCAAGAGAGTACATCAAACTCTAAACCCATCATGACCTGCGGATTTTCAACCTTATCTCTAAGATATGTATCCAACTCATCTGTGTCTCTAACTCCAATCTTATTAAGCAAATTATTGTACCTACTCTCCACAGGATGATACCCAAAAAACTCATCATCAGTAGAATCAGACCATGAACATCCCATAGGTTGCTCTTGAGTACATTGAGATGCACTCTGATTTGTCACATCAGATTGTTGCTGCACACACTTGTATCTCTGACTATACTCCTCATACATATCCCTCATGATACTTGAAACTGATTCTTGCATCACCCTAGCTGTTTTACTACCTTCACCATACAGATCATCAAAACACATACTTGCAAACTGCATTTTCTTTCTCGGATCAAAAACACTAACAATTACCAACATCTTGTTAATGTTCTTCAAGCCATCCCAATACTTATCAAACTTCTTAAACATTTCCTCAGCCTTAATCTTAAGATCATTATCACTAGTAGCACAAAGCAGTTGAAGTTTCTCTGATATATTCACTATCTCACCATAACACTTGTGTGCATTCAGAGTACTAGAAGCTGAAACTACCAATGTGGATTGGTAGAATATGTTAAGAAACTTTACTAACCTCTCAACTTGCCGCCATTGATCGCTTGTTGGTGGTCCAATCCTTTTTTACCATTCTCAACCTCTAAGAAATGATCATTATACGGCATGTCCTCAATCTCCATCCTATCAAATGCTCCCTTGAATTTCAGAGCCCTCTGCAACATCAAGTATGTTGAATTCCATCTTGTTTTGACATCCAGAGGCAAACTACCCCTTGTCATCCTCCCAGTATCAACCCTAAGCTCAAATGACTTTTGCCTAGTAGTCCCTGACCTAACATAAGATATGGCATTCCGGACTGCAGTAACACTATCAGCATAATCAGACATTCCTTCCTTAACTATCAAGTTGATTATATGACCAGCGCATCTCATATGCATAAAATCCCCATTCATCACCAAAGAATCATCTGAAATAATGGAGAAATTAGACTGAAACTGACCAAGTGCATTAGTATTTGCAGATGCATTGTCCACAGTGACGCAGAATACTCTCTCTATTCCCCATTCAGCAAGGCAATACAGAAGGGTTTTGGAGATGGTTTTCCCTTTGTGGTCAATCACAGACTTGAATCCTATAATTAGCTTCTTTAACCTCCAAGATTTGTCAATGTAATGTGCTGTTATCACCATATAACTTGCACCTGTCCATTTCAAATAAGAGAATGATTAGATTACATAAAAAGATAATAAACTAATTTATAGATTAAAGGAAAGAACATAACCTGTAACTTGACAAACCCAAATGTCAGTTGTGATTGAAACTCTTTGCTTGCTTGTTATAAACCATTCTCTCATAGCAGCTTTCCTCTCAACATACATCTTGACGATGTCTTTTGATAATGTTCTTCTTGATGGAGGCCTGTATAAGTTTACCTAAAAAAACAAGTATATAAGTATATTAGCAAATATGTAAGATAATATACTGTCTAAAGAAGTAAAGAATATAATACGAACTAACCTTGTCGCAAAAGTGTCTAAATGCCACACTCTCTACAAACGCCAAAGGTAACTCTCCTATAACAACCATCTGATGTACTGCTGCTCTAAAGATAACCTCAGTCACTTTAGCAGTCTGTAAATGACCATCTCTATTAATCACTGTCTGACCCTGACTTGGATCTTGACCATCTTTAAAAGCACCGTAACTTTTACATATGTCAAGATGACTCCACAAGGTTGTAGTCCCTGATGTGGTTGGACAAGATAAGGTCCTCTTACAGTAGTTGCAATCACATTTGTTACGGTTGAGTGGCGACCTTGTGAAATGATTCCACACTTCAGACCGTGTGGGGAGTATCTTCTTGACCTTAGCATTGTCTTGTTCAGTACCCTCTTCATTTTCAGATCCATCAACATCAGCATCTGCCTCTGCAGCTCTACTAGAAGGTTTTTGTTTCCTTTTGCCTCTGCGAGTTGAATCCGGTGTCAGAAATTCTTCTGCTTCTGGCAAATCATCATTCTCATCAGTACCTCTGTCTCGATTGTCATGGGTTGGAGATGATGAATCCATCTGTAACACAAATGCACAATAACATCAATAAGTTTTGTTCAGTTTCTTAAACAAAACAGAACAAACTAATCAGAAACTTCACTTACTAAAACTAATGCACACTAACATCAGTAAGCTTTGTCTAGTTTCTTAAACAAAATAAAACAAAACTAATCACAAACTTCAATTACTAAAACTAATGCACAATAACATCAGTAAGTGCATTTACTTAACCAGTAACACAAATCAAAGTATCAAGCTAATGAAGTTACTAAAACTAATGAACACTAACATCCGTAATACAAATGCAAACTTGTCCTAAAGCTTACATGTAAAACGTCCTAGCTCATAACATCAAAACGAGTCAATAAAACGAATTAAGAAGAAGAAGAAGCAGAAATACCCGAGATTTTGTGGTTGAATTCTCAGACGGAGGAGAGTTGAGGTTATGAGCTAGGGTTTCCATCAGGAACCTTGGAATTTATACTTGAGGTTATGAGCTAGGGTATTCACTCACTTTGGCCGCCCAAAAAGTAGCCTCGAATTCGAAAAAGGAAGTGGAATCGTCGAGATTGAGAAGTGGAATCGACAAAGGCAATAATGAAGAGAAATTAAGGAAAGCGGTGAAGGGAGGGTTGTATTACCGGTGTAATCAGACCTCGGGTCGGACATCGGGGAAACCCCGAACCCGATCGGGTATCCGATCCCTCAAAACCTCAAATCCGATCGGGTAATAGGCCAAATCCGTACCCGTGCCGAACTCCTCACTTCGGATCGAGTTCGATGGTCGGGGATCGGGTCCGGTTAAAACGCCCAGGGCTAGTATTAACTATTTAAATTTTTAAAGTATTTGGTACTTCTCGACTTCTGAATTGAGTCATGCGTTTGTATGGGTGAAAAAGAAAAGTTGAGAATGATGTGAATCAGTACCATAAAATTTATTTATGTTGTGGGAATTTGGTAGAGGTCCCAAACTCAAAAGATTTACATAGTGGTTGATCATTGATTATAGGGAAAAAACCCGAAAAAAACCGTCATCTATTTTTTATTTGGCCGTTTAATACCTCGGTTTATTTTTTTGGAATAAAAATACCTTAAATATTTATAGTTGCTAAAAAAATACCTCATCTTTTAATTGTTGGTAGACTCCAACTTACGACTTAACATCCGTTAACGGACGTTACGAAATCATTTAACGGTGTTAAATTATAACTTTATCTGTTTATACTGTTATATATTATCCTTTTGTAAGACATTGTTGTTATATTGTCCTCGTCTAGTGGCAACGCATGGGTTAAATGAACCACAGGACCCGGATTCGAGTCTCCAATTTTAGTTTTTTGATATTTTTTTTCAATTTTTTTTGTGTTCGTTGTCTTCTTCACCGATGGTGACGGCGACTTCTTCCTCTCCGATGGCGATTACTCCGTCGCTGCTTTCTGTGTCCTAGCCACCAAAAACATCTGATCTATTTAATTTTGTTGATTGTGGGAAGTTTTTTACTTGAATCACATGCTCTGTTGTAAAGAAATCCATCGAACCCATCATCATCATCAAAACAATTCATGAGCATCATCACATGTGGATCCAATCCAATCAAAAAGAAAAAGAGGCGGAGGAGGCAAGGAAAGCAAAAGAGGCGGACGATTCATGGTGGTCGGCGGCTAGGGTTTCATGGGTGTCGAGGAAGACACAGAAAAAAAAAAAAAAAAAAATGAGAGCAAAAGTTGGAGTTTCGAACCCAGGTATCGAGACTTACAAAGCAAACGCATTGCCACTAGACGAGGACAGCATAATTGTAATACTCTACATCGGATAATATATATAAGTATAAATACGTAAGGTTAAAATTTAACCCCGTTAAATAATTTTGTAACGTCCGTTAACGGATGTTAAGTCGTGAGTTGGAGTCTACCAACAATTAAAAGATGAGGTATTTTTTTAGCAACTATAAATATTTAAGGTATTTTTATTCCAAAAAAATAAACCGAGGTATTAAACGGCCAAATAAAAAATAGATGACGGTTTTTTCGGGTTTTTTCCCATTGATTATATATATAACCCGAGAGCTTACAATGAACGTCCTCTTTACAGCCACCACTCACAGTTAGATAAGGCTATTAGATTTGGACGTAGCTAGCGTGGACAAAAAAAACCCAAATCTCTCTATATTCTTTCACCGATAAGCCTTTAAGCCATTTCAACTTCTCCTTCTATAAATAATGCATCATAGATTTGGTTAGCTTTCTATACAACTTGATCCAATAATCTATATATACATTTTTGGTGAAGATTTGGCCTCAAAAATCCTTTTACAATTTCAATATTGTACATTTAGTCCCTACAAATAAAATCTGACAAAAATATTGTCTTAAGCAAATTTTACAAAACAATAAATTAACTCACTAAACATTCCTAATTTTTCGTAAACTAGATTTGAGTTTAAAAGATATGGAAATCAAATATTTAATTTTAAATGCTATTAAACCTAATATCGAGAATATCTAGCAAATGGAAACTACTAAAACAATAAAATCGAAATCAAATCTAAATTTCTAATGATTATTCCACATACCTTAGTTATCATAAATAACTAATACAATATAAAAATCATTAATTCGATTGTTTAAATTAGGAAAATTTAAACATTAATTTCCAGAATTTAATTCGTTTCCGAAATTAATGCACAATTATATATCCATTGTATATATATATATATATATATATATATATTTTTTTGTAAACTATATATATTGTATTAACAAACGAATATTTTATATTCAACTTATTTCCTACAAAAATGCTACATATTATGACCCCATTAAAGTTTGTTTCCTAAATCAAATAAACCGTATAAAATCCACATTCAATCACAACTACTGAATTGGAAATGATTCTTAACTAAACGATTTTATTCTTATTTCCTATAGCATATTCTATTAGATTTAGGATCATGAATATTTTATAAGATATATAATACTTGCTAATCAAGATTTTGTATATTCTCTACCATAAAACCCTACTAATGTATCTAAACACTATAAATAGATGGTCATTTCCAAGATCTAAACACACAAAACACTAATACATTTCCGATCTCTAACTTAAGCTCAAAATTTTTTTTACGAACACCAATGGCCAAATCCTTTGCTTGCTTGAGGGACATCATGCCTTACAAAACAGATTGGCGTGTGCAGGTGAAGGGGGAAAACGGCCAAAATCCACCCAGACTATTTGCTGGCGGCTTTTTTCAACCCGAACTTTGATACCCTGCATAAATCAACCCAGACTACATATAAATTCAAATTCCAAACCCAGACTATATAATGTTTTGCCGATTTCAACATCTGCTTTGACGGCGTGATGAAACCGTTAAACTGTGCCGAGTCAGCGACTACGTGGCATCACTCGTGGCCTCTGGGCTTGATAAAGCGACGTCGTTTAACATTTGGTTTGGTGTTGAGTGTGAACTTACAAAATGACGTCGTTTTGATTTGGGGAGAAAATCAAAATTAGGGTTCTTTGTCGTGAAACAGAGAGTGTGAGTGAGTTTGAAGAGAAAACGATGGGTGATAGAAGAAGAGGGATCCCGACGACATGCAGATGCGGTGAAGCTGTAAGGATGGGTACATCGAGGACTGCCAAAAACCCTGGAAGATTATTTCACTCTTGTCCTAATGGATCAGATGAGGTTCCATTGTCAATTTCCCGATTCTCATCTACTTTTATGTTTGAAAACTTGAATTTGAGTTTCGATTTGTTACAGGATCGATGGTATCACACGTTTAAATGGACTGATGAGAGTATGGTTGAAGAGATTGAGGATTTGAAGTTAAAAGTGAAGAATGTGGAAGAAGATTCAATCTCATTACAAAAGAGTTTCAATGCTTGTGAATCAGAGGTTGAAACTCTACAAATGGAAACTCGGGTTTGTGAAGCTGTAGTAGAAAAGGAGTTGCAAGAGTGCAAAATGGAGCTTCGGAGCTTGAAGAATATGATCGGATGTGTTGTGGTGATGATGTTGGTTTACTTTTTTCTGTTTTGATTGTGTTTGTAATAGAATTGTGGTGAGAGAGAAGCTAATGTTGTTTGTAGTAATTGTGTTTGAACCTTAATGTATGAGTGTCAATGCTTAATGTATGAGTTTGCTATTGGTGTTTCAATGGTTCTAGTTTTTCCTGTTTTTCTAAGCTAATTAAAGAGAGATCATATAATGGATGCTTCTTGTATTTCTTTCAAACTGTAATCAAACAGGTCCTTAAAACGAATTCCAACGAACAACATCTTTTACATCTAAGCAAAACAAAAAAGAAGAAGTAGTCTTCCATATAGCCGCATCTTCTACTGCCAAAAACCTACCAAATTATCATCTAGAATACCGCTTTCTCCAAAAACAAACCAAAACATCACATTGCCGCATCCTCTAAATCCCACAGAATTATCACTCCTTCATGAAAACAGAAGCAAAAGTCAGAAATATTATAGATAAAACAAAATGAGCTTGAAAAGAAGTGTTTTACCTGATCTTGTGTTGTTTGAGTTTGAGTAAGCGAGTCTAATCCATCATCTATTGGAGTTTTCTTCTTTGACTTATTCTTCTCTGAAACCGGATTCTTGCACTTGGTAACATTATGGCCAGCTTCTCCACATCGTCCACAATGCATAATCCTCTTCTTTCTTGAAGCTTTTTTTGTTGGAGATTCATGTCTTGCCTTCTTCCTCTTAGGCTTCGGTTTTCTTCCTTTTGTGTTCTGAATCTCTTCAACCAAAGCAGGAGGAGGCTTGATCACAGAGCCAGAGTTCTTCCAAAATCGTAAACCATTGACTGGTTCTATTGAGGAAGAATAAATATGATTCTGCTTTGCATTGGAGTACCATTCAGATGTGTAGTCTTCATAGTTAAGCTTCTTCTTATTAATGATCCTCAATGCATGACGACAAGGTAGTCCACTCATCTCCCACTTCCTACATGCACAAGTCCTCATTCCCATGTGCAAGCTGACAGATTTTCCACAATCAAGAACCTCACACCTTCCATCTGATGAGCCGGACACATACTTGGTGAACTTTAGCTTTGTTTGTTCTTCAGCTATGAATGCAGTGGCTCTTTTAGTGAATCTTCCTTTGTGATCTTCAGCCTTCTTCTTCCTTGCTTCTATACGCTGCATAGCTCTTCTCCGGATTATCTCTAGCATCTCAACCATTGGATAATATCTTGAAGGATCAATGGCATTGTTAAATGACTCCGAAATGTTGTTGTGCACATCTATACAAGAAGCCGTGGGTGTGCAGAAAGCAAGACTGCAATTGGCTGGATTCCTCTGCATTATTGCTTCAAAGAGGCGGATATCATAAGCTTTAACTCTGTCCAGATTAGCTTCATACTCTGACAAAATGCAACTTTCAGCAACACTCCAAAATAGCCCTTTCATTTCACTTGAATTTGGGAAAAGCTTCTTCAAATTCCCATATATGTGTCTAGCACACATCCTGTGTTCAATCTTGGGCAGTTCTCTGTCTACAGCATTAATCAAACCCTGAAAAGGTTTAACACAAACTTCATATTACAACTGTCATATCCAATGAAAAGCTGCACAACAAACATAGTAAAGAGAAGAACCTTACCTTTTGTCTATCAGATATAACTGTATACCCCTGACCATCTTGAAGATTTTTACAATCCTTCTTGATGTTCTGTATAAACCATGTCCAATTATCTTCGTTTTCAACATCAACAATAGCCCAAGCAAAGGGATACATTCCATTGTTTGCATCTCTACCAACTGCTGCTAGTAACTGTCCTTTAAGAGTGCTTTTGAGGAAACAGCCATCAAGTCCAAAGATGGGACGACACCATGTACACCATTGTTTTCTGAGATTTGCAAAACACACATAAAATCTATGGAAGATTTCAGATCCATCATCGTCTAAAATTGTGTTTAACTCCACGGTGGATTCAGGGTTAGAACTAGCAAAGAAAATAAAAACAGTTTAGTGAAAAAAAACTAACATTGAATGATTAAACTAGAAGACAAGAGATACTTACCGTAGCAGCTCAGCTTTGTAGTCTCTAAGCCTATAAAACTGCTCTTCATGCTCTTTTTGAATGATTTCCAATGCTATCTTCTTCCCTTTTCTACACTTGTCTATTGTGGCAACGAGATTCCAGTTTTTCAGAATATTCTCTTCAATTGTCCTCGGTTTAAAGTCAGGATCAGACCTTATGTCATCTAGAAACAACTTTGCAATCACTCTTGACTTCAATATCTTGCAATATCCATCCTTTGTGCAAGAGTGTTCATGTTCAAATGTCTTCACCATGAACTTCCCAACTGGCTCCTCAAATGCGCAATATATCCTCCACTTACAAGGAGTTTCACTGTCTTATACTCCACAAATAGCTTCACACTTGTCTTTCCCCCATCTGTTTTGCTTGATGTTCCATCCTCCCTTTAATGCATAATCAACTAAAGCTTCTTTGAACTCATCTAAGCTGTCAAACACTTGGTTCATCTTAAATACACCACTTCCTCTTTTACATCTCACATACTTTACTTCATCTTCCTCTCTACCTTCATCGTCAGAATTTGGAGGAGTATTATGATAATCAAACTGTTCATCATCATCCTCATCAATAAAGTTAGCCACATTTCTTTCTACTCTCAGCTCTTCCTCACAAGGTTCAGCACCAATCTCCTCATCTCCTTCAGAATCAACTAGATAAACATTAACAAACTTCACCCATCGAGCCCCATCACACATCTTCTTCAAACTAGAATCCCTCTCACACAATAGCTTTCTCTCCTTGCTGTCTTCATAAGGGTAATTATAGGACACTTTCTTCCCATAAAATGCTTCACCCAGTTCAGACCCTAATTTTGTATAAAATTCCTCCGGTTTACACTCTACTATCTTCACCTCTCCACCGATATAAGCATCCTCCTCATCTTCACTAGTCACCCAATTCCCACCGTAGTACACACTAAATGTTGCCACATCCATAGTACTGCAAACGACATCAAAAAATTAACATTCAACCCAATTACAACTCTCTCAGACATTTCATCGAACACTTGGAGGGTTAATTAAAATCGAACTCTACCATGAAGAAATTGAAGTTGCTGAGACTTGCTTTATATGTAAATTGAAAAAAAGAATGATTCTAATACGAAAATATCATAGAATTTAGACTTAACAAATTAAATTGACATAAACAAAGAAAGAAGAAACTACTCATTACCTCATCCTCTCTTCTCAAAGACCCAAAATTGTAGCTTGGAAGTCGTTTTCATCAAACAAGAATTCGCTTCTTCGATTATTAGACACAGTTTCGTTTTGAATTGAGATGTTTCTCTTCAAACTCACTCACACTCTCTCCATTTCACTAATGTTTCTAAGAACCCTAATTTTAATTTTTTCCCCCAATTTTAAAACGGCGTCGTTTTGTTATTGAAACACCAAACCAAATGTTAAACGACGTCGCTTTATCAAGCCCAGAGGCCACGAGTGATGCCACGTAGTCGCTGACTCGGCACAGTTTAACGGTTTCATCACGCCGTCAAAGCAGATGTTGAAATCGGCAAAACATTATATAGTCTGGGTTTGGAATTTGAATTTATATGTAGTCTGGGTTGATTTATGCAGGGTATCAAAGTTCGGGTTGAAAAAAGCCGCCAGCAAATAGTCTGGGTGGATTTTGGCCGTTTTCCCGCAGGTGAAGGTGCTTCTCTTATTTTGTTATGAATAGATATATCATTGAAAAACGATTTTGTGTTTGTAATGAAAATTTGATCAATTATCATGTTAACGTGTTATTTTTATTGTTTTCAGGATATTTGTGGCATTGCAGATCTATCAAACTAATATATATGTTTGATGGATTTCTGGTATGTACAAAATTTCACTCAATAGTTTACTTAATTCACATTAATTTATTTTTGCCTTCTACGATTATTATTTTTGATATGTGGTTCAATTTTGACCATAAATTTAGCAAATGTTCTAATAACTTTTTTGTTTTTGTTTTTCTTTTTTGAACATAACAGAGATTTTAAAAAAAAACAAACAGCAAATTTAGATCTCATTAGCTAAGAGTCTTAACATAAGAGCCATATTGTTAATTCATTCTCTAAGAGAGGTACGATTAGCTTTTTTTGTTTTATTCTTCGACTTCTATAATACAAAAATTTGATCATTATCGGCCAAAGTACTTTCACTCAATTTGTCAATTTTGAGTTGTTACTATGTTTTGTGTTTTTCTAACATTTTGTGTAACAAGATCATTTTTTAGAGATGGATAAATCCACAAGAATTTCATGGAGAACAAGTTACCTGATTCCTCATGGACAAATTGACTGAAAGAGAGCATTGAGTCGTAGCACTAGCATGAATTGTAACTTTTCTACCAGCCCTTTAACACGTTTATCATATACTCTCTTTCTCTTTAGGAGGGCAGGGAATATAGAGATGGATCCAATGAGGAATAGCACGGACAAAGTCTTAAAATCATACAGATCCTTTACTGATCTGAGATCTCCAAGAGCCAAGCCAGCCTGTGTAAATGAAGTTACCTGAAGCAAGCAACTTTTCTACCAGCCCTTTGAGTGGCTCCATCTTTTTAATTAGACGTTGTGCAAAATTGTAACTGTAACAACATTACAAATTATTTTATGAGATCTAATTGTTTGCAATATAATTGTAAATTTATGAATCAGAAGACGTACTATCATTAACCATAAGATCTAAAATTTCTAATCAGTTACCTTAAGAATCCATGAACAAAATGAAAAGAAATCGAATTTTCCCAAGAAATAACATCAATGGCAGATGCATGGAATTTCTGTCTTCAATTGATAGATTAGTCGGTTGCTTTTATCTAATTGAGATTCAATCGCAGATGGTAGAACAATTTTCATTTGAACTTTTTTGATATTTTAATTAGGAGTAGAATCTCTACCTATAGATACTCGAATCATAAATTTGCTTCCCAGATGCTTCAAAGCTGGTCTTGATTGCTCCACCAAATTGACATCATAATTGTTTCACCTTCTTCACTAAATTGGCTTCACGGTCTGAGATGCGTCATCCTCCGTCAACCATGAAAATGCTTAGTCGCTTCACAGGAACAAATTTTTTTTGTAAATATTGGTTGAGATGTGTTTCTACTTAATGATGGGTTTCTATTCTTTCTCTTTTTTTCGCTTATGGGTTTTGTAGTCTAATCTCAAATATGTGCTTGACCCAACAAAAAAATGGCGTGGGCTGGGTAAATTTTTTTAAGTAATGCAATTATGGTTCGAATTTCTCATGCATTTTAATTGGAAACCTTTTTCAATTTAAAAAATGACATTTACATTTTTGGCACATTTCCCCTTTTTTCGAGAGATCAAAAGTTAACTTAGTTACCTATTTTTCCTTTTTCAAATTAATAAAAAATATTTGTCTTGAGATAAGATAAGAAACATGAAGGAATAATGTTGTTGTCAATTAATAATTTAAACCCATATTATATTTTATAATTTTAATATCACCATATTTAAAGCCTAACTGGTTTAGACGAACGAATGCAGTTGCAGTTAAAAGAATTTGTGAAAACGAGCAGTTGCGAAAATGGACAGTTACCGAAACGGATGGTTGTGGTTTAAGCGATATTTAACGTTTTGTACGGCTGGTCCAGCAGTTAAAAATGGATGCGTTGCGGGAGTTTGATGACGGGTTGGCCAGTAGGTGCAATAACAGTTAAACAAAAAATTACCAAAACAAATACAAAAAGATATAAAAACAACAAAAACTATATTATTCAAATATTAAATAGTTGAATATGATTATAATTATTCATATCGATCAAACAAATACAATATTTCAATGTGAAAAAAACAATCTTGAAAAAAATTATATTTAAAAATTCGCAGATTTAATAGTGGAGCGGGTTACAATTAGCAATAATCCGAGGTAGGATTTAAATAGAATTGTTAGTCTCTTTTGATATCTTTAAATGTGTAACTATAATACTTAATTACTAAATTACATATATACTACGGGTTAAATCTAAAAGCACTAAAAATTTAAATCAAATAATTCTAATACTAATTAAAAAACTGTAAAAAATCAATATTGTTATATGTAATAAAATATTATTCCGCAGACCGCGGTGTACCGTGGGTAAAATCTTATTAAAAACCATACATAATCAAACTTTCGTTACGGTACCAATAAGAAAAAAATTAATACATCAAATTCATAAGTTTATAACAAAATAGTAAAAAGAAAAATTATCCCGCGGTGTACCGCGGGTCATATCCTAGTGTATATGATTGAACGACTGTAAATTATACCTCTGAATGAGATTAATGAGTTTTGCGTTTGATTATAGTATCAAAGATCTTGGTACTAGGATTCAAATCCAAGATTAATGATTTTTATTTTTTCCATTTGGTATATATACTCATCAATTTCCTCACTACAATAATTCACATTTATATATTTTTATTAATGATATATGTAATTAAATTTCGACTAAAGATAAAAGACATCAAAATATTATAGACGAATTATGTAATGAAAATCGGATTTATGAAATTTCAAATATATTCTAAAAAGGAACGTTAAAAGCTTTCATAAGAAATTAATACAGTATAAGAATAGGAGAGAACCATATTAAATGTTCTGGTCCCATACATGAAAAATGTATGAACCTAAACCTAGAAGCTCTTATTATAAAAGAAAATGTTATTGAATTAAACCATTATCAGTCCCACCTTGTACACTCATCATGCTCATCCCCTTCAAATTATTAGTTATAGTTATTTCATAATATTTGTTCCTATTGGGGTTTTATGAGGGAAGAGTGTATGTGGAACATCTAAATGCATAGATTCGTGGAGTTTCTTTTGTCATGATGATGATGTGATGAATGGTTGTTGGTGGAGAAGAAGATGCAACTTTTTCAGTTTTCCTTACTACTATCTTACATATAAATAGTATACAAAAAAAAAATATTCAAATATAACATAAATGTATATTAAAACAAAACCTACAATATAATAATATATAATAAACAAGAAACTAAACTTTAGCATTATAAATAAAAGTTACATGTTACATGTATAGAAATACGTATAAAAAATTTTCCGCAGCATCGCGCGGGTATTTACCTAGTTATTTTTAAAGCTAACTGACTTGAAAAAATGACCAAAATTAGATTGTGCCATCATACACAATCTCGCTTATTTATGCTAAAACCAGAAGATCCATATGATTAATGAGACCAACTGTGACCAACCAAAGAGAAGAAAATGATTAAGGAAACTAAATGCATAATCAATAGAGAAAACAGAGTTTTGTGCCAATCCTTAGAGAAAATAAGTCTTTCATCAGAATAATAACACCAAACTCTAAAGAAGACGAGAGGGAGAAACTAAAGTTTGAAATTAAGTTGAATCATTATCAACAACCGAGTTAGTTCTCTCTAACTCTACTCATCATCTTCATCGTCTTCAATGTCAAACTCAGACTCATTCCCAGATTCACTCTCCGAATCACTCCACCACACATACCCCCTATTCGCAAAAACATCTCCAGATTTCTCTGACGATGAGTTTCCAGCTGCATTCTCGCTGCTCTCCTCTTCCTTATTAGCCAACCTGCTCATCACTGAACTACTCTTCTTGTTAAACGGAGACGATCTCAGCTTCCTCACTTTCTTCTCCGGGGACACTACCACGTCGTCATCATCGTCATCCAGAGAAATTTCTTTCGCTGTTTCAGTTGTTTCTGTTGACACAGAAAAAGAAAAGGCTAAACTTCAGGACAGGCATTACATGCAAGCAGTTCTGTTTGATCAATGTTTCTTTGTCAAAAATGTGATTGTTATTAACATCTTACTGTTATATTAGATCAAACCTAGAAAAACAAAACACAATGAAAAACAATTTGAGCACAAGACTAACCTGTGTCCATTGCTGAATTTGAAGCCTCTTTTGTTACAGATTCACTGGCTTTCTTTGGTGCCGGTTTCTTTGGCGCCTGTCTCTCTTCATCGGGTTGAGCATCTTGCTTATCAAGTTCCTGCGATAAGAGGAAAAGATGTATCAATGACAAAATGTGGTAATTTCCTAATGTGAAGCGTTATAAATAAGGCTTAGCATTGTGCATCCTTACCTCTAGTTCTTTGAGCCAGAGGGATTCCGGTGTGGCGTTTTTCAAGTCTTCAACTGCATCCATCATTTGATCTCTCTGTGCCCTTACCTCTTGTACTGTATCTGTAATCAAAACAGACAATTGCAATAGGTAATTAGTGTAGCGTGAGCTACGATAGAATCGATGATCGTTGATTCCGAAGAATGGCCGTTCGTCGAGGGTTCTTGATAATCGTTGATTCACAAAGAATACCGATAACAAGGAAGATATGAGGATCGATAGCGATGCTCAAGAGAAGAACTCAAAGTTCTATATTAATTCAATAATCAAAAGCTGAATACAACTTAGGCTTAATGGCCTTATTTATAATAAATCTGAAAACCCTAGAAAATTCATATAACAATAAAAAGGAAATTATCTAAATAGTTAAATAAAGATATTTGGAAATAATAGAAATTATCTAAATATACACTGCATCAGTTCACCCGGGATAGAGAAAGATTCGTCCTCGAATCTTAACCGGCTTTTAATTGGGATGGATCTTCTTCTTCCTCCTTTTCTTCCATTGATAATATTTTCTTACCTTAAGCACCTTCCTCTTCCAACCATCAACGAGACACATTTCATGAAAGTAAAGTTTTGTCTTCTTGTACTCCACGTTTCCTTCAAGAGATGAAATATTTAGATCTTTATTATTCATAGAAGCCCTAGACGTAATCTGCTCCATGATATCCATAAAAGCAACTTCTTCATGTTCATGGATTTTCAGGATGTCATCGTAGCCTTTGGCATGATTAAATTCATAGACCGTATATTAAATCATGTGTTATTCAATCATTGATTTTAAAATCTTTATCAAAATCATGTGTTATTAGTTCGATAATTTATAAATACTAATTAAAATACTATGTTATTCGTTTAGTGATTTGTTTTTGGATTTCAAAATCCATATTTTAAAAGTTAGTTGTGTTTTTGAACTAATCCATATTTCTGGCCTTTTTTAAAAGTTAGTTGTGTTTTTGAACTAATTAATAGATTTGGAAATTCATACAAAAATCATGTGTTATTCAATCATTGATTTTAAAATCTTTATCAAAATCATGTGTTATTAGTTCGATGATTTATAAATACTAATTAAAATACTATGTTATTCGTTTAGTGATTTGTTTTTGGATTTCAAAATCCATATTTTAAAATAATAGGATTTGAATGGATTTCATAGTGAAAAATAGAAGGATTCAAATCCGTGGGTAAACACATGTTATTTCAAAATTCATATGTCTTGATTTCAAAATTATTAAAGATTTCCAAATTCGATGTGGATTTACAAATCCATAAACCAATAAACCCCCCTAAGACTTTGAATGTTTACTAGGACCATGAATGGCGAACGATTCTTGGATTCACCCCTAGGGGTGAATCCTTTTTATTCACCTCCTTCTAACTAACCAATCAAAATTAGCCATATCATCTAAATAAACTAATTAAAATAATTAATAATATTTAAATAAAACAACTAAATTAAATCAATTATGGATTCCACCAATTAAATATTTTATTTTACAATTAAACAAAATTATATATCGGTTTAGGTTTATAAAGGAGTGGTTAGGGTTTAGATTTTATAATTTTTACGAAATTATATGTCGGTTTGGGTTTATAAAGGAGTGGTTAGGTTGATGTTATAAAAAAAAAGAGTGGTTACGGTTTAGATTTTACAATTAAAAAGAAATTAGATATCGGTTTGGGTTGACAAAGGAGTGGTTAGGGGTGAACTTATATGCCGGTTTTACAAGTCACTTCAATTGAACCTTGTTCTCCATACATGGACTTAAGGTAATTATCGAATCAGTGTGGTTATTGAATTTTGATTTAAGATGTTACGAAGTTAGCCAACTTAAGATAGATAATAAACCCATTTTTGTGGTTATACATACATACATTTTTTTTTTTTTTTTGATAAAGATATACATACATTACATACGTTAACGAATCATAGAAATAATCCCCAAATTATTTTTAAAGCTAACTGACTTGAAAAAATGACCAAAATTAGATTGTGCCATCATACACAATCTCGCTTATTTATGCTAAAACCAGAAGATCCATATGATTAATGAGACCAACTGTGACCAACCAAAGAGAAGAAAATGATTAATGAAACTAAATGCATAATCAATAGAGAAAACAGAGTTTTGTGCCAATCCTTAGAGAAAATAAGTCTTTCATCAGAATAATAACACCAAACTCTAAAGAAGACGAGAGGGAGAAACTAAAGTTTGAAATTAAGTTGAATCATTATCAACAACCGAGTTAGTTCTCTCTAACTCTACTCATCATCTTCAATGTCATCAAACTCAGACTCATTCCCAGATTCACTCTCCGAATCACTCCACCACGCATACCTCCTATTCACTCTTTGAGGCCTTGATTTCGCAGCAAAAACATCTCCAGATTCCACTAATACGTAAAACTAAGAAGCTTCTCAAGTCGTCTTCTTTCTCCTCTGATACTTCATACCATAGCGTGTCTCACTGGCTTTCTTTGGTGCCGGTTTCTTTGGCGCCTGTCTCTCTTCTTCGGGTTGAGGATCAAGTTTCTACGATAAGAGGAAAATATGTATCAATGACAAAATGTGGCAATTTCCTAATGTGAAGCGTTATAAATAAGGCTTAGCATTGTGCATCCTTACCTCTAGTTCCCTTTCAAATGCCTCTAGGTCTTTGAGCCAGAGGGATTCCGATGTGGTTTTTCCCAATTCTTCAAATGCTTTCATCTCTCTGGGCGTTTAAATCCTTGAATTTCTCTTTCTCTATAGTCAACGACCTTATATCCCATAGGACCTCATAGTCTGAGTCGGGTATAAACGGAGAGCTTGGTGCAGGAGCCACTGAGCTTTCCTCAGATTCTTCAGCTCCATCAGTTGCTCCAGCAACTGCTGCTTCGACAGGCTTGGCCATTTTCGGGAATGGTCTGACCTCTTCCTGTCTCAACTCCTGAACAAAATCAGCTTTCTTCATTTTGCTCACTACACTTTCTCCACTGAGAACTGTACGCATTATGTTCACTTTGTTGTCTAGTTTCACCAGCTCAAGTTCCAGATTCTTCAGCATAGTGTCCTGTACACATCACAGTTAATGTTAGATCATTGCAAGTAAAACCTCAAAAAAAAAAACTGAACTTTTCTAACCTTTCTCTTCTTATAGAATTCCAACCTGAGGTCGAAAAACTCTTGAAGGACTACAAGGAAATGTAACATTAGTTGTATATGTCTTTATACAGGAGAAAAAATAGAATTCACAATTTGGATCTCTTTCTTACTTTTTTCTGGAGTTGAATATTTCTTGAGCACATTTTTTTATCGAAAAGATACATATTCTTTGTAGAGAATGTTGTAGTGAGATTAAACTTCTCTAGAAAGCCAGCAGCCTCAGTCTTGTTCTCTACTTTGATTTGGAAATCCACTATTCTATCATCATCCCCGTTCTGTGGGTGATGATGATATTGCTGGACAGAGAATGGTATTCTCACAATCGTCAATAAATCTATTCTTCTTCTTTCTGCAGAACAGGGATGATGATAGAATAGTGGATTTCCAAATCAAAGTAGAGAATAAGACTGAGGCTGCTGGCTTTCTAGAGAAGTTTAATCTCACTACAACATTCTCTACAAAGAATATGTATCTTTTCGATAAAAAAAATGTGCTCAAGAAATATTCAACTCCAGAAAAAAGTAAGAAAGAGATCCAAATTGTGAATTCTATTTTTTCTCCTGTATAAAGACATATACAACTAATGTTACATTTCCTTGTAGTCCTTCAAGAGTTTTTCGACCTCAGGTTGGAATTCTATAAGAAGAGAAAGGTTAGAAAAGTTCAGTTTTTTTTTTGAGGTTTTACTTGCAATGATCTAACATTAACTGTGATGTGTACAGGACACTATGCTGAAGAATCTGGAACTTGAGCTGGTGAAACTAGACAACAAAGTGAACATAATGCGTACAGTTCTCAGTGGAGAAAGTGTAGTGAGCAAAATGAAGAAAGCTGATTTTGTTCAGGAGTTGAGACAGGAAGAGGTCAGACCATTCCCGAAAATGGCCAAGCCTGTCGAAGCAGCAGTTGCTGGAGCAACTGATGGAGCTGAAGAATCTGAGGAAAGCTCAGTGGCTCCTGCACCAAGCTCTCCGTTTATACCCGACTCAGACTATGAGGCTCTATGGGATATAAGGTCGTTGACTATAGAGAAAGAGAAATTCAAGGATTTAAACGCCCTGAAAGATCAAAAGATGAAAGCATTTGAAGAATTGGGAAATGTCTACTTGGGTGAAGTAAGTTGATATTTTTAACAATATCTCGAGGGTTATAGTTTGGTATGAATGTCTTCCACCCACTTGCAATTCCTTCAGCGCCATTGACAAGGACAGTTGGAATGATGGGGATGTACCTAACCATCGTTAACATACAGAAACAGAAAAAAAAAGCGTTCAAGGAGGACAGAAAAAACACATAACTAAGAAGAGAAGAGATTTACCAAGTTGGCTCTATCTTCTTCCCGTCTCCAAACAAGCGTTCAAGGAGGACATCATCATCCTTAGGAAACAAGACCATTGTTGCTGGAGAGAGTTTAGTGAAAATGTATCTTGGATTAGCTGCATCTTTTTCACCCTATGACCACAATCAATACATGAGTACAAAGCATAGATAAACAAGAACATGCTCTATCAGCTATACATACCGAAGCTCGTGTACCAAATTGACTACTTGGGTGAAGTAAGTTGACATTGTTTCTGCCAACGTAGTCCAGTGCCATGCCGATGATGGTATTGTCAAGATTCTGCTCTCCGTGACGATAAACTGAGAGATCTAATACATAACCCAAGAATTTGCTAACCAAGACGTCCTCAACTAAGTTTTTCTCGAATGCACAGAACAATATCTTCCTCTGGCTCGGTTTGAGCCCATCAACCAATGATGGAATTGACCTTTCAAGATTCGCCCTGGAGAACTCGCCCAGGTCATTGTACACGAAATCTTTGAAGGAAATTGTTGGTTTCTGCAGATCATGAGTGCCAGGCTGAATGGGAAAAAAAAGGACATTAATAAGAAGCAAAGCACAGTTAATTATAAAGAGAACCCTCAATCCTCCATACCTTATAGTCTGAAAGCAATTTTCTTTGGGCTCCGGTCTTGTTTTTACTGAAAGCAAGCTTAATAGCTTCTCCATCTTGTACACCCTCCCAAACAAAATCCTTTTGGTGAAATTTAAGATTTGTAAAGTACCCTTTAGCGTCCGCAGAATCAATGGAAGCCAATCCCTGGAAAGGATAAATAAGGCTAATTAGTATGCAGAGAAATCAACACTCTCAAACAAAATCTGCTCTCTAGATAAACCAAACCTTGCAGTATTTCCTGGTCCATTCAGTTGTATTACCACTTTGTCTTATTTCGCTTTCCCAGTCTTCATACCGAAGCATTGAGTAAAATAACTGAGCTTCTTTAGTAGGGTGCGTAACCTGATTATGATATGTTTAGGGCAGTATTCTTTATTCACTAAACACTATATATGCAACAGTGAATTTCTACTAACCTTCATAATGGGTGTTATAAACTGAACTATAAATGATGGCTTAATCTTCAGCAACAAAGGCCAAAAATGATGGAAATAATTGATTAAGAGCCCCTTTATGTGAGAACCATCAGGATCCTGGTCACTCAAGAGCATCACACGTCCATAACGCAAGGATTTTGCATCGTAGTATTTCCTACCTTGCTTTAGTCCAAGGATCTTCTTGATGTTCACAACTAACTCATTGTTTGCAATCTTACTCGTTTTAGCTTTACTTACGTTAAGAAACTTTCCTTGAATCGGAAATGCACCGTAAAAAGCACGACCCAGCACATTCCGTCCCAGCTTCTGACCATAATGAATATTAGGAGGGTTGTGAAAAAAAATATAAAAGTATGAGCTGAGCTACTTATGCCACTTACAGCTAGACTTTGAGCTGAGCGCCCTTCAACTAAAATCAAGGTACACGCTTCAGATTCCTCTCCTCCGGCTTTCTCTGCATCCATTAACCCCTCAACTTTAACCGTCTCTGTTTTGGCTCCATCGCTTATCTTCAGTGCTTCGTTCTGCTCCCATGTTTTCCATGAAAACAAGAAATGCTCCAATAAACCTATATAGAAAAGAAATCATTAAGCACTCTTCTAGAAAGCAGTTACAACACTAATATAAAAAGATAGATCAAGCAAACTGAAAGTTCACATTTCTTTAGATCAACACACGATACCTTTCTGAAGGATATCTTTTGAAAGTTGACATTTCGACCCGAAACTGCTCTCTGGAAGAGTCAGTCTTTCTTTTGTTTGAGAATCAAACGCAGGATTGTCAATCAGAGCATTGACAAAGACCCACAGATGGTTCTTCACATCATGAGTCTTGACATTAGAGTATTTCTTCTTTTTGTTCACAATACGCACAATGTACTTTGTGACCTGGTTGGTCACATAATCAACATGCGTACCACCCTTAATTGTGGCAATGGAGTTGACAAAGCTAACCTGTTAGTAGCCAAAAACGAGTTTACTCATTTCATCATGAAGAACAAAAGGTAATAATAGCCAGCCATTATATAATATACCTGTTGAAACCGTCCATCACTTAAGCTCACACAAACCTCCCATCTATCATTAACTTTCTCAGTCATCCTACTCACACAAAAACTCAAAAAGATCAAAATCTATTCCAAGACACCAAAATTGTTATAACTCAATAACGAATCATAGAACAAACCTTGGGAGAGGCTCAGTCCTTGATTTACTGGCGGCTTAAGTAGAGATCAACATAATCACTGAATGACTTAATTGGTACTTGTTTTCCATTCAGGTCAACTGTCTTTCCCAAACAGCCAGCAATTTCAAGCACTCGCTTACTCATTAGAGCAACCACATCGTTGTCCAATTCAGTCATGTTAAACTTCTTCAAATCAGGCGTGAATGTAACCTTCGTCCAATTCTCACTCTTATTGCACATGGTTATAACTGGGTCATACTTCTTCCCCATATTGTTTTCAAAGACCTAAAACATCACCAGTAATGTCAATCAAAATTCCTCAAATTACTCTATCAATCGAAATCTAAAACTCAACACAGAAAGCAAATAAAACGATTCCAATACCTGCTTATACTTCTTGAGTGATCTCTTCCCATCTGCAATCTCTATAATGAATTCAGTAGAGATGTTTGTAAGCGTAGCACCAAATCCGTTTCTTCCACCAGTAGTCTTCTTAATCATCTCAGGCATATAAACACATTCTTCCTGATGAAACTCAACAGGAACTCCATATCCACAGACACTAATCTGATTCTTGTCAGCATCGATCACAACTTTGATCGAATCCATAGACGGATTATCAGCAGCATTCAAAAGGATCTCATCAAAGATATTATACAATCCAGGAACGTAAGTAACAGAACGACAAACCATCTCTTCCTTCTCATAAACCCAAAGCGTTTGGGTATGTTTCTCAACCGATCCTATGTAAGAAAGCAGGATATCATCCAGCTGCTGGTTCCTTTGCTCAATCGTCTTCTCAGCGGCGGCTAGCGATGATGCCGGAGCCTTGGCGTTGTCGATGTTTTCCAATGAGGGTTTCGAAGCCACCATGGTTAACAGGAACGGCGCGAGTTTCTGAGAGAGAAACTGGAGTAGATCTGAAATGTAGTAATTACAAAGGAGGAGAAGAAGAAGAGCGCAGAGAAGTGAAATGTTTTTTTGTTATTATCGTTAATCTTTTTGTTAATCAGCTTTAATCCGGCGTAAAGTTGCACGCCTTGATGCAAATCCAACGGCCAAGATCAGCAATATCTATGATTTAATTTGAGCCGTTAGATTTCCAAGCATGGGAAAATCTAACGGCTCAAGGGGTTCATGGTCATCTTACGAAGATATTATCATATCAAAGAAGGTCATATATGTTTTGGTTACGCGACTGATGAAACACTCCTGAGCTTATGCCTCTTAGTCATGTTTTAGCTACTAAGCTTGGTGCTAAAACTCACTGAAGTTGGCAAGAACTCGACTTGTCCTTGGCTTAGACGTGATGGTAAGACTCAACTCTCAAGTGACTGTTAAATATATATGTCAATGAGAATGGAGCTATGGTTCTCATCTCGACGCAACATGATGAGATTGCAGCTGATCTTAAGGTCTAAGGAGCATGTGATCAAGCCTATGATCCCTGAGAAGTATACCTTGATGAGAAAACCGCCTGGTCGTTTTGTGATTGGTGGACCACACGGTGATGCGAGACTCACTGGGACATACGGTGGTTGGGGAGCTCACGGAGGTGGCGCGTTTTCTGGAAAGGACCCGACCAAAGTTGATAGAAGTGGTGCCTACTTAATTAGTGATAGAAGTAGCGATGTTTAAATGGGCTGACTTGTCACAACATGACCTGACCCTTCAGAATTAGCTGCTTCAGGGTTTGTCCTCTAGCAGTAACAAACCCCTTCAAGAACCGACCCTTGACCGAAGGACAATACTTCCAACTTCTCAAACTTTTTTTAAAGCTTCATATCGATGTTTTGGCACTCGTTGATATACAGTTCCCTTAAAACTGACCCCAATGAATTAGATAACATATCAATGCTAGATGATGTTAGAAGAGAGCATTGGCTGAGATTAATAGATGTAATCGCAGGAGCAGCGGAAACAAGTGCCCGTAGCCCCACATCGGAAAGCCGGCATGCACCACTTAAAGATAAAGAAGATAGCATCGGCAACTGTTTTGGTGACCTTGCTAAGGTGAAGGGTGATACATAATCTGGCATACAACGCCCACACTGGTCGAGTTGAAGAACTTGTTTCAAAAAGGAGGTTAATGTGGACTTTAGTTACAGTGTACACCTTAATGTCATCTTACACAAGAAGAACTTTATCTTAGGTCTGAAAACATGTTTATTAAGGGAAAATTCATGATTTATTCCTTTCAGTATCATTATTTTCCAAGAACAGATAGCTAACCTCACATACGGTTCAATATCCAAATATCCAATACAAAACCAATTAACTACAGCAACAAAATAGTGTACTCTGAAACAGCTGTCTTGACAGGGAAAAAAAACAAGAAAGAAAAAAAACATTCACCTATAAAAATGCAAACTCGTTGTTTCAGCACTTTTTTCCCCAGAAGAGCAGGCAAGACAGAGGCTGATGATTGAACGCTGGACTTAATGCGTCCGAGCAGTCGTTCTAAGTCTGGAAGTTTATGGAGATACTGGCCAGTGATTTGCACGATTTCTGAGTTTGCCGTGAATTCTTCAACTATATCAAGCCTTTTATTGACGCTTGCTACATCTTTGAGTGGATGGCAGATCCAATTCCTTAAGAGCCGCTTACCAGTTGGACTAACACAGTTATCAAGATATTTGTACAAGGTCCCTGCAGAGGTAAAGAAAAATCGGCTATTACTTGCTAGAGATCCATACCAAGTATTAGAATGCTTCCTCATGTGTCTACCCTCTATATAAGCTATTAAGAAAAAGAAATATGCACTTGCCTGAAGGACCACCATCCACCATCCCAGCTATTGTTAAATATCTCAAGATTTACCATCGTCTGGCCATCAATTCTGAGACAACCTCTGTAAACTTGGTATGGAAATGCCTAAGTACATCTTCTAGCTGCAAGCAGATAGAAACTGTAAGTTATGAAGAGTTCCTTTGCTTAACTTGTGAACAGCAAAAAACTAACCAAGCCAACACACCTTCAGCCTAGACAGATGATTAATTAGCTCTCCAAGAGCACTAAGGGCAACATCAGATTCACTTAGACCATCAACAGCACAGTTCCATGATTCAGAAGAACCTCTAAAGTATCTGTTAGATTCTATCATATTTCTAACTCCAGCAGCATCCGTATCCCCCATTGCTTGTGGTACTGGACCCAACTGTACCACCGTAGACCCTATTAAATTGAAACATAAACATCATCTACAGTAGAAATATTTAAGAGATCAATCATTGGGTGAGCAGCTAAAAGAAGCCAGATTTTCATGCACATCGAGTCTTCATGATGATCAAGTAAGAGCATGCTTTCCTAAATTTTCAGTTAGGTTGCCTGCCTACTGAAGTAGTACCTGTCAATGTATATTTCCTTAGAGCCTTTTGGGCTCCTCTTGATAGTCCTGCAATATTTAAACTTAACCAGTGTCATTTACCTTAAATTCTGTTTGACAAACAACTGGCAGTTTACCTTTACTGTGTCATATACCACTTCCTTTGGAGAAACCTGGGAAAAAAAAAAAAAAGAAGCCAAATGTTGATTCAGAACTAGTTTCTGCAAACCAAATATATGACACGATGTCACATGGTACACATAAGATACAGAACACACTTTCTTACCTGCATCAATAAAGCTCCAAGAGCAGCACATGATGCATCGTCGCTGATGGACCCGACCCAAAACCTCAAGGCAGCACAGTCAACAAAAGCAAATCCATACACAGTTGAACACTTTTCTAGCTCCATTTTTATCTAAAATCAAGATTCAGAAGAAAAATTGACATCAAACCATTAGGCAATGTAACCAGAAGCAATTCCTTAACAGCTACTTTATCATGACTATGCAGGGCTTGGATCAGCTATCATTTTCTCCAGCACGCTAGACAAACACAACACAGACAATGGTCATTGTAGAAAGAAGAGATGCAGTAACAAGGAATTAAACTACTTGACATGCAATTGCAGACTATGATCATTGTAAGAAAGTAGGTGATCCAGTTAAAAGACTGACTCTTTCAAATTCAAAGAATCTTAACAGAGCTTTTAGTCTGCAGGTTACAAATTTTTTTCAAGGGAATCTTTTGCACATAAAAAAAAAAAAAAAAAAAAAAAACCAGCAAATCTTGACTTTCTAATCCCAAATCCTTACACTGCTTGATGGAAGATTGCAAAAGAAGAGTGTATTTTCCAGGACCCGAATGAACTTAACTTGATAATATAAATAACAAACCTCTTTTATAGCAAGGAGATGGACGGCATCAGGCCCAATGTTACCCTCGCTTGCTGTTGATGCCATGGAGTTAATACCTGAACTAGCTTCCTTGGAATTATCTGATAAATGATAATCAGACCAGAACAGTCATTGAGTTAATCACAGCATGAAACTAGTGTACAGAAAAATAAACTATCAAGAACAGTCTCCTTGACCTGTCCCAAGACAACTTACAGTATTAGCACCTCTGGCTTTTGCTTGATCAGGTGTTTCTAGCTGCTCGATCCGTCCAACTTTAAATCTTCCAAAAGAAACAACGAGTGTGTCAATACATAATTAGTGGAATAGGTAATGAACCTGCATGTTAGTTTCTGTTGGAAGCATAATACAAATGAGTGTACCTTATATAAGTAAATGTTTACTATCCGTAAGTAAACATTTACTATCCGTAACTGTTGCTACAGTGAACTAGCAAAGGTCTGGGTATATGCCTTGCCAGTGAGAGCACACAAATAAATGATAAAGAAGAAGAAAAACATCCTAGGTACTTAGAAATCTAGCTGATGATGGCTGAAGTGATTTCCATTTTTAAAATCCTAAACAAAGTCAGAGCAAAAGAATTCTACAAAGTACGATAATTCCCTTACCCACGAGCTAATAGCTTTTGCACTGTCTCATCAATCCCACTTTCAGAGTTACCGACCTGATAAAAAATGGGACATCAAATTTATAGACTCAATAATTCAAGCAGGCCAGTTGATTCAACTAATTTACCTGTCTGCATTTCCCACACCGCTCATGGTCATCTTCCAGTCAAGCTCCTTGTGACCTAACTCCGCATCTAGCTCATACAGCTCATAAAATTTCCCCAGGGGAGAGCATAACATATGCAGATGTAAGTGAACCAATCGCATTGAGAGGAAATGGATTGAACACTAGATTGATAGTCACAAACCACTTTAAAGAAAAAGCACAATATCCATATATTCACTCTTGACACTCCAATATTGCTTTTGCGACGCAGACATTTTCTTGAAAACATCAGCTGGTAGGTATAGGGTCTTTCTGTCGTAAAGAGGATCATCAGGACGTCTTCTATTGGCGTCCCTGATTCTAGAAGGCTCAAGCCATTCAAATTTGGTTCCTTCGTTTACTTCTTTCTTCTCTACACAAACCGGATCCTGGAGCATTTTAAGCCTTTTGTTAGAATCCAATACAGGGACCTTATTCTCCTTAAATTTCATTCCATCCTCCAAAACTCGCTTCAAACGAGAAACACTTGGACGCATCCCTGGTGTTTCTGGGCCAAGAACATCGTCATCTTCTACTGATCTTACATCAGCTCTCCCACTGAAGCTAAAACCATGGTCTCTTTCTTGTGACTGACCATTATTGGGACGAAATTCAGGAATAACATCATCAGCTTTCATACAAACGGAGGAATCATTAAGCGGAACAACATCTTCTCGGCTCCTGAAAATTTACAAACAATGATATAAGGAAGTAATCAGAATCTCCACCATGAACAATGCATTACATGAATCTCCTTCTTCCATGTAAAATTCGAGCCTAGACCTAATGTTTACTGAAGGAAAGATCTCTCTCTCCAGCTAATAGTTCAAAAATAAGAGAAAACGACGAAGATTAGTACCTCTCTCCAGAACATTCTCGATCATCGACCTTTACAAACTTATGCATAAGTATTGGAGAGCAGAGACGAAGCACCACCTCCGGCAATCCGGACGGCAAGACACGACGCGGAACTTTCTCCGGCGGTGTATCCGTTCCTCTAACCTCATCCATAGATTTAGATACAGCAGAGCGTACCGAAGCGTCGCCGTTAGCATCCCCTTCCTTTACAGTAAATCGTGATCCTCCTCCGCCGTTGGTAGCATCGCCGGAAACCAAACCCTGTGTCGCCGGCGAGGGTTTCTGGAAGAAAGACAGAATCGATCTCTGGCGCTGCATTTCGGAACTGTGAGAGAGAAAGAGAGAAGCGATGTTTTTGATATTAGAGAAATCAAAAGGGGGGAAAGATTGGCGCCAAAAGTTTCGGCTCGCGTCGTAGAAATGGCGGAACGTCACTCCTCAAGTCCTCAGGGCTATCACTTTTGATTGACCGTCCGATTCTCTTCTATTACTGTGTACCGTTGGATATATCGAGGCAAGAGTCAAATGCATGGGTATTCGGGTAAGTTCGGTTCGACTAAACCGAAAATAAATTCAGTTTGGTTCGGTTCGATTCAAATAGGTGAAAGTTCGGTTAGGACTCGGGTATTGTAAAGAAAACCGAATTATAACCGAAATCATTTTATTTCGATTTTACGAAAATTTAGTTTAGTTTTGATAAAACTTTGGCAATTTTTCCAAATTACTGTATAGTTCAATCCCTACACTATTATTTGAGAAGTATTACAACATTTTGAACGTGTTAGATTTCGTTTCACTAGAGAAGTCATTAGAAGCATTATTATTTCATTATATATATCCCAAAAATTTACTCCCCCATATTAGCAATATCCCAAAATTTACTCCCCATATTAGCAATATATATCGACATAGTTTTCTATTTTTTTTTTTAAAACAAATTTTTGAAAAAATCATATATAAATATACAATCATATATATATATATATAATACATAATAATCCCAAAATTCAGAACTTTTTTCTTAATTAATTTAAATATTAAAAATTTGAAACAATAAAATATAACAGAAATATCAATTTAGATAATAGACGTTCAAAAACTATTAATTTAAATTGAATAATTAGAAATCATTGCACTCTTATGCTAACGAATTCTTTTAAAATAACAAAACTACCTAATTGATTGTTAATTAAAAACTGAGATGTTAAAACTCTATTTTATCTATATTTTATTATATTAAAAAAATATTATAGTAGTAGACTAAAATATTTTATAATTTAATTAGAATTGAAATAAAACAAAGTTTGGAATAATTATTTTTGAAAAAGCGGGTTATTATCATATTTTTAAAAGATATATTACTAAATAAAATTGTAATTGTATAAATAAAATATTTTTTTATTAATTTTTTTGTTAAAGTAAAATATTTTTTTAAACTGTTAAAAAAAAGCAAAAAAAAAAAACTAATTTCAAGAATATTCCTTTAACATATCCGGAGATTGTTAATTTCCTAATCTACCATTTATTTCGGATTCCATAAAATGTGGTAAATATCTAGCAAATCTGTTTTTATGGCCAAGATATTCTCGATTTACTATAAAAAAATAGTTTACATATAAATGTATTTGTTAATATAAATATATTTGTTATAAAACCCATTCTTATATTTTAAATGCTAGACACCTAATTTATGCAAAACTCAATTTAGACTTCTCAATAATATAATAGATTAAAATCAAATACTTCTATTATTTATGTACTAAAACTAAATCTATTTGTTTTTCATTAAATTTGGGGAAACTTTGATCTACTTATGCCAAACGATGCACTTATTGTTAAGTTACAATTAAAAACAGGTATATTTAGGATACTATGTATTTGTTTGTTAATGTTATTCTATGAATTTTTGGCCCTGTTCCATATAGTTTCTCAAATCATGTTAGTTGTATTTTCCTCATTTTAACAAGAGGAACCTTTTAATAAAAGAGTTGGTTATAAAGTTAAAATTTCAATTGATAAAAAATTAAAATATGACAATTATTATTATCTAATAAATAAAATTAGAATTTGTAGACGTGACTTAAAAAATTATCTTGCTGAAAAAGAACTATATGACTATAATAGTATAGAAACTAGGAGTGGGTAAACGAAAATTTGGAACGAGATTTTTCGAGAACGGAAACATGAAGAAAATTTGGAAATCGAGAAAAAGGTCCCATTTATGACCCATTTAAAATTCGGAACGGGAATGGAATGGGACGTGACGGGACGGAATATGATGAGACCGGACCGGACCGGAAATTCCCAAAAATAAAAATTAACCGAGTAACAAATGTAAAAAACTTTTTTTGCTACTTAAAATTTATAGATTTAAAAGTCAAAGACAAATCAATCTAGATAATTTATTAAATATAAACCATATAGTCATAATAAAATTAAAACAAATTAAAATCTTTCGGTGGATAAACGGGAGTTTAGAACGGAATTTGCGGGAACGGAAACGGGACTGAAATTTGGGGATCGAGAAAGAGGTCTTATTTTATGTCCCATTTAAAATTCGGGATGGGAACGAGATTGGACGGGACGGGACCGCAAATTCCCAAAAACCGGAAATTCCCAAAAATAAAAACCAATCGAGTAACAAATATAAAAAAAAACTTTTTTAATGCACACATCTTCACAAAAATGAAGCATTCATGACCCCGCGGTGCACCGCGGGTGACTATCTAGTTATCATTCATTGGTCACTGAAATGTATTTATCTGAACCCAAACCAAACGCCAAATTATTAAAACATATCTAAACTAATCCCAAAAAGCGTATTTCAAATCGGTTTGGTTCAATTTGGATAATTTGCCCAAAAGCTTTCACTCAAGCCTCAAGCTCAAGTTAACTAAACTTTTTCTTAATGCCACGTAAGAGAATTGACAACAAATAAGACGATGACACATCATCCCAACTTTAAAAACGTTCCAGAGACGAAAATGGAGGGAAAAAAATGATCGAATTCTCCAGAAACCAATCTCTCTGTATATAAATCTCACAATCCTCTCAACATTTCATCATCATCGTCTCCATCGTTCTCGTTTTCGAAAACTCAAATATTATTATTTTCAATCAGCGACAAAGATGCCGAGCAGATACCCAGGAGCAGTAACACAAGACTGGGAACCAGTGGTTCTCCACAAATTAAAACAAAAGAGTCAAGACTTACGAGATCCGAAAGCGGTTAACGCAGCGCTTAGAACCGGAATCGCGGTTCAAACGGTGAAGAAATTCGACGCCGGTTCGAACAAAAAGGGGAAATCTACGGCGGTTCCGGTGATAAACATTAAACACGAAGAAGCTTGAAGAAGAAATAGAGCCTGCCGCGATGGATCGTGTGAAAGCAGAGGTGAGGTTGATGATACAGAAGGCGAGATTGGAGAAGAAGATGACACAAGCTGATTTCAGGAGTTAATGAGAATGGTAAAGCTGTTCCGAATCAAGCTGTGCTTGCGAAGATGGAGAAGGTTCTTGGTGTTAAACTTAGGGGTAAAATTGGAAAATGATTAAACGTAGTCGTTTTTACGTTTCCGTAACGTCCTTATTAGCGATTGTAAAAAAGTAAAAAGGTAAAAAAACTGTTGTTATCTGGTTTGGTTTGGTAAGTGGAAAAAAAAAATTATGCAAATTAGCACTTATGAGATTTTCTATCAATTTTAGAAGTTATTTTATTTATTTACATAGATTTAAATGGTAATTTTATACTTAAAAATACGGTCTACGAAAGTTTAAATAATTTTATTAATAGTGATTTTAAAAATACTTATAGAATGAACTTTAAATCCTAAAAATCAAATTCTAAATTCTAAATCCAAATCTAAAATTTTAAATTTATACTGATGTTTAAAAATATATAAAAATATTTGTATTGTAGGGTATTTCTCTGTTATTAATTTTTGGCACAAATTAAACAATATTGTTATTATTATTATTTTTTTTGGTAAGGACAATATTGTTATTATTTGGCACAAACATTTAGCAAAACAAAACATATTGAAGACCACGAAAAAAAAAAAGTACCCAAAAAAAAGAAGTACAAGTCTCCGTGAAGTGTGTTGTTTTTTTTTTTTTTATGATTCGATTAAGTTTTCTATATGTTATGAGCAATCGTATTACATATATCCAAGGGGAATTGTGAAGAGGCATAACGACGGAATTGGTTTCTAGATAGAGGTCAAGAGCGTCCATGCCACTTTCACGACAATTGCCACCCATCTTGTAGCCACCGTAAGGACAATCAAGATCAAACCCAAAGTAACAATTAACCCAAATGATTCCAGCTTTGATTGATCTTGAAACCGTGTTGATCAAGTCTATGTCTTGGCTCACTATTCCTGCTGCAAGACCGTATTTCGTGTTATTTGCACATTTGATTCCTTCCTCTACCGTCCTGTGAAAGCAAATTTCCGATATTTTTAGTGTTATGGAAACGAGAGAATGATTGAGAAGAGAGAAACTAGTTTTTAGGTTTACTTGAATTTCATCAATGACATGACTGGTCCAAAAATTTCATCTTTGTATATCTTCATATCCTCCTGTAATCAACAAAATTAACAAGTCAATAGTGTATATGTATATGCATATAATAGGCTAATTTTTATGCATACAATAGTCTAAATCAATATATGCCATATATTATAATCTTCTATATCTTTCTCGATCTTCATGATTTCTATAATTTTGATATGAACGATTTCATCCTAATAAAAAATGACGGAGTGACAAAATCGTATATAAGTGTGAGTCTATTATGCACGTCATTTTTGCAAATAGCATGCTTTTCATAAATGTTTTAAATTCTTTTTTTTTTGTCAAGGAAAATTCCAAAACTCTATTTTATTCGATAACATGCTATTTTAGATAATAACACGTTTTTTTTTTTACTTATGAAAGGCACCAAAAAACTTTTCGTGCCATTTCCGCAAATAAGTGTCAAAATTTGACTATATATCTAATAAACCTAGTTAATAAATGTTTTACCCAAAAAAAAAAAAACCTACTTAATAAATGAAAGAAGATAAGTGTGACTTTGACCAACAAAAAAAAAAAGATAAGTGTGACTTACAGTGACATCTGCGAATATATATAGTTGGTTCAATGAAAAATAACCTTTATCTCTCCCTATCCCACCAGTTAATAAGGTCGCTCCTTCGTTTTTGCCGTGCTCAATGTAAGATAAAGATAGAATCTTTCTCAAATTGTCTTTTATCAACCTGACAAAACAAACACATATATTCATTCAAAAAAAAAAAAAAAAAAAAAAACACATATAATAAATCATAATCTAATTCTCTTAAGTATATTCAAATAAAGATCAATCAACATTATGTTAAGCTTCTTTACTTGAGGTCCCTGTCGAGCAGTGGAATCAAAAGTGTCACCAACGGTCCAATCTTTATTTTATTTTATTTTAATTTAATATTTATTTCAACTTTCCCTTTCAAAGAGATAACGTTTGAAAATACATCTCACAGTTTAAAGATGAAATAAAAAATAAAAAGTGAACCCATAAGTAAGAATTACTTGAGAATTCAGATGGGGATCATGTAAACGTAAGCTAGAATTGAATAAACCGAAACCAAGTTGAGAGATAGGTATCTTGAGGTTGCCGTGATGTTGTGGCCACATTTGAACGAAGTAATGCATTGCTGCGATCCAGACCAGCTAATTTGGCTCTAATGGTGACTTGAATCTCCTTAACCAGAAGAGCTGAGGATTTTGCAATGTTTGAATGAACCCTCGAGTTTCTTTCTTTCCAAATAATGTAGACTACGGCTTGAAAAATCAGCTTGCAGATTATATTGAGCTCTGGAGTTGGGAGAAGGTGACTTGACCCATCGCACAATATCATCAAAGAGAGATGGAGGAGAAAGACTTCGATGCGAGAAAAAGGCGGTCCATACTTCGTTTCCAAAATCACACTCAAAGAAAAGATGGCTTTTCGTTTCCAGAGCTGAAGAACAAAGTAGACAGTTACCTGGTAGGCTGGTACACTGAGGCCCCAACTCCTGAGACGATCCCTTGTGGTTAATCTATCCCGAAGTGTCACCCAGAGAATAAAAGCGTGTTTGGGAATCCTTTGGCTGAACCATACAGACTTGAACCATGAAACTTGTTCCGACGAGTGAGGATGCAGGCTGGCCCAAGTTTTAGAAGATGAGAAATTTCCAGGCGCATCACTGAGTGAGTTACGCCACAAATAGAAGTCTGAATCTAAAGGAGAAAGAGTCGGCGGAGTTGCTGGAAGACAAGCCCGCAAAAGTAGTATAACTGGATGTCTTCCACGTGGTAGTAGCCAAGAACCATTCGCTATAACCTGAGAAACAGAGGCTAAGGTACAAATTCCAGTAATCATGTTAAGTCTAATAAAGGACCAAGACCAGTCCAATCATCATGCCAAAACAAGGCTGAGGAACCCGAATTTACATGACAAGAAATGTATGGTCGAGCTAGAGTACGCAGCTTTACTAGCCTCTTCCAAATCCAAGAACCAGACCGTTGAAAATCCGTCTCCCAGAACACTCTTCCCCTGATGATAACCTTGTGAATCCAGGAAACCCAAAGAGAACCACCACCAGCAGACAGTAACCAAATCAACTTAAGACCAAACACAACATTAGAATCTTGTAATTTTCTCAAGCCCAATCATCCTGATTTCTTAGGAGTGCAGACCGAATCCCAAGAGACTTTGGCACCTCTAGAAGAATTTGGAGCACCTGTCCAAAGAAAAGCACTGCAGATTTGCTCAAGTTTATCTAAGCATCCTTTAGGAAGAGGATCTTTAGCCTTCTCCACTAACTTCTCCACAACCTTATCGTATATACCTTCTTGAACAAACACACGAGAGCTCGCCACACAAATATCACCCTGTACATCCACCAGATTAATATGTTTACATATCAAATATCAATATCCATCGGTATTGGAATTGGCCACTATGAATACCTTGTTGTAGAAGCAACCGAGAAGCGCAAGATCAGCAGCTTTGTCAACATCAGCGTCGTTGAATATGAGAAGAGGCGATTTCCCACCTAATTCAAGTATAACTTTCTTGAGATTACTTGTGGCAGCAGCTTGCACTATCTTCCTCCCAACATCTGTTGATCCAATGAAACTAACCGGATCACAACAACAAACAGAGAAGGTTCAAGATTAGACATCCAACCACAACACTAGTCACTGTTGACTCGTAAGACATTAGATATTACTTTGTCTACCTCCATATGGGAGGCAATGGCAGCTCCAGCTGTTGATCCAAAACCAGTCACCACGTTGAGCACACCATCAGGGATTCCCGCCTGTTTTGTCACACAATAATGTCTAAATTGTCAGGTCTATATCGTTTTTGTTACGTATACGTTTGTTATTACATGTTAAAATTGTCTTTTTCAAATGAATCCATGATTAGAAGTATTTCAAGAAAAATTCTTATATGATTTGCCACCATTTTTATTTGCGGTTTACAAAACGAATTTGTGAAAGACTTGATTTGATTTTTTTTTTTATCTTTAACAGCAAAGACATAAATAGTGTTTAAGACAAGTGAGATCTTAATCATTTTTTTTTAATCTTTAACCGCAAACACATAAAGCTTGAAATCTATAGACTTTGCGAGATGGGCATAGAACAGAGCAGAGAGCGAAGTTTGCTCAGCTGGCAATCAGCATGGATCAATTACGGTTTCTCCCAGTCAAAATGTTTAAGACATTGAGGAGTTTATACCTCATTGTAGGGTTCTTGTTTCCTAGCAAATCCACATTTATAAACACCATTGTTTATCCCGTTGAAAACCCATTCGTTAGTCTCGTCGATCGTGTCTCTGAGATGAGAAGGATAAAGGTCGAGTGACGGGTTTTTCGCAATACCATTGAACTCAGTGTTGAACATCCGGATTATCTCCGAACTCTCATTGTTAACTACAGTCTTAAGCTTCTTATCCCACAGAATCTGACACAATAACAAAATCAACATTCAAGAAACAGGACAAGAGAGATTAAAGAGTTCACCAAAGAGATCAAAACTTACAGGAACAGTGTACTTCCCCTCATAGTTGGGGCTAGCAATCTCGTAGAGTTCTCTCACACTCTTGGCACCATTAAGATAGTCAGGCTCAGCTCCAGGGAGCTCGGTATCCGAATCTGGGAAAACCCATCCTCTATGATCATCAGTTTCCTTGGTTCTTCCCCAAATTGCATGAACCGACTAATCAAAATCAAATAAAAGAGAAATGCTTCAGGTAACAACAATCTACTTCGATATCGAAATCGCGAGGTAAAGCATGAATTTGTACTAACCGAGAAGCTGATTGCTTCATCAAGTCTTTGATCTTTAAGTAAGAAAGACATCTACAAGCCCATGGACAAGCATAAGATATGTAAAGATGATATCTTCCTGATTCAGCTGGAAACTGAGAATCAGGATCTTTTGAAACAATGTTGCGGAATGTTGATGCTGTTCTTACAAAAGCTCCAGATTCTGATGTCTCATCAACCCCAGACCTTGCCATTTTGCTACTAATAAACAATTAAAACACAATCAAAAGATTTTTTTTTAGATCTTCATGAAAATTCTCATGATCAGTCTCAAATATCTCAAGATAAAGGATCAAAGAAAACGAGTCAAAACATCAAAAAGCTGAGAAATTTCGAGCAGGGTTTTACTTAATCATCTCATTAGAGCCAGTAAATCATAAAACCTAAGAGAAACAAAAGTTAAAATTCTTATGTTTCATAGCCTTCAATAATGCTTTCCGCAATAGAACATTGATGGAGCATGGGACCAAAATCAAACCCAGAATTCAGGACATGGGCCACATGGCTAACAAGATCATGATTCAAGCAGAAAAGAAGATAGGAGAGTGGACAAAACCTGTTGACGACGATGTTTATGTATTTTGGCGATAAGGTTAAAGTCTTAAAGAAGAAAAAGTCAGCTTTAAGGAAATATGGTAATGACGGATGTTATCTTATAGTGAAAGAGAAGGAATAAGGAAAAAGGACTTTGCTTTGCCTTTTGTCCTCACGAGTTAACTCAACTTTTTTGTCACGCCTAACGAGTTGACTCAGCTGGGTTCTGTGGGAAAGCGTGAAAACTTTTGGACCCGAGGTTTGTGCGTCATGGATGTGGTCAAGAACCGAATGTATCTAACCGAAACGAATCAAAAATTTTAAAACATTTGAATGGATCTTAAATTATAGAACCGAATAGATATCAAACCGAAATATTTCGGTTACTGAAAAATACACGAAATACAATTATATATCGAAAAATATTAGTTATCTATAGATGGAATAATAAAAAATATCTTTAAATATATAAGAATACTGAAAATATTTGAAAATAACTGAAAAATATCTAAAATAATATCTTAAAATACCTAACAATAATCGAAATATCCTAAAGCAAAATCCTAAAATGGATATTAAATTTTAAAATCAAAAAAACCGGAACCGAATCAAAATTTCAAAATACCTAAAACCAAAAGAACTAAAACCGAATGAAACCGAACCAAAACCGATCGAATAACCGAACGTCCAGTCAATGACTTTTGGACCGGTCTTAACCAGCTTTTGGACCTCGATTGGGTCGGGTTCGGTACGGATCCCATAAGATTCGGGTCGGTTCTTGCAATATGAAATTTACTTTTGGTAATTTTCCCCTTCTTCAATTAGAAAAGAAAAAGGTTCGCTTAAAGAGCTCTGAGAGAGGTTAGGGTTCCATCGTTGTCAATTCTAAGCTTTTCCGATAATAACTTGGAGAATTAATCGAGTTTAGTGATCTTCTTCTTAGGTTTTCTCGATCTGGTTGATTGCTTTAACCATCTGTAACTATGGCGGCAGAACCCAAGGCGGCGGTTGAAGTAGTAAAGGTGGATCTATTCGAGGACGACGATGAGTTCGAGGAATTTGAAATCAACGAAGGTGAAATTTTGTTATTACTACTGATTTCTTCTTCTTTGATTTTTGAAATTGATTCATCACCGGTTATAAAATTCATGGATATAAGAGCAAATTTCATTAGCAACTGATTGGTGATTAGGTTTTGGTATGCAAGGCTTTTGTATGATGGAGTTAGGAATTGTTTTGGTTTCTGGATTGGTTTTGCTTATGCACTGTATCTTGTTCCTTGATCAGATTCTGCTTTGCAAGTTGGTTGAGTTATCAGATTTAACTAACCAAGATAGTCTGTATTGTATGAAGTCTGGTTGTTCTGATGCGAAAACAGATCTATGTTTATGACGATGAAGCTACGGTCTCATAAACTTTGATGGATAATGGAGCAATTTTATCAGCAAACTATTGGTGATTAGGTTTTTAGCATTAATAGGCAAGGCTTCATGAGCTAAAGGTCTAAAGGTTATGGTGGATTTGGGAATTCTTTGGGGGCATTGAGTAGAGTAGCTTGGGGAGAGTTTTACATTTGAACTTAGGCTACGATTTTTTTTGGTTTCTGGATTTCTTTTGATTTTGCACCATGTCTTGTTCCTTGATCAGATTCTGATTTTAACAGATTTGGCTTTGCAAGTTAGTTGAGTCTTGAGATTTAATAAAGTAGTTTATTGAAAGAAGTGATAAAGATGGTTTTTATTGTATGAGTTGTGTAGTTCTGATGTGAAATGGATGTATTTGGTGTCGTTTTACAGTCTAAGTAAATATCTATGGATCTTGGCAGATTGGTTGGAGAAAGAGGAAGTGAAGGAAGTTAGCCAGCAGTGGGAAGATGACTGGGATGATGATGATGTCAATGACGACTTCTCACGTCACTTAAGGAAGGAGCTTGAGAATGGTAGTGAAAAGAAATGAGGTCCAAGATTGTGAAAGGCATGTCGTCACATTTAGGAACTTATTTTGAATTGCATCCATTGGTTTATGGCTAGCACGTATCGGTTCTCCTTTTCCTTTGCATATTTTACTCTTCCTTGGATGCAGATTCCTTGTCTTTGACCATGATAAATTTGAACTGGTAAAATTATGTTCGGATAATCACCATCTTGTCTCAGAACACATTGCGGTGTGGACATGGATTGTTTTACTATGTACATTTTCTCACAAGCATCTTTATTAGAGCGTACAAGACATTTGAAGTGCCAAAATAAACCACAAAATAATCCGACCCGTAAACATCACAAAATAACATAGTTGCTATGTCACAAAGAAAGAAAAAAAGTCTTTCTAATACTCATCGCCTTCTTCGTCTTCGTCCTCTGCTCCTTCTGCACCAACTTCCTGAGGGCAGAATCCTCACGGGGCCAGAGAACTCTCCTTCTTCCATGCCCTCTCCTACATACCAATGGACAAAGGCTCTTGTGGAGTACATCAAATCAAACTTAGGGTCTATACGTAAGAACACTTCAGCCACTGCAGTATTGTTGCTGATCATGCAAACCGCTCGTTGAACCTTCGCCAGGTCACCACCTGTAACAACTGAAGGCGGCTGATAGTTTATTTCCGCACTTGAACCCAGTTGGGCACCTAATTTTAACATGACCAAAAATTTGAAATGTGTAGTAGAAAGAGAAACACTAGTGTGAGCTGTTACCAGTCAACAAACTGAACTGTGCGCTTGGCTTTGATGGCAACAACGGCAGCATTGACATCCTTAGGCACAACGTCACCACGACATCAAACAGCAAGCCATGTACTTCCTATGCCTTGGGGGTCACATTTGGCCATCATATTGGAGGTTCAAAGACGGAAGTCGTGATCTCAGGAACCGAGAACTGCTTATGGTAGGCCTTTGCAGATGAAATCACAGGTGCATAAGAGGAGAGCATGAAGTGGATCCGACTACTGACAACTGTTTTTCTCCTAGTTATTTTTTTGACATCTTCATCATCACAACAATCATCTTAAACTAAATGACTGAAATGATATTTAAGAAATCGAAAATGTTTTCGGTCTACTAGAAAAAACTTACAGTTACAACAAAAACAACATTACATAAAGTGTTATTGTACATAAGCCACAAGCGACAAAACATCATTCTTGTGACTATTATTAACATAAAATCTTGTATAAGACAACAACCAAAAACGGAAAGCCTAATAACAACTTACCAATTTTGAAAAAATTCACATCAGGCATAGGCATAGGGTATATGAAGAGAGCAAAGATAAATGTAGCTGTTAAAGCCCTCAAGAAAACTTCTCCAATCCCTAATTTTCTTCTTCTTGGAGAGTTTGGTAGTAATCTTGTAACTTCTCTAACAATGGCACCGACAAGAGCAAATTCATTTCTGCAAAATGAGTGAACGAAACTGATTAGACGACCAAACCACAAAGTCATACTACAATACAAGAATTGATTAAATGTTCTTATTACATGTGTGCTTCCAAGCTCAAGCCAATCCTCCCTGTAACAGTAGACGACTTCAAGGTTTTTTCCCAACTTTCAACCATCATTGGTTCCATAGCAAATCTCTCTTTTGTATTTGTAAAATGAATCCCAAACTCTCCCTCGAGTCTTCTCACTTCGTTTGTTTTCACATTGTAGAAGACGGGAATGACCACGAGTTTTCCTTCCTTTACAAGCTCTTCCATCATCACAAGCTCGTTCAAACACCGATTTGACTTGGAGTACCTCTTTGAGAAGATGGCAAGCGCGATATTCGACTTCTCTATACTCGTGAATATTTCTTGTGTTTGTCCACTTCCTTTAACCTTGTAGCTGTCTGTGAAGACATTGATCCCTGAGTCTCTCAAAGCCCACACGAGATGTCTAATAAAGTTGTCGCCAAGCTCGTCATTGCAGAAATTGACAAACACTTGAGGGCGACGTGGTGGTAGTTGGTCTAGCTCTGCCATTAGAGGCTCAAAAGATGAGATGATGTTGTTTTCAATATGGTGCTTTGTAGATTGACCTGAAACACACACAAAAACAAAACTATGGATCTCAATACAACTTTGAAAACTCAATCATAATTCACAAGCAATATAATAAAAACAACCTTCTATGTTAGTGTAATTCTGTGAGTTGTCTCTTTCCTTGCTTGACATATCGATTAGTACTTTCTTCACCTCCTTAACGATTGAATCGACCAATTCACACTCATTCCTAGCATTACCAATGAGAAATATACTAAAATTTTTAATAAATCCAAGCAGAACTTTGCTACGAAGAATGATTCTACCCAATTGATTATAAGAAATTTGTCAAGCTAGAATTTGAAAACGTAGTACTATTTTAAGGTGACTACTAATGATATTTAAATCTTTAACTGAAAATGCAATATGGATAATAGAGAATTGACTCAAAATCATTATAACCGCGGAAATCCCACTGTCGAGGTTAGCTTAGCCTACGGGCATTACTCGAGTGATTAGAGGAAGGCCACGGTCCCAAGGAATCGGATTTGAGGCCTAGATATTGTACCTAACGGTTTGTAACTTATTATTCACTCAATTGACACAAAAAGAAACCTTATTTGTTAAGGGGATTGCCTCAATATCTCTTTCTTCTTGTTTACGCTATACACAATAACTCGGAGTCTCGGAACCTTAAATGCAAAATTCGAAATGAATTGTAATACCTATGTCCTTCCAAAGTCAAGCCAATCTTTTGGGGAATAGAGATCAAAGCTTCTTTCCATTTCTTGATCCTCTCAGGCTCACTCCGATACTCTCTCTCCAATTTCCGAAAATTATCGCCGAAAGGTCCCTCGAGTCTTTTACAGTTTGTCGCATCCAATCTATAGAAGATTGGAATGACAACGAGCTTGTCTTGATCAATCCATTCCTTCATCTTCACTAATTCATCCAAACACCAACTCGATTCAGTGTATCTCTCGGATAAGATCGCAACAGCGACTCTTGATTCCTCGATCCTACTGAAAAGATTCTGTAAATCTCTACCTTTGACCTCGATCTCATCTGTAAAGACGTTGATCTTCGCGTCTCTCATGGCCTTCACGAGAAACCCCAGGAAGCTTTTTCGTAGCTCGTCTCCTCTGTAGTTGATGAACACTTGGTGCTGCGGCGGGATTTCTTCGTCGGAGAAGGAGGAAACCGCCATGGGAAGTGGGATTGTCGTGGATCTTAAGCTTTTAATCGCTCTCTCCGTTCTGTTTGTTTGTATGACATTTTTTGTAAAAAGTCATTAGTTCAAATTTGGATAAAGTCAACTTTATTATTCAACAGCCTCACGACTACAAATAGAAGGTTTCAAACCCTCTTTCTCCGGAAGAAAGTTTTGGTTTATTAGTTTTTAAATTTTACAGGGTGGATTTTGGTTCTGTTACGGTTTTGTTTTTGTTAACCAGAATCTGTTTCTAAGCGGGAAGCGGAACTCCAACAAGCTTCTGTGCTTAACTCCGATTCCGAAGCGGGAAACGGAGCTCCAACGAAACTTCTGTGCTTCTTTCCTATAACTTGATTTTGTCAAATAGTTTTTTTTTTGTTTTTTCTTTTGGCCGAAACAGAATTTATTATTAAGAATGAAAAAAATAAGCATTAGTATTTCACTTAAAAAAACTACAAAAAACTTCAATTAATAGTGCGGACAATTCACAAACAATACTTGCACTCTCAAGTAACTCAAGTCTTGCATCGTCACTTTCGGAAGAGAATCTGTGTCGATCATGAGGCAAAGAGTAATCAATGTTTGGTCCAGGAGCGATGATCTCAAGAGGGTTTAAAGTAGGAAAGCTTTCATAGTAATTTTGCTTTATATGATCCATCTTTACTGTACTGCTCATTCCCGCGATTTGGTAGATATCTTTCGTGTAGTTAAAGAGATTATAATAATCTCTTACGAGTCTTTTATTGCATTTGAAGATCACCGCGTAAGCCTGCAAAGAAAAATTCTCAAAAGATATGGTAAATTGAACAAAAAGTAGGTATGAAAATCCGAAAACATAACAATTTAAGCTAGAATCACCTCGTCAAATGTTATGAGAGTGACGAATAATCGGATATCTGGTTCAGTCAAAATGTTTCCACAAAGAAACCGTTGTTTTCCGAGTATTTCTTCGCATCGGTCCAATGCATCATACAATTGTTCCACTTCCTGCAAAGAGAAACAAATTAACATGTTGGAAATTGGAATCAAATTTTAATTACCATATTGATATGTAAATCTCAAAGTTACTTTACCACATCATAGGTTTCTTGATTTTTAGCAAACCCACATTTATAAACACCGTTATTTATCCCATCGTGAATCCATTCGTTAGTCTCATCGATTATGGCTCGGAGGTTGGGAGGGTAAAGATCAAGAGAAGGGTTTTCTGCGACATGATTGAACTCGGTATTGAACATTCGGAGTATCTGACAACTCTCATTGTTAACTATAGTCTTAAACTTCTTATCCCAAAGAACCTACCACAAACAAAAAAACCAGAAATCCTAAAAAATCTCGAAATGGTTCACAAAGTAACAGAATAAGACTTATGATTAGGCCACACCATGGATTAAAAGAACTTACAGGAACAGTGTATTTGCCCTTGTAGTTCGAGTTAGCGATATCATAAAGTGCTCTTATGCTTTTTGCACCATTAAGATGATCACGTTCAGCTCCAAGAACCTCTGTATCTGAATCTGGAAAAACCCATCCTATATGCTCGTCGCTTTCTTTGGTTTTTCTACGAAGTGGTTGAACAGACTAATAAACAAACTGATCAGATTTTGTTGCGTAAAAATCGAAACGAAATATGTCGAAAACAGATTCTTTACTAACCGAAAAGCTTATTGCTTTGTCAAGTCCCTTGAGTTTCAAGATTGCAAGACATCTAGAAGCCCATGGACTAGCGTAAGAGATATAAAGATGGTATCTTCCTGATTCTGCTGGAAACTGAGAATCAGGTTTTTGTGAAACAAAGTTGCGGAAGGATGTTAAGGTTCTCGCATAATCTCGTTAGCCATTGATGTACACTACAGATTAAAAGAAAAACACAAAGTGTAGAACATTAAAACATTATTATGAAACTATTTATTACCCAAATAAAGATGCAACAACCTAACCAGAAACACACAAAAACTTAAGTAATCTTACATCTAAGAACTTGATCAAGAATGAATAAGGACCTTACACAAAATAAATGTAAGATACAATTTCGATCAGAAATTGACCAGGATGATGTAGCGAGTCTTCAACTGTTGCCTTCGTTGGTACGTAAATAACTTTGAAAATTTGAGTCAACATTGGCGATCAGAAAAGCTTCTTGGATTAGAATGAAAAAAAAAGAAAAGTCTTTGTTATTAAGTCTTTTGACAAATGTTGCTGTTTCTAAGATATTTTCCGAACAGAGAACCTTTGAATTCAAAGATGATTAATGTCATCCAATAAACTGAAGTAACAAACTTTACATTAATATAACTTTTTCAAGCATATGAGACAATCCAACTCAGTACAAGACATTATAATTAACACCATAAGAGTTTTAACATCAGAAACCATAATGACAATGCTCATGTCTTCATTAACATCAGATTCATGTTAAGAAATGATAACTTGACATCTGCGAGAACGCTTTCTGGATGTAAGATACATTTTGAAGATATGATCTAACAGTAGACTATTCATACTCAATCTGTGTGAAACTCAGCTTGAGTTTCTTAATGACTCGGGAATTCTCAAGAAAATACTGATCTAGTTTTATCCATGAATCTGTATCGATCATGAGGCAAAGAGTAATCGATGTTTGGTCCACGAGCGATGATCTCAAGAGGGTTTAAAGAAGGAAAGCTTCCATAGTAATTTTGCTTTATATGATCCATCTTTACTGTACTGCTCATTCCCGCGATTTGGAAGATATCTTTCGTGTAGTTAAAGAGATTATAATACTCTCTTACGAGTCTCTTATCGCATTTGAAGATCACCGCGTAAGCCTGCAAAACAAAATTCTCAAAACATATGGTAAATTGAACAAAATGTAGATATGAAAATCCGAAAACATAACAATTTGAGATAAAATCACCTCATCAAATCTTATGAGAGTGACGAATAATCGGATATCTGGTTCAGTCAAAGTGTTTCCACAAAGAAACCGTTGTTTTCTGAGTATTTCTTCGCATCGGTCCAATGCATCATACAATTGTTTCACTGCCTGCAAAGAGAGACAAATTAACATGATGGAATCAAATTTTAACTACCATATTGATAAGTAAATAGCAAAGTTACTTTACCACATCATAGGTTTCTTGATTTTTAGCAAACCCACATTTATAAACACCGTTATTTATCTCATCGTGGATCCATTCGTTGGTCTCATCGATTATGGCTCGGAGATTGGGAGGGTAAAGATCGAGAGAAGGGTTTTCTGCAACATGATTGAACTCGGTATTGAACATTCGGAGTATCTCAGAACTCTCATTGTTAACGATAGTCTTAAGCTTCTTATCCCAAAGAACCTACCACAAACAAAGAAACAAAAAATATATCCGAAAATCCGAAAATGTTAGATGAAGTAACAGAATAAGACTTAAGATTAGGCCACACCATGGATTAAAAGAACTTACAGGAACAGTGTATTTTCCCGTGTAGTTGGAGCCAGCGATATCATATAGTTCTCTTACGGATTTCGCACCATTAAGATGATCACGTTCAGCTCCAAGAACCTCTGTATCTGAATCTGGAAAAACCCATCCCATATGCTCGTCGCTTTCTTTGGTTTTTTTAAAAAGTGGTTGAACAGACTAATGAACAAACTGGTCAGATTATGTTCCGTGAACATCGAAACGAAATATATCGAAAACCGATTCTTTACTAACCGAAAAGCTTATTGCTTTTTCAAGTCCTTTGAATTTCAAGATTGCAAGACATCTAGAAGCCCATGGACAAGCGTAAGAGATATAAAGATGATATCTTCCTGATTCTGCTGGAAACTGAGAATCAGGTTTTTGTGAAACAAAGTTGCGGAATGATGTTGCGGTTCTAGTAAAATCCGACTTCTCGTTTGCCATTGACGTAGCCATTGATGTACACTACAGAGTAAAAGAAAAACACAAAGTTTAGAATATTAAAACATCATTATGAAACTATATACTATTACCCAAATAAAGCTGCAACAACCTAACAAGAAACACACAAAAACTTAAGTAATCTTACATCTAAGATTACTTTTATGACAACAAAAGTAAGAATTTGATCAAGAATGAATAAAGTAATAAGTACCTAATGCAAATTATAAATGTAAGCTACGATTCTATCAGAAATTGACCAGGATCATGTAGCGAGTCTTCAACTGTTTTCTTCGTTGGTACGTAACTAATAAAGGTAAAAAGTTGAGTCAAAATTGGTGAGCAGAAGAAGCTTCTTGGATTAGATAAAAAAACAAAGAAAAGTCTTTGTGTTTTAAGTCTTTTGACAAATGTTGTTGTTTCTAAGATATTTTCCAAACAAAGAACCTTGAAGTCAACCATACCAACATATGAAACAATTGACCAAGGACAAGTTACGATATCGTAAGATGCTGGAACTTTTCGGAAACACTAAAAATTTGAAGGTGATTAAAGTCCTTAAGAAACAGAGATTAATATGACTTTTCAAGGATATAAGACAATCCAAATATGTACAAGACATTAAATTAACATTATAAAAGTTTTAACATCATAAACCAAAATGAAAATGCTCATGCTCTCACTGATTTCAGATGCATGTTAAGAAATGATAACTTGACATCTGCGAGAAAGCATTCTGAATGTAAGCATCATGAAGATACGATCTATGGGTTGATTGGTCATACTCATACTCATAGGAGAATCTGTGAAACTCAGCTTGAGTTTCTTAAGGATTGGTGTATTCTCAAGAAAATATTGAACTATTTTGATCACAGTTGCTTCCTTCCTAATCAGTTTGTTAATCTTAATACACTCCATAGTCATTCTAAGTACGACATCCGATGGATAGGCTCTCCCCGCAACACATGAGACAACGACAAACGGTTCTACCAACAGTCCTCTGGAACCTCCGCTAAGCTTTATACCGATAATCAGCAAAAAAATTGCGTTATCTGCCTTTAAACCGTTAACTAATGGACCGAGGATACTTCAACAGTTATGTTAAAATTAAAACTTCAATTTTTTTTGGAAAAGACAAAAATAGAATTTAACTGTGTAACTCTTTATGAGATAACTCTGAGATTGAATCAAAGCAACAAAAGCAACAAAAGTTGTAAAAGATGAGCAAACCTAATAAAATGGTAAAAGCCTAAGTGCAATTTTTATGAGAGTAGATAGTTCCTACACTAATGTTGAGGGAAGAATTGGGCTTTAGGGATACAAGGCCCAATTCAAGAAAGAAGGCCCATTCCCATAAAGTCTCGAGACGATCCAGGCCCACGAACGGAAGAGCCCAGACGATCTCGCCGCCTTATAGGCTCGCCACGTCATCACATTCAAGGGCAAAGACGGAAAAGACCGTCAGAGTGTGCCCTACCCGACAGGGTTATAAAAGCATGACGACCAGTCCTGTCACATCGATCGAAAATCACGCTGACACGGCAAGGACATAAAGAGCTCGGCAAGGACACGAAGAACTCGGCTAGGATACGAAGAACGATCTCAGTCTAGAAAAGGAAAACGACCTCAAGTTTCATTCGCCTCGGAAAACGACATACAGTTCGGCACCAGAAACGACTCGGAACCTCTAGTCCGAAATCATCCATTCCGGCTCGTTTAACGTCATTTGTATTCTCGGCTCGTATTGTTTTGGGAGATTCTTTTTACTTCCCTAGAGAAACCCTATTTCGTACTTGTGTGATTCGTGCATCAACAACTAATGTCCAATGAAACAAGCTCATATGCTCACAAGCATCATCATCTGCATGTCAAACAATGATAACTTGACATGTGGGAGAAAGCTTTGTTGATGTAAGAAGCTTCTTGTAGCTCTCTAGCTCTATAGAAGAAGAACCTGTGAAACTTATAGTCAGTTTCTTGAGGACTGTTGAATTCTCAAGAAAGTAATTCACTAGTTTAACTCCAGTTTCATCTCTTGTCATCGGTTTCGTAATCTCCACATACTCCAGCGTCGATATCAAACACCGGGGCACGTTGGTAAAGTCCGTTTGCTCTAGATCCACTGTAACAGAATATTCCTGCGAAATCAACAAGCTGAGTTTACCATATGTTTCAACAACATTCTTTAGCCAAATCACAGATTCTTACCAAGATGAGGTTTTTCAGATTTGGGCAGCTCTCAAGAAAGGCTTGCAATAGTTGTAGCGATGAGCTGCGGACCTGTGCCTTTAAATGATACAAGTTAAGGAATTCGGGAATCGGTCCGAATTTGGAATAAGGGTAAAGCCTCTGCAAGAAGAATTAAAAGGATACGATATGTCAGATTTTTTTTCATGGAGAATTAATACACTAAATTGTTGCATAAATATATACCTCTAGAGTCCGCAAGCAGATAATCATACGTCTTACTCTGGATATCCCGGTTAAAAAACCATAGAAAATATCATTCATCTGTAAATCCTCTAGTCGAAAACGATTAAATTTGGTATGAATGTCGATCCTGAACAAGGAACTCAGGTTCTTTACCAAAATGCTCTCATATTGACTCTCTCTAACACTCATATAGTTGAGTCGTGGAGCATCAATCTCAACTGAAAAATCTGTACCACTATCACGCCTAAAATATAAACGAAGGCTTTTCAGAGTCTGAGAGCTCACACGTAGAAACATCACAACTTTTTGACTCGAAATATCAAAAGGCCTACTCAGTTCAAGATCTTCAAGAACAGGACATCCTGAGATAAGCTTCTCAACAACCAAAGGACCATCCTCACTGTAACAAACGTTGCATAGAAGCATGATCTTGAGACAAGGTAGAGAAACAACAAACTCTGGATTCTTTAACTCTACATTGAAAAGCTTCAAAGAGACCAATGTCTTACTCTTGTAAATGTTCTGACGTATGAAATCATCTTTTTTACAAGTATGTATATAAACATACAAATGTTGAATTCCACGATCAACCACTGTACTGATCAACTCCATTAATCGATGATGATAGCCATTGCATTCAAAATTCGTTATGTCGAACTTTTGCAGGTTTGACCCGTGGTTAAACTCCATAAATCTTTCCATAAACCTTGCGAAGCCTTCTAGGTAAGGATAGGGGAAATCAAAGGTGCCTAATTTAAGTCCAGGAACGTTTAACCAAAGATTTTTCCATCTCTTGGATAACATGCTTGTCTTCACAGAATCTTTGGTCCGAAGGTTTAAGAGAATCTGAGTTAGCAAAGAATCCGGCAGTTCACTGATATAATCGCACTCCATCCCTAGAGCATGAACAACAACAACAACATCATCAACATCAAAATCGCTTCCTAGGGTTAATGTTATCTCAAATTCTAGGGTTCAAAGTCGATCAAAATTTCTTACGTAATCCAAGGAGGAATGAAGAACTAACCGTCTCCGTAGGTTTTGATTTGCCGACAGATTATCGTCAAGTGATAGTTGTTGATCGTTTAATCGATCGAGTTCGGGAAATCTTATTAGGTTTTTTTTTTTTGTTTTTGTTTTTTACTTTGTTTGGGCCAAAAGGGCCATAAAAAATTAGGACCAAAAAGTTACTTAAAGTTTACGGTAAAGCTCAGGGCCGGCCCAAAGGATTCGGATGCTTAAAGCCCAAAATTTTTTTGTTACTCATTAACCAACAAAAATACAAAAAATGTTAAAAATTCGTCTTAATGTCACTCGAACTCGTCAACTCCTGCAATAAATGAGACATTAAACACTGTACTACAAGATCTTTTCTAAAATTTTATGCCCCTTAAAAACTAAAATATAATCTGATGCCTAAAGCATCTGCTTGATGGGCTTTAGGTCTGGGCCGGCCCTGGTAAAGCTTATGCAAATAATATATCCATCTTAGAGAAAAGATAAAGTAAACTATAAAGCAACCAACTGGTTTTTGCCCCTTCTGAATTTGCTCAAAATAATATTTCCATCTAGAGAAAAGATAATTAAACTATTGGAAAGAGAATGACAATCAAACCATATGCTTATTAATTAGAAAACTTCATGTCAATAGTTGAATAATTTTTTCTATTCATGTCATATCTAATGCATAAGCGACTTCAAATATATAGATACCTCCAGGGTATTTCAAGTATACTAGATGAATACCCACGCTACGCGTGGGTTTGTTTTAAAATTTGTAAATAACAAATTATTTTGATTGTTCTTGTTGCTAGTTGATCATCCGCTTTACGCCGCGGGTTTTTTTCCGTTTTTTTTTTATTTTGATTGACTTGATGTTATATTTTGATGAATGTAATTTTTAATTATCTAATCATTTACTCATGCAATGAACAACTACTCTTAGTATTAAAATACATTTTCAACCAACATACTCAACAATGCATCACTCACACAATCCGTAAACAATATTTGTCCTAAACCAATTTTATAGATGGTAATGTTGGGATTATAGAACCTCAAAAATTTGATGATCTTACATACTCTTCACCTTCAGTGTCATATATAGATCAAAAATTTAAGAAAAAAACTTACTCAAACCATTAGCTAATCCACTATACTATTATCCACTCATATTTTGAGTTAAGATTACAAAAATTATCGAGAAAAACTTTGGAGTATATAAAACTAATAAAATAATTTCATTGAAAAAAACATAAAATAACCAAATAAGTTGGTATTAGTAGAAATCAATATGTAAAATTAAATAATATATATATAATTAAATAATAAATATATTATTAACTTGTGGAATAGATTTTCAAATCCATATGGCCCATCCGTCATGGGCTATTATGTTTTTCCCATTTGACAATTCTAATTAAAAGATGATGATGTGTAAAAAATAAAAGCTGAATCATATTAATGAAATGTTTTGATTGGAAGAATAAAAAGCTGATGTGTCAGCTCCAGAATAGCCTAAAATGCTGACGTGGCGGAAGGATGGAGAGAGATAAGCCTCCTTTCATATATATGATTATACTTGAAATACCGGTGAAAAAATCTCGGATAATATTT